GTACTTGACACGCGTTTCTAACGACCTTAACCGTCAGTCGTTCCAATTACAAATTTATCTTTTTAGCTGTTCCGAACCCTTTTCCTCTCGTTCTCTCACGTGTTTGAGAGAAAGCAATCATGGATCTTGAATCACTTGGAAAGCGAGAGACATTGTTTTGTTATTTTTCGTTATACACTTTTGTTGTGTTTTCTCTCAAGAATGGGGGGCTTTGTAAGTTGTTATAGGGAGGATACGAGGCGTGGTAACAATAATGGGTTTAGTCTTGGGTTTAAATTGGGTTTTGGGGATGGTAGTAATATTATTATTGTATTTTTTAAACTTTTAATTGAAAATTTTAAATTTGTTGTTTTTTGAGAGAAAATCGCAAAAACTTTCTTTACAGACCTCAAAATGGCAAGAACTTTCTTTACAAATCAAAAAATGGCAAGAACTTTGTTTACAATACAAAAAATGGCAAAAACTTTCTTTACAAAACAAGAAATGGCACAAATTTTTTTTAAGGAACATAAAATGGCATGAACTTTCTTTACAAAACAAAAAATGGCGAGAACTTACTTTACAGTGCGAAAAATTTAAATAATTTTATTTTGAAGGTTAACTGGGCATTAATAGCTACGACAGTCATTTTTAAATCGATTTTTTAAAATTTTTACTTTCAAATGGTGTTTCAATCACTTTGTGAGTAACATGACCTCTTAAGTATTCAAAGCAGCTTTTACTATTGTAGCCAGGAAGCCTCGGCCGAAACTTTGAAATTCGTACCTAGTTACATTGAAATTTAATTAAACTAATGGCCATGGACTTGATTTTATTTTCAGCTGTTGAGTAGTATAAATGCATTTCTAACAATGTCCTTTACTATTCGGTTAAAATTGTACATTAATTTACTTTAAAGAGTTGAGTGTTACATTATTAGGAGCGGTAATGTAATTTAAAGGGGGAATATGTTGTAGTATATAAAGTTTTAGGTTCAGGTACAATTTTACTTTGAGGTTTACGGGTTTGAAATTTTGAAATTTGAAGTTTGTTGAGTATGGGGTACAAGAGCTGGTGAGGGTAGGGTAGGACTAGAAAATGTGGTTAGGGTAGGGTAAGGCAAAGAGAAGACATAGAGAAGGTAGAGGAAGAGAAGCATAGTAGGAGAAGACAGGAAAGCGCAGGGCAAGGCAAGGCAAGCCTAGTCAAGACAAGCCATACCAAACCACGGTATGTCATGCCAAGCCAGGGTATGTCATGCCAAGCCAGGGTATGACAAGGCAGAAGAAGATATAAGAAAACAAGGCAAGGCAAGCTACGATAAGACAAGGCACGGCAAGTCAAGGCAAAGCACTGTAGGCCAAATAGGGCCCTTTAGTCGCTAAATAACGTATTTCACCTTACTTTATATTAAAATGTAATTATGTTTTCAAAAATTAATCCAGACTTTCCAAAAAAAGTACAAAATCATCTGTTTTGCCCCCGCTAATGCGTTAAATACGGCGTGCCGTACACCATGTCCATTTGAATTAATTTAAAAGAGCAGGGACGGAATTAAATGGACAGCCATGAAATTAAGAAACATTCGCATGAGAAAATGCACTTTGCATATTATTTTCAGTACGTTGGCAAAAAACAGTGGCACAGGGAATGGACATGGTTTTTGAACGGGCCGTATTACCTGAGGGTTTCGAACTTTATATGACGTAATTGTAGTAAAGGTTGTGTAAGGCTGTATGAGTGTAGGGCTGCAGAACGGTAGACTACAGCTTATGCTAAGGCTTGGCTTTAGGCTAGAGCTTAGATTAGGATTTAGATTAGGGCTTAGTGTTAGGCTCAGGCGGGGGCTTAGGCAAAACTCAGGTTAAAGTTTAAGCTAAAGTCTAAGACTAAGGCTAGGGCTTAGACTGGCGTTGTGACTAGTACTCAAGCTATGGTTTAGGCTAGGCTTTAGGATAGGACTGAGGCCAGGTCTTATGCTAAAGCTTAGGCTAGGTTTCAGTTTATGGTTTAGGCGAGGGTTTAGGCTAGAGCATAGGCTAGTGCTTAGGCTACAGCTTAGGCTACGACTTCAGCTAGGTTTTAAGCTACGGTTTGGACTACGGTTTAAGCTAGGGCTTATGCCAGGGTTCAGGCTAGGTCTTAGGCTAGGGTTAAGCTATTTCTTTGTCTGGGGCTTACATTGGGTCTTAGGCTATGCTGAGGCTTAAGAGAATGCTAAATCTAAAGTAAAGGTATGCTAGGATAAAATATAAACTTAAATATTTAATTTCAACGGCGCATCTTATCTATCTCTACCCCATGTTGATATAAACCGTTTGTTTGCCTTAACCTCTTTAACTTGAAACCTGAGAGAACGTCGAATTTAAAAAACCTAGGGCTAAAAACAGAAGTCAAAATGGCTTTTAAGGGCGCTATTTTATTTTGTCTGCAAAATCACCATATACAGGGCCGGAGGGGGCTTTTGGTCTGGGGGCGGGGGTCCAAAAAATCGGCACAATTAGCTTACCTGTGCCGTTTTTTGCGAATTTTTTTTTCCGAAAATCCACAGGGGGGACCACGTTCAATTTTTTTCAAACATTTTTTTCTCCCCCCCCCCTCGCGCCCGGCCCTGACCATATACTTATCATTTTAAAATTTTTTTAATCGATTTTTGGTCATTTTATACTGCTTCAGGATTATGTTATCAGAGTATTATATCTTTTTCAAAAAGTATATGTGGTTATGACATTGTATGCCGTACTTTTATTCAACAATATTTCTATTAAGTGTAGTAGAAAAATAGGTATTATAAAGTACTATAACTGTATTTGAACTTTTTATGACAATACCTATTCAATTTCGAATTTTGATGCAAAAATTTGAAAGAAAATCTTTTTTATAGATTTTTATAGTTTTATCACAGTACGCATACTCTTATATTTTACAGAAGCGCACAATAGTGCAGTACAAAAGAATAAGAACAGTGCCATACTTAAAAACGGCAGTCTTTTTCACGTTTACTGCTTGAGAATGTAATTAGACGTATTCTCTAAAATAGTACAAAACACTGAGAATTTTTGATAAAGTACAAGGAACAGTGACTTATTTAGTTGTATTTTGACTTTTGTTTATTTTTGTTGAGAAGGCAGGTCGGGCAGGTGACTTATTTGGGATGAGGAATTTTTTTTAAGACAGCGAAAAGGGGGGAAGAAGTGCTTGACAGAGTAAAACGAGGATGATAAGGAATGAATTATTTTTTTTATAAAAGGTTTTTCTTGTCTACGCTCTAGCCTAGGCTCTATCCTAAGCTATGGCTTAAGTTTTAACCTAAGCCCTAGCCTAAACGCTAGTCTAAGCTCTTGCCTATGACTTAGCTTAAGTTTTATTCTAAGCTTTGGACTAAGTCTAAGCTTGAGCATTAATTTAAGCGTTAGCCTATATTTTAACCTTAACTTCAGTTGTAGCCTTAGCCCCTAGCCTGAGCTATGACCAAAAACTTAGGGTAAGCCTTATCATACGCCATAGTCAAACTGCTAGCTTAAGCCTTAGTCTAAGCTTATTTAATTAAGTAAACAGCATGTGTTTAGTTATCTCTGTTTTGTTATCTGCGCATTCCCAAACTCACTACTAGAAGAACCCATTAAATTTAATTTTGCCTTTCATTCTTATCGATCAAGCTTCGTATACTAAAGCGAACAATATTTTTTAATTGTTGCTTCGTATCTTTGAAAGACCAGGATCCAAATTTGAGATTATAGTCGTTATCATGAGTTGCTGATACTCAAAAGTCAACTATCCTACCTTATATCATCTTTACCCTTCGGCACGCCATACTCTTGGCTTGTCCTATCACTAACCTGCGTAACCAAACCTACTTTTACTTTTTTGGCAAAATTGTGAAACAGTCCCACCAAAGATCGCTGCGTAACCTTATGTCAACACCCACAGCTAGGAATCTGTGATCGTTTCTCTATAATTTAATTTTGTAAAACACAGGAGAGAAGGGGCTGCGCACGCTGGAAATTAACTTTTCCATCAGAGTTTTTTGACACCCAAAGACAAACTAATTCCATTAAGGTTTGCTCACTTTTTTTTGTTTCTTTGGCCGTTGGCGCCGTTTGATTGCACTTTCGTAGGGCTTGGGACACGCGGTTGGGGGCTTGTGGAGATGTAAAATGTTGTATAGGCTTTGTAACATACTTATACTGCATTTAAGAGAATATGTGATTTTATAAGGTTAGGGTTGGGTAATAGCAGAGCAAAAATTGGGCCAGAGTAGGGCTTGAGAATGGTAAGGGCAAAGCAAAAATAAAGAAGACAAAGGATAGTATACTTTAGGACAAGAGTTGGGGATTGGACTAGGGAAGGGATTTAGACTAGGGCTCTCGACTAGGACTAGGGACAGCTCTAGGGTAAGGGCTCTCCCTATGATTTAGTTACAGTAAGATAAGGCGAAGATAATATACTTTAAGACAAGGGTTGGAGATTGGGCTTTGTGCTAGAGATCTAGGCTGGGACTCCGGGCTAGGGCTCTGGGCTAGGGCTGTAGGCTAGGTCTCTGGGCTAGGGTTCTGGGCTGGGGATGTAGGCTAGGGATCTGGGCTAGGGATCTGGGCTAGGGCTCTGGGCTAGGGCTCTGGGCTAGGGCTCTGGGCTAGGGCTCTGGGCTAGAGTTCTGGGCTAGGGCTCTAGGCTAGGGCTCTGCGCTAGGTCTCTGGGTTACGGCTCTGGGCTGGAGCTAAGGCTCTGATCTAAAGCTGCGGGCTAGGGCTCTGGGCTACGGTTAGGGCTAGGGTTTGTAACTTTTAACAAAAATAGTACTAATTTCACATTCACTGGTCAAGAAATGACCGTTCCAAACCCTATTTACATCTTTTTTTTCCTCAACTTTACGATAAGTCAAGCAAAATGTTTGTCTTCCTCTTTTATAAACAATGTTTATATAGATTTTGCCGGAGATATGGGGGGTTGTAAGGTCACCAGCACTGCACATTAATTGCCTTTCCTCTACAAAAACGATAAAACAACTTTTTTCCCGATTATAAACAAACATTTACCATTGACTTTGAAGCGAGAATCTGATTTTTTTCTACTTTTGAGTTCAGACCTTGAATCGGATCCGCTAAAAGTGATGTCTTTATAGGTTTTTGAAGAGCGGTGAGGAGGAAGGTATGAGAAGTAATGTAAGGGGTGAGAATTTAAAATGAAAAAAGAGAAGGGGAGGTTAGTTTTTTTTATTAATAAAGGCAACGTTTATGGTTTTGTTTAAGAATCTGGCAGGTTTAGGCTTGAGCTCAGGCTCTAGCTCCGGTTCTAGCTCAGGCTTTAGCTTACTTTCTAGCTTAGGCTCTAACTCAGGCTTTAGCTCAGGCTCTAGCTCAGGCTGTAGCTCAGGCTCAGACTTTAGCTCAGGTTTTAGCTTAGGTTCTAGCGTTGGCTCTAGCTTTGGCTCTAGCTCGGCCTCTAGCTCAAGCTTTAGCTCAGGCTCTAGCTCAGGCTTTAGCTTACGTTCTAGCTTAGGTTCTAGCTCATGATTTAGCTCACGTTCTAGCTCAGGCTCTAGCTTAGGCTTTAGCTCGGTCTCTAGCTTAGGCGCTAGCTTAGGCTTTAGCTCTGGTGCTAGCTTAGGCCTTAGGTCAAGTTCAAGCTTCATTTAAAGCTAAGACTAATGATAAGACTGAGCTTTTTTTAAATTTTTAGACAAGGGTTTTGAAATCGTATAGAATTTGTTAAATTTGTACTTTTTTGGTCTATTGTGTTTTTTCATAATAGTTTATTCTTGTATATTTCCTTTGAATTATGACAATGAATAAGGTATCGTTTGAACTAATTTTTTTCATGTTTTAAAATATTTTCGACTTGTTTAACTATATTTCAACGTAATTTTAATATTGTTTATGTTTTTACCGTGCGGTTTAAGTAGTTTACTTTCAATTTAAACTCTAAAAACTAAATTTTTAATTTCTTCAGATTGCCCTATCAAAATGAAGACACCGGGCGCCGGACCAGGACTGGCCGGCGCCGTTCTTTTCCTATGCCTGTGCCTCGGGCTAAAGGCAGAGGTTTGTCCGACGGACAAAACGGACACAACCAAGCCCAAGTCGCCAAAAGAAGTGATGAATCAGTTGTTGCTCAAACCCAAAAGTTGCCCCGATTTCAAGGATTCTGCCGAACAAAAACACTGCTGCCCATCCAGGATTACATATGGCACTTATTATTGTTGCACGTCGGAACAGCTACAGGAAATTGAAGCTGAGATTAGTGCTGAGAAGAGGAGAGAGTTTTTGAAAAGGTAATTTTGCTGATTTTTTAAATTTTTTTTTAAATTTAAATTTTTTTAAATTTAGTAATTCTGATTTTTTTAGTTAAAATCTTTTGAAATTTTATAATTTTTGGGAAAGTTAGAGCTATAACACGTTTAGTGTATATTAAAACGAATTCATAGTAATCGTCAGTAGATAGAGAAATAGTGTAGCTAGGACAAAGCAAAAGTAGCGCGAAGTTAAAGAAAGGTTAGGGAAAGACAAGGGTAGGGTGGAGTAATTTTGGATAGAATAAAGTAAATAAGATAGGGTAGGATAGAGTGGGCTAAGCTAGGCAAGATTAGAATAGGGTAGGATAGGAAATATTCTTTGAAAGGGCAGGGCAAGGCAAGGCAAAGACAAAGGCAAAGCAAGGGTAGTGTAATGTAAGAGTAGGGTATATAAATGAACATCCTTTCTGTTTTTACTTTAACTTTTTAATATACTTAAAGTTTTATGTAAAGTTTTGTGGCCTTCTAGCGATCTTAATTTAGACCTTTGAGCATGGGAAATTAAGCTAAAAGACCCAGTACGTACACATTTTCTTAAAAATAGTTTTTCCCTTTTTTAATCAGCCACTATAAAGTTTAAAACGGCAAAAACTTGTTCTTTTTGACCTTTTCTGTAATAAAATTTTGAAAAATCTCATGTTTTGGCGTTTGTAAGTATCAGTATTGTCAGACGTTTTTTAAGTCATCTTTTTCAAGACACAAAATTTGTGACAAAATCTGTTTTGAGATTTGATTAGAGTCAGGGCCTCTGAAAAAAGGGTCCCATGGGACTCGGAAATTCAATTCTGAATTCTTTTACAATGCCCTTTCTTGGCGTGCTTCCGCCAATTTGTCATTGGAACGTTGACAATCACTTTTACTGAGTTAGCGATAAAAATAGCCAAAATTTGCATCAATTTAAAATGTTCAAAATTTTTAAATTTCAAATTTTTTTGAATGGGTTAGGGTAGGGTAAAATTTAAAAATGAAGTTTTTATTCACAATTTTTCAGAAACTTGGCTATCATCATTGTATTCACAATAGCCATTGCAATATTTTGTTTGGTAGTACTATCCATGATTTGTCGAAAGTACCATTGGTGCCCATTGAATGACCAAAAGGATGTTTGTAAGTAAAATACGCCTACTGTAAAGTTAAAATTTTTAAAAAATTTTAATGCAGTTACTATTAGGTTGTTCAAATAATTCTGTGTTTCTAACTATACAATTTGTTTTGAAAGGGGGCACAGAATTAGTTGAACAACCTAATAGAACTTGAAGTGATAAAAAAAATTTAAAATCTTTTCCAGACTCTCAATCCGGTAGCTTCCCAGCCTCAGGGTCGCATTCAGCGCTAGGATCAAGGTATTATCGACCGGTCGAACAAGCACCACCAATTTCACATCGAAATTCGCAGGCATTTGCACAGTCATTGAGTATGACACTAAATCAGAATAAACCGCATCAAACACCTTGGGTTGATGGTAAGTACTTGAATATATTAGGTGCCGACATAAAGAACCAGCCATTTTTACAGGAAATCACAGGAAAATTATGGCGGGTTCTACATGTCGGCACTTATTATTTTGAAGTGATAAAACTTTTTTGTTTTATAGTTATGATAAGAATAGATTATAATAAAGCATTACGTAAAGGATAGGGAAGGCCCAGAGCAAGGATGGGGTTTGTGGCTTTGTTTGCTTTAGATAGAGCACAGGCAGAGAAAAAACAGAAGGCACCTGCAAGGCAAAGCAAAGAGAAATTTTAGAGAAAGGGTAGATCATAAGATAAAGCAACTTCGTTAGGGTAAGGTTAGAGCTAGGGCTTAGAGCTAGAACTAGAGCTAGAACTAGAACTACAGTTAGAGTTAGAGCTAAGGCTAGGGCTAAAGATAGGGCTAGAACTAGAACTAGAACTAGAACTAGAGCTAGAACTAGAACTAGAGTTAGAGGTATAGCTAGAGCTAGAACTAGAGCTAGAGGTATAGCTAGAGCTAGGACTACGGATAGGGCTAGAACTAGAACTAGAACTAGAGTTAGAGCTAAAGCTAGAACTAGAACTAGAGCTAGAGGTATAGCTAGAGCTAGAACTAGAGTTAGAGCTAAAACTAGAACTAGAGCTAGGGCTTGTAGGCCTTTTATACTTCAAGTTAAAACACTTGTATTAAAGCCACTATTTATCACTGCTGGCTGAATGCTCGTATTTTACAATGTTTTTTAGCCCCACCACCATACGATTCGATACGGCATCAAGCTCCCAATGGTCCAACGCCAGCACAACGACAACATGACTTTAATTGTATAATGGAAAACCAACTGAACCAGATGCGAGACTCAAATCCCCATCTGGATTCTTAATAACTGTACTATAGCCTGCCTATTTTGAATTTTTTTAATTTTTTTAAAATTTTTTGAAATTAAAAAAATTTTTTTTTGATTTTTATGAAAATGGTTACATAGTAAAATAAGATTAGTAAAAGTATATCTTTCGGTTGTCGTCAGGCTTTAAAAAGGCAAAACTTTTTAATTGTTTTATTACAGTATACTAATTTTTACTATGTAACCACTACTATAATATTTTCGGGTATCATTAAGATTCCAAAACTTTACTTTTTAAATTTTTTTTAACTTTTAAAAACTTTTTTTAAATCTCATGTTTTACTATATTTTGCTAGAATTTTGTTATCAAAACTGTCAAAGATCTTGTTATCACCAGTTCTATTGTAAATTATCTTCGATATCCTTCAACTTCGGATAAAATACGGGCTTTTTTCAATTGTTTTGTTACTTTAAACTTTCGTATTTTATAATTGTAAATTCGTTTTTGGGTGTTTGCATTGTATTCGTATTTTCATGGAAATAAACGCGTATTATGAAGTTTTGAAATTGTTTTATCTTTATTTTGTGTTTTATAAAACAATTTTTTGCAAAAAATAATGTATTTTTGAAAAGTAGACAATCATAACCTTATAAAAAAACGACATTCATCGTGTTAATAAATAAAATTACGTTTTATGGAAAAATGTGAAAAAAGAACGTTTTGGGCAACCAGCTGGGTATCTATATAAGGTAAATGCGATTTAAAGGTAAAAAATGATTTAGGAGGTCTAACTCTAATACGTTTTACAAACTTTTAGAATTCCTTAAATTGGGAACAATGACGGTCAAAAAGAAATTTTTTATTGCTTTTTAACATTTTTTTTAAAATTTTTTGAAAAAAATTTTTTTTTATTTTTTGTTTGTTTGATCCACTCACTACCATCTTAACCGATAAGAAGACCAAACTGAGTTCAATTGTTTGTTACGCATAGTTCAGCTCAGCTCAGATCAGCCCAAGCCAGACCAGCTTAAGCCTAACTCGTCCCGGCTCAGCCTAGCCAAACTTAGGCCATCCGGGCATAGTAAGCTTTGTTCAGGCCTACTGTCATCAGATATATAAAAAAGCATAGCCATGGTTTGGGAAATTGCATTTTGGAAAAATTTTGTAGTGTTATTTTACCTCATTCTTCCTTTTATCTCCTCCTCCCTCCCTCCCCCCACCCCTGCACCCCATCTTTTATAATGATGAAATTGTTACCGCTCAAAGTACATTAACTTTTTTTACCGAACATTGTTCTAATAACCACGTAATTTTACTCCCAACACATTTTATGAATTCCATATCGACTATTTCGAATCGTCTTACAAGACTGTCTAGCAATAAATATTTATGACACGGTTGTTACAACACAAAGTTAAAGTGAGCGAAATGGGTAAGGCTACCTGGTGAGCTAAACTTTTGATTTTGAAGCGTATATCAATATTCTTAAAGAGTATGTCAACGTGTTTTTTAAATATATTGTTATCTTTAAGTTGGTTATTACAATATCAAAGTGTGTTTTTAAAGCGTATATCAAAGTATGTCGGGTTATTTTTGCGTTGACTGCGGCTAAAATTAGATACCAGACGTTTCGAGATGAGTCGAGCTTTGAAGTGTAAAACTCTTTTGTTTATTGCTTAGAACTTTGCATATAGGCTTTCTCAAATAATTGACAACTGATCGGGGTCTTTTGGAGTTTTTTAATATTTTTTTTGTTTTACCACGCTCAGTATTTTTAGTTTTAAGAGAGTTTTTAAGTGTCTTAGCTTACTCTAGCCTTGACGTCATTTTAAGAATAAAACCTTATTTACCACACCCAATAGTTTAGTTTTTAGGGTGTTCTTTTTTAATTTTTGAAGCATATACGAAGTTTTAAAGTCATTTTAAGATTTAAAATTTTTTACCACGCCCAATATTTTAGTTTTTAGGGGTGTTTTTTAGATTTTTCTAATTTATTCTATTCTTGGAGCCATTTTTAATGCAAACTTTTTCTACCCTTCTATAATTTTTTTTGAAAGAATTAGTTTATTTTGCCAATTCTAAAACTTTTAACTTAAAACTAAAATTTTTTGAAAAATGTAAAAAATTTTGTTGCAATCAAATTCCAGAGCTGCCAATAGTCATAAATAACTTTTCGAGTTTTACTGTTTCCGTTAAAGCCTTATCATTCGAATTCCTTTGTTCTTAACTAAAAGAGGCTTCAATTGCTGCTGATAATGTTATTACAGTTGATTGTTAAAATTTATTTTTGACTTTTAAGATTCTTAGGCTTTGATTGAAAGATTAGTAATATTATTGGATAGAAACTTTGTTAAGAGGTTATGCCTCTAACTTTATAGAGTGGGACTCCTGTATAAAGAATTGTTTAAACTATTTGAAATTTATTTGCTATAGAGGAGTTTCATTATACAGGAGTCGTAAATGCATTGTGTATTGTTAGCCCACAATTAATTGGCAGCTGGGGTTTAAAAGTTATATGTTATACAAGAATTGTGTTATAGAGACGTTCTTCAACTGTACCTTATTTTTCTTTCTTTTACCAGAAATCGCATTTACCTTTCATAGATCTCAGCTGGTTGCCCAAAACTTTTTTTTCACAATTACATAAAAACTAACTGTTGTTTGCAAACGCAATGAATTTTGCTTGTTATACAAAAGCACCTTATAATAGTGCCAAAAAAAGTTTTTTTTTATTAAAAGTTTTTTGTAAGGTTTGTCTAGGTAATTCTTGATTACAAAGCTATGAAGTTCATTGTATGTAGAACAGTATAATAAGCTTATTTGCTTAAAACTAAAATTAAATTATTGTACTAATTATATTTAGTAATTAAAGTTGCCATTGTTTATAAAACGTTTAACGTAGAGATATAGAGCTTACTAGGTCAAAGACCACATTTAAACATTAAATTTAATTTTATATACACTTGTTTATGTATTATATTAGACACTTTGACATTTGATTTTTTGAAATCAGAGCTCCTCATTGTAAAAAAAGGTCAGTTATCCTTTATCAGAAATAATTTTTTTTATGATTTAGTTCTTCTTTAAAACAATAATTCACCAAGACATTTGTCTTAAAAGCAGTTTAGTAGTGTTAATGTATTTTCTCATAAAATATTTTTTTTTGTATTCTGATGCATACGAAATTTCTACAAAATAGTTTTGAGTTTTGTCCTTGTTAATAGGTATAGCATAATAGGTTGTGTGACCACTAATATTTTGCAAAGTCAACTATATTTGTATAATAGGTTTGCCTGTAATATAGGGAATGAAGTAGAATTCTTGTATAGCGTGAGGTTTTTCAAATAGTCATGTATGAAGAAGTTTTGCTAACATCTTCATAACGAACAGAAAGTACTGAGCGATTCGTTATACAGAAGTTTCATTGTAAATATCTTTTAGCTCTTACAATTATTAGAAAAAAACTTGTAACTTGGTCTAAATACAGTGGAACTATTGTATAACGAGTTCTTCTGTAACGAAACTACTCCTTTATAACGAACAAATTTCAAGTCATCGAACGATTCGTTATACAAGAGTTCCACTTTAATAGATTAGTGAAGGAGACTTTTTGGTTTCAAACTGGTGTATTGACATTTTGTTCGATTCATTTTGCACAATTGGAACAAATGTTTTTTTTATTATTTAATTAATTTGAAATGTCAGGAAACATCTCATTTTTTGCTATTCACAAAAGGTGCTTGTAGTACTAATTATTTACAGTTGCAAATTTCTTGAAGCCCCTGTATGTTTATTAGATGCCGACATAAAGAACCCGCCATACATTGCCTGTAATTTGCTATAAAAAAATGGTGCGTTCTTTATGTCGGCACCTTTTAGTCTGCCAAACAGTGAGACAAAGCTGGCAACTTAAAGGTGCTTGCAGCCTTTACCTCATATTTAAAGTTACAGCTCGGGTTAATCATTATCTTGTTGTTCTATACTGTGTGGTTAGTTTTCGCGGCTTAAGATCGATTATTTACTACTAGACTACTGGTCAGTGAGTTATAGGCAGCAGAGAGCACTGCGACTTATTGAAAATATGTTTTTTTTGAATGTACCTGTTATACTTTTATGTATGTTTGTCAAATTATGTACGTGCGAATTTAAATTGGTAGCTGGGTTCTATAATGCTAAAGAACCCAACATATCGTCGGACGCGGGTTTGTCGCCGGAACGTTACTGTAAAGCGCGGATTCGGAAGTACAAAGGTTTTTAAATACTTACTATATAAAGTTTGGTGTTGTGCTGCTCTTAAAAGGAAAAAACTACTTTAAGTTCAAAAGTACTAAAACATATGACAAAACCCCCCTTACGTACAGGTACGTTCTGTGTGCACTTGACCCCGCGTGATCCGCTGAAATCCGTTTTGTAACGGTTTGTTACACTCAATGACAAGTGAAAACCAAAAACCTCGACGTAACGGGTGCAATATGTTTGTCGTCGAATATATGAATCTTGTTTGTTCAAGTTCAATTCGGTGCAATGCTACTGGATTGTTTGCTTTGCAAATTTAAATCACAAGAGGGCGGGGATTTAAAAAAAGGAAGTGAAAAGTGATGGGAATCGAATTTTAGTGATCTTTTGGCCTGGCAATAATAAAATATTTGCGAGTTTACTTTAGTAGGGTATAATTCCTTAAAAACTTTAAGAAAAGGACCATGTTTAACTGTTTTAAAAAAAAAAAATTTTTGAGGATGTGGATAGTGTTTGACCGGTCATAGTATTGTAGTAGAACTCTTGTTTTCTTCATTATCAGACTTTTTACTTTTCGACTTTACTTTATAAATATAGGCTTAATAATATGAAATTAGGCCTGAATTTATAAAAAATAGGCGTTTCCAGATCAGGCTGTTTTAAAAATATAATGCGTGTTTTTAAAAATAGGCTTAGGTTTAGTACAAAAAGGCCTAATTTTCAAAATATGGTTAAAGTTTACTGAACCGAAGCTTAACATTAAACAATTAGCTTTTAAAAAACTATTAAAACACGACAAAATTAAGCTTATTTTTATAGAATTAGGCTTAAGGTTAAGTTAAGCCAATTTTGAAAATTAGGCTTAAATTCAACATAAAAAAGGTTAACTTTATAAAATTAGGAATAGGTGGGCGAATTTTGCAGCTGTGTATTTAATTTGTAGGATGAATAAGATCATGATACAAATAAAAAAGGAAAGAACGGTAGAACGCAAGCCCTTGTGCACACTCACGTGAGACTTGTTGATACCGTTCTTTTTAAAACTTTTTTAAATCCTATTGTTTGCAAAGATACAGTAACATGGGAAAGCGAAAGATATATAATATAAGTTTGTGGGGGGGAGGGGTTATATATAGTGGAATATTTGTATTACAAGTTCCTTTATAACAAAACTCATCTAACAATTGAATTTTATATCTCCGAAAGATTCGTTATACAGGGGTTTACAGTGTAAAAAATTGAAAATTAGCGACGACTATAATGCACTAGGTCAATAACTTAACTTGAGCTCAGCCACATTTTTTATGAGTATAGTGATCACATAGTAGTAATTCTAATCTAATTCGAAGTGCTTTTAAAAAAACGTGTAGTCAAGTCTTCTCGGCGTTCCAAGTACGTTCTCTACTTCTTTTTTCATACTCTTGAAGTGTAATCAGATAAGATGTCTAGTTTCTGAGACTTCGAAACTTTAAATTTTAAATGCCTACATAAAGAACCCGCCATTTGTTACAGGAAATTACAGGGAAAGTATGGCGGGTCCGTTATGTTGGCACCTAATAATACAAAAATTTGTCGCAAACTTTAAATTTTTTTTTTGAAACCATCATTTTTATGTTTAAAATTGGAATTTTAGAATGACAGCCATAGAGCCAGATCGAAACTTCGTTTTAAAAGATGGGTATCGTTACTTTATTGTGGCATTAGCATTACTATGTCTAACATCGATCTCTGCCAATGTTCAAGCTTTCAATATGGCTGTGGTTTGTATGACAAAAGCTGATAACAATGAAACTGAGGTAGGTAGAGTGGCAAGAACTTTCCTTCCAAAACAAAAAATCGCAGGAACTTTCTTTCCAAAACAAAAAATGACAAGAACTTCCTTTACAAAGCAAAAAAGGGAAGAACTTTCTTTACAAAATAAAAAATGGCAAGAACTTTCTTTACAAACCTTAATTTTCCAAAAATTTCCAATTTTCAGACATCGACCGGTCCATTTTACGACTACAAAGATGACAAACTTCGAAACCTTAACTGGGCTGTGGGTATTGGTAGTGCAATAGGCACATTCCCCTTTAGTATCGCTTATACTCGCTTCGGAGCCAAGTATATCATTGGTATTGTTGGAATGATATCGGCCGCTTTATGTATTGTCACACCATTGGCTGCTGCTCATGGTGAATATTGGTTTTATGCGGTTAGGGTACTACATGTAGGTCTTTTGTTACAGTAAAATTTTGAATTTTAAAACATTTTTAAAAAAATTAAATTCTCAATTTTAGGGATTAGCATATTCAGCTGATTTCGCTGCCATTGGCTTACTTTGCACCAAATGGGCTCCGCTAGCTCAGAGTGCGTTTTATGTTTCTACTTTAACTTCTTATTCGTCTTTATCATCGTTGTTAATGTTTGTATTCGGAGGTTATGTAAGTTTATTATTATTGTACCCTACGCTACCCTATCCTACCCTACCATACCCTACCCTACCCTACCCTACCCTACCCTACCCTACCCTACCCTACCCTACCCTAGCCTACCCCACCCTACCCTACCCTACCCTACCCTACCCTACCCTACACTACCCTGCCCTACCCTACCCTACCCTACCTCGCCCTACCCTACTCCGAGAAGCAATTTTTTCCGGACCGGTCCCGGAGTGGGTTTTTTTTTATCCGGTCCCAGATTTTTTTGGACCGGTCCGGTCCAGCTCAGTTTTATTTTTGCTTTGCTTCGGTTCGTCCAGAGGGTTTCTTTCGACCTTATCATAACCAGTGCCGGGCGGGGTTTTTGGTGTGGAGGCGGGGGTCAAAAAATCCACAGGGAGTAACACGTTCAACTTTTTTCGAAATTTTTTGGGGGGGGGGCCCCCCTCCAGCGCCCGCCTCTGATCATAAGCTCAACTACTGAATTAAATTACCGTCACTGGCCTTACCCTACCCAAGAGTACCCTATACATTAGCTTAAACCTCCATTCTACCTTACCTTACCCTACTTTATGCTTTTCCAAGTCATACCTTTGTTATTCGTAGTCCCAGCTTTTTTGTAAAACCCTTATGACAGTATATTAAACCATTCCTATTTCAGATGTGCGAGACCAGTATAGGTTGGCCACTAATCTACTACACCTGCGCGGCAGCCGGCTTCCTTTTCTTCATTCTCTGGTTCATTTTCTTTGATGATTTGCCTTCAGAATCTCGTTTCACCTCAGCCAAAGAAGTAGAACTGATCCAAGAAGGTAAAGGAGACGAAGAAATCCACCAAGTCAAGAAAGTACCCTACCTTCAAATCATGACCAACCCAGTATGTTGGACCATTTGGTACAATTCGTTTGCCGAAATCGCTACCAGCTTCTTCTTGTACTCATTTGTGGCCAAATTCCATCACAATGTACTCGGGTTTTCGATTCATACGGCCGGTCTTATGGCCGCTTTACCATCCTGCATCTACATACCATTGCGCATTGTTGTCGGCTACATAAACGATCGTATCACCTTCGTACAGCCGCGTATGAAGTTGATCGTGTTCAACTCGATCGCCCTGGTTCTACCAGCTTTTGTCTATGTTGTAGTAGGCTTTATTGGCCCGGAGCTGAGAGTTTTGTCGGTAGTTTGCTTCGTCACAATTTACATTTTCTACGCCTTCTCCGGGGGTGGATTCTACAAGTGCGCAACGTTGGCTACACGACAATATTCTCACTTTGTGATTGCTAACATTCAGTTTATCAAATGTATAACATTGTTCGCTGGACCGGCATTGTTCAAGGAGGCTGTGCATGATGAGTCACAGCTCTCGGAATGGAGAGTAGCATTCTTGGTCATTGCTGGAGTATTACTAACGGTATGTTTGAGCGAAAGGGCAAAAACTTTCTTTACAAAACAAAATATGGCAAGAACTTTCTTTACAAATCAAAAACTGGCAAGAACTTTCTTTCCAAAAGTCAAAACGACTAGAACTTTCTTTACAAACTGAAGAATGGCAAGAACTTTCTTTACAAAACAAAAAATGGCAAGAACTTTCTTTACAAAACAAAAAATGGCAAGAACTTTCTTTACAAATCAAAAAATGGCAAGAACTTTCTTTACGAAACAAAAAATGGCAAGAACTTTCTTTACAAAACAAAAAATGACAAGAACTTTCTTTACAAAACAAAAAATGGCAAGAACTTTCTTTACAAAACAAAAAATGGCAAGAACTTTCTTTACAAACTGAAGAATGGCAAGAACTTTCTTTACAAATCAAAAAATGGCAAGAACTTTCTTTACGAAACAAAAAATGGCAAGAACTTTCTTTACAAAACAAAAAATGGCAAGAAATTTCTTTACAAAACAAAAAATGGCTGTATATAAATTTTAGGCAGGAGTCCTGTTCAACATAATGGCCACAGACAAACCACAAAAGTTTACGGGTGTTGACAAACTACAAGATAAAGGCAATAAACATTAACTCTATCATACCACCAAATGCAAAACTAGGATATCAAAGCAAGCTTTCAAATGGTTTTCAGTTCAAGTATGACATTTACAACAATATACACAACAGGTTATGAACCTATGTACAGAATAAAGTAAATTAACAAAGTAAAACTTGATAAACAATTTTTATTCAATTAGTCATAAAGTAGTGTTAAAATAGCAGTTATTTATGCGTTTTGCTTGTCGTTGATATAGGCTTTTGTTCTTCTTTTGTAAACGGTAGTGGTTCGGCTCGGGCAATGAAGATGAACACTATACTGCTCTAAAAATTGAAATGTAGGACAACATTACTCGTTTCTAAAACAGTAAAAAAATTAATTTTCTCGAATCATACACTACCCTACCGTACTCTGTATTAACTAATATTTCGTATCTAAAACTGCCCTACTTGACCCTACCTGTTTCTACTTGACCCTACTCCGCTTATTCTGTCCTACGCTGCCTTTTACCCTACTCTACAAGGTGTCCAGAGAAAAGTGGAAGAAAGTCCAAGCCTCGTTCACGAAAACTAGAAGTCCAAATTGGCTGATTCTTTTTTTGTTAGGCTTGTAATAGCATGCGGATTTGTTCTGTGTGATTTTTTGACCATTCGGCGGAGGCTCGGCGAAGACCGGCGGACGGTATTTCCACTGTTTTCATGGTTATTCCAACCTGTTTCGTATTGTAACTCATGTTTTGGCCATTTTTCAATGCAATTTCAAAATTTTTACTAAAATTTTGTACCATCGGCGGAGAAACTCGGCGAACGCCATAACTCAGCCGAATGTTGATAGTTTTTCTCCAAACAAAAACCAATATTGTTTATGTTACTTTGCCCTCAAAATGGACTAACTTTAGCAGTTTTTACTCGTATGCACAAAAATCGGCGGAGAGCCGGTTTATCGGCGGAGACCATATCTTGGTTCAAAATCAATTTTTTTACTTCAAACAAAAGCATTATGTTTATATGTAATACTTCTTTAACACAGTGAAATTTGGCTATACATGTGCTTTTAACTTCAGGAAACCACACGATTATTTGTATCAACAAGATATTTTTTGTAAAAATTAACTAAATTTGAAGAAATATTACATACAAACGTAATGTTTTTTGTTTGAAGTAAAAGTATTGATTTTGAACAAAGTTATGGCCTCCGCCGATAAACCGACTCTCCGCCGATTCTTTAGTTTCTTTGCAAATTTTATTAAACTTTACCATTTTGAAGAAGTATTACATACAAACGTAATGTTTTATGTTTGAAGTAAAATATTGATTCTGAACAAAGTTAAGGCCTCCGCCGATAAACCTGCTCTTCGCCGATTTGTTAATTTTTTTGCAAATTGTGTCACATTTTGTCATTTTAAAGGAGATTCACATACGAACATAATGTTTTTGGTTTGATTTCAAAATATTGATTTTAAACAAAGTTATGGCCTCCGCCGATAAACCGGCTCTCCGCCGATTTTTTAGTTTCCTCGCAAATTTTATGGTTTTAAAGAAAATGCACCTACGAACATAATGTTTTATGTTTAAAGTAAAATATTGATTCTGAACAAAGTTATGGCCTCCGCCGATAAACCGGCTCTCCGCCGATTTGTTAGTTTTTTTGTAAATTTTGTCAAATTTTGTATTTTTGTTGATTCTGAACAAAGTTAAGGCCTCCGCCGATAAACCTGCTCTTCGCCGATTTGTTAATTTTTTTGCAAATTTTGTCACATTTTGTCATTTTAAAGGAGATTCACATACCAACATAATGTTTTTGGTTTGATCTCAAAATATTGACTTTGAACCAAGATATGGTCTCCGCCGATAAACCGGCTCTCCGCCGATTTTTGTGCATACGAGTAAAAACTGCTAAAGTTAGTCCATTTTGAGGGCAAAGTAACATAAACAATATTGGTTTTTGTTTGGAGAAAAACTATCAACATTCGGCTGAGTTATGGCGTTCGCCGAGTTTCTCCGCCGATGGTACAAAATTTTAGTAAAAATTTTGAAATTGCATTGAAAAATGGCCAAAACATGAGTTACAATACGAAACAGGTTGGAATAACCATGAAAACAGTGGAAATACCGTCCGCCGGTCTTCGCCGAGCCTCCGCCGAATGGTCAAAAAATCACACAGAACAAATCCGCATGCTATTACAAGCCTAACAAAAAAAGAATCAGCCAATTTGGACTTCTAGTTTTCGAGAACGAGGCTTGGACTTTCTTCCACTTTTCTCTGGACACCCTGTACTATATCCAACCCTACTTTACCCTACCGTACATTGTCTTCCCTTTTATAACCCATATGCCTACAATAATCGGCCCTACAGTACCCTAACCAACCATACTCAGCTCTAACTGACTCAACAGTATTTTACCTTACCTGCTCTACCAAGCCCTATTATACACTCGGCTACTTGATGCTACTCTAACTTAGTTGGTAATATCGTACTCTACCATAACCTACAATACTCTACCCAACTCTACCGTATCCTAACCTACCGTAGCTTACCATACCGCGCTCTGTCCTAATTTACCACTCCCTATAGATCTCAACACTAACACAACCTATCGTACCCTACACAATCTTATTTAACCCTGCCGTACTCAGTCTTAACCTACTCTACATTATCGTATCTCAACACTCAGTGTTCTGCCCTACTTTACGCTTCCTTGTCTTACGATACCGTGACCATTATTGTTTATTAAAACCCTAATTTATTTTACCCTATTTCACCCTATTTTACCCTATTCCAATATAACCCTACTCCTCAACCACCTTCCCAACTTGACTTACTGCAATCATTAATCCGCCCAACCCACAAAAAGCAGGTCGCCATTTCTCGATCTTTGGGTAATCCTCTTCGGACCTTAATGTTAATGAGAACACTGTTGGTACTGCCAATAAGCATATGCTTTTTAGAAACTGAACTCCAGCTATTACAAATCCAGAATATTGTCGTGCTGCCAGATGGGCACACTTGTAAAAAGCACCGCCAGCGAAGGAGAAACAAATGTACATGATGACCAAAGTGGCTATTGTAACGTAGCGATATTCTGGTGGGATAAAGCCTACCATAATGAGACATGTACCAGAACAAGTTAGGGTTACCATGTTGAATATTATCATCTTGATTCGTTCGGGACAACAACTGAAATGACATGTGTGTTAGCTAGGACCAGAGTAGGAGTAGGCTACAGTAGTAGTCAAGCATACGGTAAGACAAGGTTTTTAAGACATAAGGCAAGGTATGGCAAATTAAGTTATGGTAGGTAAAAGAGAGTATGGTAACTTAAGGTAGGGTAGAGTAGGATATGGGCCAATAGTAGGAGAAGAAGACGAGTAGAGGTAGCCATACCTAATTCGATCATTGATATATCCGACCGCAACCTTAAGTATGATAAACGGTATGGGAGGTACAGCGGCCAAGTAACCAGCAGTATGTGTATCAAATTTGAGTACGTTCACATGAAATCGACCAATGTAAGCGTAGATGAAGAAGCTAGCTACGATTTCGGAAAAAGCATTTAGCCAAACGGTCCATATTGTAAGTGACGACAAGATTTTCTGAAATTTTAAAAATTAGTCAGTCCCCGTTAAAAAGTTTCAAAAATTTGAAGCGCTTATCTCTCCCCCCCCCCCTCACTGCCCACGACAATAAACATCCCCTGATAAAACTTTAGCAGACCTACCACATAAGGTACAGTAGTTCGTTCTGCCATCTCAGCTTTAAATTTCCCTTTGGCCAGTATTTCGTACTCATCTTGGCTCAGATACTTGTTTTTTATAGGCGCGTCATTGTAATACATAAACCAGAAAATGAAGGTCAAAATGGTCACAACTCCCATACCATAGTACATGATCGGCCAGCCAATTGGAGATTTGCAAGACTAAAAAATAGTTTTAAAAATTATCATGCCTTAAAAAATATTATGTTAACCTACCCTACTTTACCCTACCCGGCCCTACTTTATCATACTTTACCCCGTCCTACAGTACCGTACCCTACGCGACCCTACTCTAACTTACCTTACCGTGCATTACCGTACCTTTCATACCCTACCTTACCTTACTCTACCGCGCCCTATTCTACCCTACCCAACTCTGCACTACCTTACCCACCCCCTACCACAACCTACCGGTCCACTAAGCGCAAAAGTGACAACTGAAGCAATAGGTGTATACCCAGTGAGCAGTGACACATACAAAGCACTTCTATTCAAAGGTGACCATTTTGAGATCAACAGTCCGATCATACTAAAATCGGCCGAGTATAAGAAGCCTTGAATCAGCCTGATCACCATGAACGGCCAGAAGCCAAAACTCGCGGCCAATGGGGTGAGACAACAGCAAATGCCTGACAAAACCCCTGCCCCGCCAAAGAAATACTTGGCTCCGAGTCTGCTGTAGGCATAGTTAAATGGGAATGTTCCAATTAGACTTCCGATTCCTATGGCACGCTGTAGCCAGACTTCTTCGTCCTTGCTTATTTCGTAGTGGGGTGGGTTTGAAGTCTGGAAATAGGTAACAATAACATTGTTTTAGATAGACAAAGATCTTGTACCTGGTTTCATAAGAAACAATTCTTGTTTTGAAATACTAAAAAGTCTTGTCGTTTTTTATAACTGGAACCAATGTAAAATGACGACAAGACTTTTTTGACACCTAAAATACAAAAAAAATCAAAATTTTTAAAATTTTTGCCATTTAGGATTAAAACAAACCTTTTCGCGTCCAAAAATAAGTCTTGTCGTTTTTTATAACTGAAATCAATGTAAAATGACAACAAGACTTTTTACACATCGTTACATAAGAAAAAATTATTTTTTTTTTCAAATTCCAAACTCAAAAATTAAAAAAAAGTTCTTACCGTTTCATTTTTAACACAAAGAATGACCTGATTGAATGCGGTAACACCTCCATTGATCCATGTTAAGCACGCCAAGGCTACAAACATCAAAACGTGCCTAAACTTGTTTTTCAAACAAAAACTTCCATGTGCTACAGATGATTCGCTGTCTGCTGTTCCATTAGTACCAGCTGTACCGGTTACACTTGCTTTTTTAGGTACTGATTTTTGATTCGCTTTGGATTCTTTATCTAAAAAGATGATATTATGGTTCACGGTCGCAACAACTGGATCAGTAGTACCACTTTATACCAAAAAGTTTTTTTTTAATCCTATCTTAAGCTCTAAAATCATAAAAACCACAATAAAAAATTTTAAATTTTAAAAACTCCCGTCACCTCCAGAATCCTTGGCTACAGAATTAACATCGCCAAGCCCAACCTCATTTAGCTTTGTAGATTCAGTACCAACATCAGATTCGTCCGGTTTCACCTTCTCTGGACCTTTGGCTCCATCCGCATCCTTCGACATCAAAGCCCACCGCCTGAAAATTGTAAAAAATAAGTAAGAAAATGACTTTAGTTAGAATTTCGAACAATTTTCAAAAAATTTTTTAGAGTTTGGTGGATCATACAATAAAGTTTCTACTCATCAAATTTCATGTCAATATTTTCAGTTTTAAAAAAGTTACATTTGATTGAAAATGTCGAAAATCCATAAAAGTTCGAATCCGGTTGGAAACCTAGGGCTTTTTCTAATTTCAACTGGCTGTAACTTTAATACCAAATAAGATAAGTTAACAAAATTTTGAGAAAATCAACAAGACTTTAGGCTCTTCAATAGCTATTAATTAAATTTTTTTAAAACTTGTAAAACTTGAAAAAAATTTAAAATAATACACCCCCAAGACATGTGAAAATATAGTCTTTACAACATTAAAAAACTGTTTTAAAAAGACAAAGAACGAAAATGCAATTTAAAATTTTACAAACTGACGTTTTTTAAATCGCACATCAAAATATATATTCATTATGAACCATAAAATTTACATTTATTGTTATTCATCACTTATATTGTGATGATTTTGGAAGCAATCATCACTTTTAATATTGCTTCTATCATGCCACCTTAACTTGTTCATCCGTTTTGAATGACATTGCAATCAAATTTTTTAACAAAAAAAATTAAAACTCTAAAATTTGAAATTTTCAAAAAAAATCAAAAATTTTTTTAAATTCCATTTTTTGATTATGCAAATTTCTCAAAAACCCAAATTTCTACATCTTTTTTGTATAAAAATTTCGAAATCTTCCAAAATTTTAAATTCCGTCATTACTTTGGCCATTGTCTACCCAGCACCGTGTGGTGCATCATGTCTCGCGTGTCAGATGCCGTTTCCCAAATTACAGAATCTGGAGCCATGTCGCGGATTACAGATGGCCAATACTCACCTGAGCTAACCTCATCGACCCGCCTCAAAGCAAGTGGATCCTTCTGCTTGAAGAACCGATTCCGACACTTTCTGATTGTGATTGCATTGGCTTGTTTGAGTATTGTCAACAGTAATATCACCGCCTTTAATCAAGTCATCATGTGTATTAAGAATGAAACGGTAGGTTGCTGACCTAAAAAATCAAAATCTTGATAGTAATGTTGATCGGACCTAACAAAAAAATGATTTTTATCTGGAACGTATTTTCTTGTTTGAACACCGGACTATTTCACAAAAAAATCATGTAACCGCCACATTTGACTTGCGCTATACCTTTTACAATCTTATAAACCCTCTAATTCCTTGCTCATCATCTATTCGTCCTTCTTTAGCTCCTAAACACACAAAAACACAAAAAAAACGTTGACTTACCTGCATTTCGGACCTAGAAGTAGCTGTGTGCCCAATATCACCTAAATCATGTGAATTTGGACCAATTTTGGAACCATTTTGTAAAAAGTTGTTTCATTGGAATCATAACACACGTAAAGTCAACACAATTTGTGCCAACATTTCCAATCTAAATCAATGTTGCAAAAAAAATATTTTTTTATTTATTTTTCGTCGAAGATTATTGGCCGCAGCTTGCGGTCGTTGTCTTGAACGTTTTTTTTAATTCTTTTAGCGTGCCGAACGTTGTGCTACGTTTTTTTTTCATTGTTAAAACTTCCAAATAAAAAACCTTCGATTTTTGTTAATTTATCGTGTTTTACATTGCTTTATTTACCTTGTTTTACAGTTGTTTGCCTCGTTTTCTTTTATTTTCTTTGTTTTTTTTTACCTTGATTATTCCCTTTGCTTTACCACGTTTTACCTATTATTATTCACCTTATTTTACCTCATTTTAGGACTCCTCCGAACCACATTATCCCATAACAATAAGCGAAGAAGCCTGGCTACAACAAGCGATTGGAGTTGGCAGTTTATTGGGCACGTTTCCTTATAATTATGGATTCTCCAAGATCGGAGCCAAATATTTATTCGGAGTTTGCGGTTTTATCTCCGGAATTTGTGGAGCTTTGACGCCATTGGCTGCAAAAAGTGGATTCTGGTGGTTTTTCACCATGAGATTCATTCAGGTAAGAATATTTTTGGTATTTTATTCTGTTTTTAGGGCTTCATTTTCTCGGCCGACTTTTCGATGGTAGGATTGTTGATAACAAAGTGGTCTCCGTTGAATAGAAGTGCTTTTACTGTGTCGTTGTTGACCTTGTTTACGCCAATATCGTCTGTTATTACGTTTGCATTGTCAGGACCGGCATGTGAATCGTCGATGGGATGGCCAATATTGTATTATGGTCTAGCCGTAGCCACATTTGTTTGTTTTACACTATGGTTTGTGTTCTACAACGATGAACCGGCCAATAATCGATTTTTAAGTCAAGAAGAATATGACTTAATCTCAGAGGGCAAAAATAAAGAAGAGATGGCGAAAAAGCAAACGAATATTCCATACATGGTAAGGTTTTTTTGCTATTCTGGATAGTTGTAGGGCTTTTTTTTGTAATTCGAAGTATTAATTTGTTTTTTTAACGTTTATCGAGGGCTATTGATAACCTAAAACAATATCTGATAACCTAGAGTTATATCACAATAAATCTGGGGCTAATTCTTTTGATTTAGGTATCAATTTGAAGCTTATTTTATGGAGAATAAAGATTCAAAGCAATTTGTAGTCTTTCTATACGTTTTTAGAGAATTACACCTTGTTTTAGGTACCAATAGACCAATTTTTACATTTTTTTCAGAAAATTTTTAAAAGTCCGACAATCTGGACGGTTTGGTACAATGCCTTTGCGGACATGTTCAGTAGCTTCTTCTTCTACGCTTATATTGGCCGTTTTCATGTTCATGTGCTTAAGTTTGACACTATTACAGCAGGATATTTGGCCGCTTTACCACCAGCACCATTTATCATCACAAAGTTGTTTTTCGGATATGCTAATGACAGAATGACGTAGGTTTTTGAATTTGTAGCAGTTTTTTGAATTTTTGGAGGATTTTTGGGCTTAAAATGGCAGTAACTTTTTTTACAAAACAAAAAACGGCAAGAACTTCCTTTACAGCAGGAAACAATGGCGAAAACTTTCTTTACAAAACAAAAAATGGCAAGAACTTTCTTTTCATAACTTTAAACGGCAAAACTAACATTATATTGTTGTAGATGCTGCTCAGAACGCATAAAGATAAACATCTTTAACACGGTAGATGTGATGGGCATGGGAATCTTCCTATTTGCAACTGGTGCAATTCCACCCGAGTACTGGTATTTAACCATAACTGCACTGTGTTTAACTTACGTCTCCATGTCATTTGCGGGGGGTGCCTTCTACAAATGTGCTCATTTGGCAGCACGACAATACTCGAGTTTTGTCATCGCGATGATTCAATTCCTGAAGAGTGTGTCTTTACTAACAGTGCCGTCGTTGTTTGCATTAGTCATCAGAACCGACGAGGATTTGGACAAGATGGAACGGTGGAGACCGGCGTTCTTTACGTTGGCTGGACTGATGTTTTCGGTGGGTTACGGGGGCGGTGTAGTTATGGGTTGAGAGTTATTAATATAGGAATTTCACTTTTAGGCCGGATTTCTATTCTACTTCTTCTCAACCGCCGATCCATTGCCATTTACAAAAACTGGAGAAAGTTCATCAGAGGATGAAACTGCTACAAAGTCCAAGGAGGAATCACAAGTATAAAACCATGGGTCGGATTCTTATAATCGGATGATTTTTAAGGCGTTTTAATGAGAAAAAAGGTGAAGGATAATGTAAATAAAGCTTTATTTTGTGTTGTTTTTCTATTGCTTTATCTAAATTTTATGGAAACACAGTTTAAACATCAACACGATTCCATATAGCATCAAGAACTTGAAAGTTGTTGTCCGGCGTATTCGACACAATCAGTTCTTTGTTAAAAATATTTTTAGGTGCTTGAATCCTTTTAGAAAACATTTTCCATTTGATGTTACGATTCAGCACGGTAACGCATACACTTTGTGTAAAGAAATAGATTGCTAAACATAATAGGTAACAGTTGAAGATCAGAACGTCCTGGCGTGACGGGCGTTTACTGAACAAATGTAGTAGAAGCAATGATTCAGTTATACTGAACACAATGCTTTGAGCTATGAAGCAGGCGTGCAAACGTAGCATCATCCACACGTTTTGTTGAAGCTGAAAGCAGTTTTTATAGTTTAGATGAGTTATTGGAATCAGAAAAATGTCACCGGACTGTTCTGGAGTTTCAATAACCTAGTTTTAGCTCCAGCTCTATCTCACGCTCAAGCTCTATCCTTGGCTCTAGTTCATGTTTTAGCTTAAGCCAGAGCCCATGCTCTGGCTTTAGCCATAGCACTAACTTAAGCTCTAGCTTTGGTTCTAGCTTCAGCTTTAGTTGTAGGTCATGCTTTAGCTTATGTTCTAGCTCATGCTCTATCTAATGCTTAGTCTGATGTTCTAGCTCATTCTTCAGCTCATGCTCTAGCTTAAGCCCTAGACTCAGCCCTACCTCTACCTTCAGTCTTCATTATGTTAGACACGGTTTTAATAAACTGTTTGACTACCTTACCTGAAATTGTTTGGAAATTCCCGCAAACCGTGCTCTTCTGTATGTTGCAAGCAATGTTCTTCGAAGAATAAAAAACCCCTAAAACACTTTTAGGTAACAAAAAGGTACTTGAGATTCAACTTTCAGGTTCTCTTCAAACTTCATCTATGACATCAATAGCTAAGAATTGGACAAAAAGAAAATGTTTTAAAGGAAAAAATTAATGTAAGTTTGAGTTTCTTACCAAAAAAGCCCCTGCACTTTCGCTGATTTGAATTGGCACAATAATTAACACGGCATTGGCGTCTGACGTCGCATCTGTAAAAAGATGTTGACAAAAAAAATTTTGGAACTATAAATTAAGTACAATAAAAATTAAAAAAACTCACTAACATAATGTGTTATGGCTACTAGAGAACTTAAAACGACCTGAAAAATTACATTTTAGGCGGGTTTAGAGTAGTCACTATATTAAAAAGTAAAGTAGAGATGCGTAGAGCTAGCGTTATGGCTAGAAAAAGAGCTGGAGCATCAGCTAGATCAAAACCTAAAGCTAGAGGTAGAGCTAGAGCACGAGCTAAAGCTAAAGCTTGAGTTTGGACTAGAGATAGAGAATGAGAAAAATCTGTGACAAGAGCTAGGATAGGAGCTACAACTTGGGCTAATGCTACGGCCAGAGTCTGGAGCTAGAGCGTAAGTCAGAGCATTAGCTGAAGCTTGAGCTTAGGGAAATGGCTAGTATTTTTTTAACAGTAATAGCATCAAAACCTACAAAAACCATGTACAATGCAAACTTGTAAAGTATCCTGAACTTTCTCAACGTTTCTTTCACAGCCAATACCGATGTAACGTACTGGTCGACGGACAACAACAGTAGAAACCAAAAAGCCCATGTTAAGCTGAATAATCTAAGCAGCTTCAGAGCTGTTTCCAAATAAATATTAAGCGAGCCAACTAGCACATTTGTATTTAAAAACAATGTTATCCTTGAGACGCAATAGGAAATGCCAATAACGTTGTTAATGATGAATAAGATATTGGCATTTGAATATGATTTTAAATAAACAAAATTCATTGATGCACTGATAGCAAAACAGAGCGTTGATAATATCAATACAAAAAATTCTATTACATTAAGGGTCAGTAGGAGGGTAGTGTCTGACTTATTGTCAATTCCCATTCCATTTGTTGTATTATCCATGCTTTAATAATCTAGTTAATACGTTTTACAAAAATGAATCTTGTATTATACTTATGTAGTTATAAAAACAAATACTTTGAGAATTCAACTAGTTTTAAAGAAAAACTTAACCACTAATTATGTAAAATGCACTTAATCAACCTTGTAGTACATGCTAAGTCGTCAGTGCGTAAAAAGATAGTTATTTACAGCTTAAAACATGAAAGATGTCTAAGTAATCATTAAAGTTTTAATGTATTAATTTTCTTTTTGATATATAAAAACAAGAGAAGTACAGTTTTGAAGATTAAAACACGTAAATAAATAATAACAAGCAAAGTACCTGAGCTGCAACGCTCAGAACTTCTTCAAAGTGCTTTTAGAGTAAAGTCTTGACGAAATCGAAATATTAGTTTTAAATTACTCGCCAAACTGGCATAGTGTTACAACTTGAACGCTCATAACTTTATTATTTTTTCTACCTTTAGTTGTTTAACTTTTATATAAGAAAAAACATAGTAAAGCTTCAAAATAAGTTACTTTTTTTAATTTGTAAGCATACCTTACAAGGAAAGTACTCGTGATTCCCCGCTCTGCTTGACTTCAAACTTTTTTTATAGAAAGATCATGTAAAAGTAAGACTTTCGGCACAGTACTAAACCGCGCTTTCCAGTCAATCTCGAGAAAATCGAGATAAAAAATTACGTTTTGAATTTCCCGCCAAATTGACATTGTGTTTCAAGCTTGTAACTCTGTCATTGTTGGACTTTTAGGAGTTTTTCTTTGATATACTAGTGGAATACTTTTAAATAAACCTACATTTTAAAATTGTAAGCGTAGCTTGGCTGGAAACTTAAAAAATGTGCTTGAAACACAATGCCAAATTTGCCAATTTGATGGTAAGTGCAATACAATAGAGCTCTTGAATAAAGAATCGCTGGAGGGCTTTAAATTCGTTCGTTATACAGGATTTTTGTTAAAATGGAGAATGTTAAACACAAGTTTTTCTGTAAAACATTTGAATTGTCCGCCAATTTGTCACATTTGGCATTGTGTTTCCTGAAATTTAAAAAAAATTTTCATGATTTTAAAATTAAATTTCGAAATCTTTTCTCATAAAATATTGAAATTCTTCAAAACTCAAAAACTTTCATTATTTTTGTCACATTCACCCGGTGCACTGGCGGTGCATCATGTCTCGCATTTCAGATGTCGTCTCCCAAATTACAGAATCTGGAGCCATGTCACGAATTACAGATGGACAATACTCACCTGAGCCTATCTCAAGCAGCAGTGTGAAAGTTCATGGATCTTTCATTTTGAAGAATCGATTTCGACACTTTTTGGCTGGAATAGCACTGGCTTGTTTGAGTATCGTTAACAGTAATGTCACTGCGTTCAATCAGGTCATCATGTGCATTAAGAATGAAACGGTGAGGGTTTGGAAATGGGTTGGGTAAAATTTGTATAGTAGGGTAAAAACGGGTCGATTTTAACGCAGAGGGCACGGGGTCAGGGAAGGGGAGGGGTGGATGGATGGAAATATAATTTTTTTTCGTTTGAAGAAGCTACTTTCAATGCTATTTTCTAAAAGTTATCACTAATATGGCTTTTTTTGTTATTGTGACACTTCGTCTTTTTTTCAATACCACGTCGACGAAATGTCAAAAAATTTTTTTTGGTTTTTATGGGATTTTTGATAAAAGTTAACCCTGTAATTGGTCCAAAACTCATTTTTTTACATTTACGTTTTGTTTTTTGACTATACTTCATGTTTTATCTTACTTTATTCACCTAACCTTACCTCATTTCAGGACTCCTCAGAGCCCCATTATCCAATATCAACGAGCGAAGAGACGTGGCTACAACAAGCGATTGGAGTTGGCAGTTTATTGGGCACATTTCCCTATAATTACGGATTTTCCAAGTTTGGAGCCAAATATTTATTCGGAGTTTGTGGATTTATCTCTGGAATTTGCGCAGCATTGACTCCATTGGCCGCAAAACATGGATTCTGGTGGTTTTTTGTCGTGCGATTTCTTCAGGTAACAATAGTTTTGGTATTTTATTTTGTTTTTAGGGCTTTATTTTCTCCGCCGACTTTTCAATGGTTGGATTGTTGATAACAAAGTGGTCTCCGCTGAATCGAAGTGCATTTTACATGTCATTATTGACTGTGTTTACTCCAATTTCATCTGTTATCACGTTTTCATTCTCAGGACCGGTAAGTTTTTGACCTATTTAGGGAAAAATAAGGCAAAACGTTAGTACTATAAAGTAAAGTAGCTTCTAGTTTGTGTTTCTATTAATTTTAGGCCTGTAAATCTTCAATCGGATGGCCTTTGTTGTATTATGGTCTAGCTGTAGCCACATTTGTCATCTTTACACTATGGTTCATCTTCTACAATGATAATCCAGCTACAAATCGATATTTGAGTCAAGAAGAATACGATTTGATCTCAGAGGGCAAAAATAAAGCAGAGATGGCGAAACAGACCAATATTCCTTTACTTGTAAGTTGTTTTTGTTATAGAAGGTTTGATTTGAGTCTTAAAAACATCAGTTCGAGACATTACTTTAGTTTTTTTAATTTTTTTCGATTGCTTTTGATCACTTAAAACAATATTGGATAACATAGGGTAATATCTCAAAAACTCATTGCCCAATTCTTATGATTTAGGTATTTAATTGAAGCTTATTTTACGGTAAATAAAGCTAAATCGCAATTTGCAGTCTTTCTACAGGTTTTAAGATAGTTACACTTTGTTTTAGGTGCCAATATACCAATTCTTACATTTTTTTCAGAAAATTTTCAAAAGTCCGACAATCTGGACAGTTTGGTACAATGCTTTTGCAGACATCTTCAGCAGCTTCTTTATCTACGCCTACATTGGTCGTTTTCATGTTCATGTGCTTAAGTTTGACACAATTACTGCGGGATATTTGGCCGCATTACCACCGGCGCCATTTATATTCACAAAATTAATAGCTGGATATATAAATGACAGAATTACGTATGGTTTTGAATTTTGATTAGTTTGCAATTTTAGGTATTTTATGAGGTTTTGTCAAAGAATGGTAATAACTTTCTTTACAAAACAAAAAATGACAGAAACTTTCCTTACAATGATGAAAAATGACATTTTCGACCTATATTGTTATAGGTGCTGCTCAGAAAAGGTAAAAATCAACGTTTTCAACACGATTGATGTCATGGGTACCGGAGTATTCCTAATCGCAATTGGTGCATTTCCTCCAGAAAACTGTTGGTACATAACGATATTCTCCTTGTTCATGATCTATATCTGTATGTCATGTGCTGGTGGCGCCTTCTACAAATGTGGTCATCTGGCAGCAAGACAATACTCAAGTTTTGTCATCGCGATGATTCAATTTTTGAAAAGTATTGCACTATTGACGGTACCATCGCTGTTTGCATTGGTTATCAGGAACGATGATGATTTGGGACGAATGGAACGGTGGAGACCAGCGTTCTTTGGGCTGGGAGTCATGATGTTTTCGGTGAGTTGGAGGAGGGACTGGGAAGGTTGTTTTAGGCGGAATCATGATTTGTGAGGTTTAAAAGTATTGTTTTGGATATTAAATACATTTTTAGGTTAAAAAAAATTTTTTTATAGCTCAAAAGTATATTTTAGGTAAAAAAAAATGTTTTTTAGGTAACAAAATTGTATTTTTAAGCGTGAACAGACTCTTTCAGGTATCAAACAACTTTTTTGCTTTAAAAGTACTTTTTTAGGTAAAAATTATTGTTTTAGGTAGTAAGCTAATTTTTTTTCAGGCAGGAATCCCTTTCTACTTTTTTTCAACAGTCAAACCATTGGCATTCACAAAAACTGGAGAAAGCTCATCGGAAGAAACTACTACAAAGTCCAAGGATGAAGCACAAGCCTAAAGCACTGAATTTTGAATTGAAAAAAAAGTAATTGTAACATAATGTGAATAAATCATTATTTTGTATTTTATAGTTATTGTGTTGTATCGTTTAAAACGATAGGCCTTATATATGTTGTATAACATGTCATGCTTGTATATTATAAATCATAGTAACTGAAGGTATAGGCAAGGGTAGGATAAGGTGGGGTAGAGTAAGTTAGGGCAGATTAAAGTAGGGTTGAGTATCGTAGGACAATGTAGGTTAAAGTAGGATAGGATACAATATGGTTGGGTAGAGTACGATAGGGTATAATATATAGTATGGTGGGATAGAGTAAATAGGATGAGCTAATATATGGTAGGGCAGAAGAAGGTAGGGTATAAAGGGCAAAGTAGAGTAGTGCTAAAGTATGTTGCACTGTTGATACTAACTAAACTGAACAGTGTAAAATTTGTTTAAATCCAAATTTATTAAAAACTTTTAATAATGAGTATCAGGCCGGTTTCGTAGGTATTCTTGAAGTTGTGGCAATGAGTAAACTGCATTACGGTGGTAATTCAATCTGCGGAATTTTTCGAATTTCTCCGTCGGACCGTACGTTAAGCCATTGTCCATGAAGGCGGCACAGTAAAAGTCGATCCAGGTCAACTAGAAATTTTAATTTCAAATAAAGGTTTTCTATTTGGGTTTTTGTTATAGGCAACATTGAAATAGCCATATCTTTCTAGAAACAGTTATTAAAATAAAAATTCAAAAAAGTTTTGTCGTTTTGTACCATGCCAATTACAAGGGAAAGGCAAATATGGGGGTATTGGACCTAGAACTGAGACCTATATCATTTGAAAGAGCGTGTAAAGTTATGTAAAAATTAAAATTTTTAGCGGCCTAAAGTCATATACTAAAAAGTTACAGTAATTCAAAGTTTTGCCTGTAAACTTTGAATTACTGTAACTTTTTAGTGTATGACTTTGGGCCGCTAAAATTTTTAATTTCTACATAACTTTTCACGCTTTTTCAAATGATATAGGTCTCCGTTTTAGGTCCGATACCCCCCTATTTGCCTTTCCCTTGTTAGTGTAAATTAACGACAAGACTTTTTTGTTTACGATTTAATTGTACCAATGCCGGACTGGGCCAACTTTTTAGGCTTGACCCAAGGGCCGGGCTTTGGTTTAAGCGTCCGCTCTGAAACCTATGGTACAAGGCTCACGAGACCCTCGGCCGGGCCTCGTGAGCCCTCTTTTAAGCCTAGTATACTTAAAATATAGACTTTTTCTTTCTTGTTATAACTTGAGAAAAAAAGACAAAATAGCAATAATAAACCAGGTATTGACCCACCTTATCACCCAACAAATAACCAGTATTATTGGTTTCGAGTTGTTTTTCGAACACCGGAGCGAAGTCTTTCAGTGCGACCGTAACAAAAACAGTATCAGTGAGTTCATCGAGCTGAAAGAGGGTTTTAGGTAACAAATTTTGAGAGGGAGGGTTAAAAAATTAACAAACACAAGCCATCTCAGCTCATTCCCCCATCCCTAAAAAATTACCCCTTCCAAGACTTTTTTTTCGTTTTGTTGGCGCCTCTAATAAGAATTTAAGATAATTTACATTTTTTATTAATAAATCTTTTAAAATAGTAAACATACCCGTTCAGGAGGAGTAATGCCCATTAAACAGTAGACCCATGGTTTTAGTTCATTATGATACTCATTCAGTCTTTGTCCCAGAATTTCAGCCACTGTTTTCTCTTCATTGGAATCCGGTTCTAAGCCGTATTTTCGGCCAAGGTAACTTAATATACATGTGGTGAAGATGATGTCTGTTTTGCCATCTAGGACCAGCTTCGGCAGGCGGGGTAGGGGATGTTCTGAAAAGTTTAAACTTAAAATTGCACTTTTTATGAAAATTTATCGTATTTTACAAGCTTACTGTCCTTTCTCTTTGAATATTCCAAAAAGTTCTCTCTGTGGTCTTCAAAGGGCTCTTGAACAAAGTTCAAGACAAGTCTGATGGGCTCAGCTTTACCTCTCAAGTTGAGGTACTTGAGCTGGTACTTTGGCATGTTCTGGAATTAAAAATGTAACTTTTTGTAAAAATTAGTCAATGTTAATATTGACATATCTAACGTTAATATAAAACCAAATAACAAACGTAAATCGTATTTTACAAAATTTACTTTTTTTTCATTGAGTTAAGAGCCCTACCTTTAGTTACATTTGCTCTACGGTACCCTAAGCTCCCTAACCTACTACCCTACTCTACCCTACCCTACTTTTAACTACCCTACCCTACCCTACCCTACCCTACCCTACCCTACTCTAGCCTACCCTACCCTACCCTACCCTACCCTACCCTACCCTACCCTACCCTACCCTACCCTACCCGACCCTACCCTATCCTACCCTGCCCTACCCTATTTGACCCTTGCCTTACCCTTGTTCTACTCTTGTCTTACTGTTACTCTGCCCTTGCTCTACACTTGCCCTACCCTTTTCATAGCCTTGCTTTACACTACCCTGTCATACTACCTGCTCTACCTTTCGCTACTGCACTTTAATCCTACCCTCTCGTAATCAACTTTAACTCAACCTACCGTACCGCACTCATACCTACCGTATTCTGCCCTGTTGTACCCTACCCTATAACACTACTTTTGGTTTTTTTCTTTTCTTGCCCTGCCATAATCAAACGCCGTTTCTCCTTAGTAATGCCCTCCGCCTCCTCTTCTTCAATAGTAAACAATTTTCTCCCCGCCACTTTTACACACCCAATCAAAAATTTTAAATCCATTTAAAAATCCATGCCTACAAATTATCAACTAACAAGCATCCGAAATGACAAGCCTAAATCTTGCGAATTACTCATCACCCAACAAAAAAGTCCGTGTTGAACACAAAGTCTCATAAAAAACAGAATAAAAGAAATTCCGAAGAGATAATGCCCCAAGGCAACTGTTTGAAGTTCACTTTTCAGTTTGAGGCGAAAGCCAATAAATGATCCCACTCAAAAAGCTGACGAATTTTTGAGCATATCCAGCTCCATTTTGATTAATCGCCCGGTTGGCCAAAACGTAATTGATTTGACAACAATAATAGAAACAGTGTTGTCATCTAATCTCATTAGCAAAGTATAATACAAAAAAAAACTTGAAAATTTAAAAAGTATTCTATATAAAACCTTAAAACTAAAAAGCGCGAATTAAAGCTCTTGCTAGCGCTAGAGTAAAGTTAAGACCAGGGCTAAAGCTAGAGTAATAAAAAAGCTAAGTTCTAACACTAGCGCTCTGGCTACAGTTAAATAAGACTAAAATTTTCTTAGGAATAGGGATGTGCGGCTAGAGTTAGAAAAAAAACTGTAGCTAAGCTTCGGACTAAGGCTACACATGATGAGGTAGGGCTAGAGCTCGGGATAGGGTTAGAGGTAAAGCTAGAAATAAAAATTGGACCGGGCTTATTTTTCAAGCTCGGCCCGTTTCTCAGTTGAGGGGTCGGCCCAGCCCCGCGTGATCAAAAATGCCCACTTTTCAAGCCCAGTGCGTTCCCTACGTCCAGCTAGGGATAGGGCTAGAAATAGAGCTACAGTAATTTTTAAAATTTGGACACACAGTTCTTTAAATTGTTTGCCTTCTTACTTATTTTGTTACTGTTTTGCAGTTTATACTAATAGCATAACTAGGCTAGAGCTTTAAGTCATTCTCTCGCAGTTTCAACCAAAGAACGTGTGCTAATTCCTCGACGTCTCAAGTATAATTCCAGTCAAAGTAAGCGTTGCGCAACTAAAATTAGCCCTAGTTTCGAAAAGAAAAAATTCGCAAGTCATTTTTTTTTGTTTCTTTGAAAAGTTTCTTACAATGAGAGAAAAGAAGCATAGTTTTGTGACAGCGACTGGCCACAAGGTGTCATTGGCACCGTCAGGGCGAATCAGCCTCACGTCTGAATTGGCAATTCAAGCCGACGATGATTTTAGCGCTGCCGATGGAGTTTTACTGGATATTGGTAAGAGAACATGTCTACTAAGTAAAGATTTTGTATCTTTATAAACTGGAGCTAACGTTAGGCCTAGAGCCAAAGCTTTTGTAGTTGACATTCTGATATATTTTAATATCTTAAAACCTAAAAACCTCATTATAGGTATAACAAACCGCTATGTGATGTTCATAGTACTATCGATGGGTCTATTTTGGGGACTGGGGATCATGTCAGTCATGTGTTCTGTTTTCTATGAACGTGGCTTCACTTGTGACCACGACGACTATACGTGTGAGAAAGAACGGTGGAGGATTAATACTATTGAGGATCATGTAAGTTACAGCAGTACGTTGAATGTTAAAGACTGTTATTCCATAATTACATCATAGTAAAGCCAATGGGCTCTCAAAAGTCTTTTTTCTATCGCGCAAGCGAACGTAAATTGACAACAAGACCTTTAAGACATCTTTTAAACTAAACTAAAATAACGGTCAAAAAAAATTTTTTTTTAAATTTTAATGTTAAGTAAAATTTTTTCGAAACTAAAAATTTTATTTCTCAAATTTAAAATTTCAGTTTTTCATCCACGACAAATCCTGGTTATCAGTTGAATGGTCAGCTAGTATATTTTTTGTTGGAGACCTGTTTGGTGGAATTACCTTATCATACCTATCTGATTTGTAAGTTTTATAATTTTTTAGATAATACTTTCGTTAAACATGACATTTTTTAAAATTTTTCGAAATTGACAGTCAGTTTTAAAGTAAAATAAAAAAAATCATTTCTAGGTTGACATAAAATTCTTGTCGCCAATTTAGATAGACTTGTGCAATAAAAAACGACAATACTTTTTAGACTCTTACATAAAGAATCTACAGTCAGTTATGACTGGTAAAACAAAAAAATTAAAAAATTAATTGTGTAAACTAAACTATTATAGCTAATTCAAGCTTTTAAAACCAATTTAAATAAAAATTGTCAATATTTTTAAATTTTTCTTGATAAAAAATCAAAAAAAAAAACTATAACCTACCTTAATTTTGGACAACAATGAAGGTTTTGATCCCATAATGCCATTAGATTTAGTATTTTCATTAACAGTCGCTTTTAGTCCTCCGTTTTGTTTGCCTTCCGGCTTGAAATTTGGTTGAAAATTTTGGGTTTGAGTTAGAATAGGGGGTAATGCAGAATTTGCACCATATTGATTAGTGCTATTGTAACCATTAGTACCATTAGATGGAAATCCTGCCGTATTGTTAGTGCCATATGGACTAAGATTGGTAGTATTATAAGCCGTAGGATTGGTCGTTCCATTAGTACCATAGTTTCCTCCATTTGTAGTACCATTAGTCCCATAACCTAAATTATTACTACTACTAGTATCATTGTCAGTCTTACCATTGGTGCCGAATCCTCCACCATTATTAGAACCATAGCTTCCATTAGTGGCGTAGCCTCCACCAACAGTACCATAACCTGCACCATTAGTACCATTTGGCCCATTATAACCTTGCGGCTGTACAAGTGTTGCCGGTTGTTGAGGAGCCACTTTGTTGACATTTTGAGGCTTAGCCTGATTAGATTGACCGTTCTGAGTCGTACGTTTGGTGGGTCGCATGTAACTTGGCACATTATCATTATTTTCGGCCGGTTTGCGTTGACGACGTTCCAATGGTCGCATAAAGTTTGGCACAGCTTTGGCAGCGGCTTGAACTTCCATTGATGGTGCTAATGGTGCTAGTTGAGAGGGTGGTGGAACTTCTGGCTGAGGTTGGGGGAATTGGGCTGGAAAAGTTATTCTTAATGTTTTTAGGTACGGTAGATACAGTAAAAGTCAAAAACCAGTTTTATTTTACAGTAAGATAACCTACCTTAAACTACTCTACCCTAACTTACACTAACGTACCGTACCCTATCCTACCTTGCTCTATCCTACTCTACTCTCCACTACCATACCCTACCCAACCAAAAAACCATATTGCTTCCTTACCTTCTTGACCTTCTCCTTGACTAGCCAGACCTTGTTGCCCTCCAACAGTACCAGCTTGTCTCCGATAACCTTCAGCAACCCCACTACTGTCAATAACTTCAGTAACCGGCCCTCCATTATCCTGAATCGGCCCGCCTACAGCTTCATTTCCGTTCAAATCTGGGTTCGGTTCCTTGTCGACCGGTTGATTAGTTCCTGTTTCCATATTCTGCAAAACTCAATACTTGTACAGAATAAAAATACACAATAAGTTGCAAACGTTCAGTATTAGTGCCAAAAGTTTGTTTTGGAAAGTTGAGTTTGGTTTAGCAGAGGTTTTTGGAATTGAGGCCGGAAGTTTGGAGTTTTGACTAATTTGAAACGCGTTACCGTAGGGGTTTTTACGTATATCGTGGTTTTTTGACGTTTATTTTTATTTTTGACTTACGCGCAAAATTTGAAATGTCATAAGGGGGGGGGAGGAGTCAACCTGAAAAATGAAAAAAAAAATTGTATTTGGTACCCTCTGACAATTTTGAAAAAAGAATTTAAAACACCTAAAACCACCCAAAGTAGTGTAGGAGATTTTTAGACAAAAAACACTCGCTAGAGTGCTTTTATTCATGGGCAGGCAAAGCGGTGGTATAAGAAGGATGGATACTATTTTTAAAAAAAGTTTTAAAAAAAATATTAAATTGTTCAAATTATTCAGTGCTCCCTAACTCCCAAAATTTGCTTTGAGCAAGGGCATAGAATTATTTGAACTATTTACTTGTTGAACTTGGTCCATGTTCACGTTTACACAATTTTTTTTTCAATCCTTTCTCTCTTACCCTGCCACATCAAAATCAGTTGATAGGCTTTTTAAAGTTAAAACTACAGGCCACTTGTAAATTATGAAAAAAAACACGTTTTAAAATCAACAACCAAATATAAACCAGATACATAAAAAGTCAAAAAATTATTATTTCAGAGTTGGTAGACGACATGTTGTGTTCCCCAGCATATTTTTGATGAGCATATTAGGTATCATCTCAACTTTCAGCAAAAGCTATGAAGCATTTTTAGTTGTGAGATTCTTTGAAGGGTTCTTCTTTACGGTAAGTTCCTACCCTACCGTAACTTACCCTATTTTACCCTACCATACCATACCATACCATACCATACCATACCATACCATACCATACCATACCATACCATACCCTACCCTACCCTACCCTACCCTACCCTACCATACTATACCTTACTCTCCCTTACCACCCAAGAGTAACCTCTACCCAAGCGTTACTCTTCATCACCTGACAAACTATACCAATATACCTTCAGGCATCAGTAGTGATAGTTTGGGTGCTAGCTAGTGAATGTGTAGCAGTAAAACAACACTCAATTGCCGCCACAATTTTTGGTTGTTTTTGGGTTTGCGGTTACTGTAGTGTCGGCATCCTAACTCGACTAGTACCAGGATGGATGGTTGCTTCATGGTGCGTAGCTGCACCATCAGCCGTACTCTCTTTAGTACAATGGAGAAGTGTTCCCGAGAGCTTTCATTTTCTGGCCGAGCACGACAAAAGTGTCGACTTGAGAGCATGGCTTCGGAAAGCCTCCCCCAACGTGTTTCATTTGAGTTTGATCAATCACATTGGCAATGATAATGTGAAGAAGCGGGATTTGCATCAGTTTTTGAGTTTTATCAAGGAGAATATGACTTATCTTGGGTATTTGGGGGCTTCAGCCGTTATTTGGTAAGGTTTTAAGCCTGGAGGTTGGGATTTTTTTAAACTTGAAACCAATAAGCTGTTCAAATAATTATGTGCCCTCTAATATAAATTTTTTTATTCATTTTTTTTATTCCAGGATAATCAGCTTCATGATCTACATGGGAATGTCAATGTACAGTGTCTATTTGGGTGGTGATGTGTATTACAATTACATTTTGTCTGGTTTGGTCGAGTTACCAGCTTATTTTATGGCACCTTTACTACTTGATAAGTCTGTTTTTTTTTCTTATTTCATCTTCGTCCATCGTATTTTACAACACTCAATAATTTTAAAAAGTGTTAAAAAGTCTTGTCGCTTTTAACCACTGTTAATTAAGTTAAAAAACGACAAGACTTTATTGATACCTTAATATTGTAGTAAAAAAGCTAACGACCAAGTGTGTAACTACCAATAGCCTTTCGTTACAATCCCCTTTTTCAAATTTAGATAACAATCTAATAATTATTTTACAGATTAGGCAGAAGAGCAACCTTTATATCAGTGAATTTGTTCAATGGTATATTGTTCATCATTCTTGCTTTCATCAACTATCGTAAGACGTTATTTTAAAAATTGTTTAGCCTAAAATATTTTTCATGCTTTTAAAAATTTTAAAGACATCATTAAAAGAACAAATTTTAATAATAAAGTCCAGGCGCAGCTTTGAAAATCAAAGTCGCAGGCTGCGCTTGACTTTTTATACGATGAAACATGTCCAAAACAGAGAAACAGGAATTTCGGCCTAATTTTGAGTTATCATAGCATTTAAAAAAACAAAAAAATAATTTCAAAAAAATTTTTGAATTAAAAAAACCTTTTAGACAATAGGAGTGTGTTCATAACAACATGGATGGTGACTAAAATGGGTGTAGCCGGTTCTTTCATGTACTTATTCGTTTATGGAGGTGAAATCTTCCCAACAGTGATAAGGAACAGTGCTATGGGTATATGTGCTGTTTGCTCCAACTTAGGCGCTACTATTGGACCTCATGTTAGACATACCGTAAGATAATTTTGAAATTAGCCAAACTTTTAAGTTTTCAAAAAATCGGTATATTTTTAAAAGTTTTTATCCTATTTTTAAACCTTTCTGTCAAATATTTTAAATTGAGTTTCTGACCCCACTTTTAGGATATTTATCATCCCTCAGCGCCATGGATAATATTCGGATGTTTGTCATTTGTTACCGTACTTTTGACGTTTTTCCTGCCAGAAACGAACCCAAAAACCATAAAAAGAACCTCAAATGATAGTCTTGTTGAGTCTTTGTAAAATTTTTTAATTGAAATTGAATAAAAAAATTAAACCATTCCTTTTTGCCTACGTAGGCTTGGGGCAAACTAGACTGCACAACCCCGACAGCAACTAAAAATATTGTTACAGTATCTCAAAACCATAATGGTGTAGCTTAAAAGTAGTACCCTTCCATTAGTAATAATGCATTTTTAAAAAACAGTCGTCCTACTATTTTTGTAAACCATTTTTGTGGATCAGTCCTCTTAATATAATATTTTTGTAAACCAATTCCATAATATAGTGCTCGTCCCCTTTTTATTTTTGTGAACCAGTCCTCTTACTATTTTTGTGAACCAGTCCCTTTTCTGTTTTTGTGAACCAGCCCTTTATTTTTTCGCTGTCAAATTTTTATGTTCTTGATTTCAAACACAATAATATATTGAGATCTCTGAATATTATATTCAGCTGACTGTCAAAGAAATCTTGTTGATATGATCGGTGATTGATCACCGAAATCGCCAAAGGTCTTCGAGACAAAGATTATTCAAATACGTCTTGTTTACGACCTCAAAGGAGTCGTATATAAGGTGAGAGCTCCTACACGTAAACAGACGACATTTTACTTTGATTTTAATACATTATAGACGCGCACTGTTATATTACCTGTAGAACTGTATATTACTGCCCTTTTACTTTAAAATACGACCCTTTCCTTATAATAGACATTACTAATCTTTTAAAACTTACAGTACCACCATGTTCAAGATCATATTCTTCATCGTATGTGCCTTCATCATGACTTCAGCTCAATTCCTGGACCCACTGATTGGAAGACCTTTGGGATATGTTGATCCATTGGTACCCGTTGCGCCAGTTCGTCCATTTGGTGGTCTAGGATATGGTGGCCTTCGTGGTGCTCGGATCGGCGAAGAGTTGGCAGTGGAGCGAGCTATTGGTGCTGAGCGTGCCGTAGAGAACGCTGCTTTGTTGGGCGGTGGTATCTTGTAAATATAAGACAGAACCGAGCCTTACTATAATACTGGAAAGAAGTTTAATTAGTACTTTTAGTGCATTAGTACTGTATCGTAGTAAAATAGATTTATAGTACCATCCCTTTTAGATATAATTGGATAGAACCACTATGACAATGTCTGTAAATTTTGTGTAGAACGATGACCAAATAAACGTTCTTTATCGTGAATAAAACTTTATTATCTCTCTTTACAACAACAATATGTATAATAATATAATACAATCACTTTCATGGAAAAACCTCGTAATAATAGCAAAGTAAAACTCTGTGAGAAGACATAATAACAATATCTGCTAGCCTGTACAATAATATAAACACATTTAATAGTAATAATAAGTTCACGTTTAGTAATAGCCAAGTATACTATAATATAGATATTAAGCTTTTAAGTAACAATATCCTGCTTGATAAAATGAAAAGACTATCCGTAGTTAAGACCCGTATACTAAGCTGTATGATAAGTACTATTAGGTCGTTCAGATAATTCTGTGCCCAATCCCAAAGCAAATTTTCGAGATTAAGAAGCCCAGAATTATTTAAAAACCCTAATACAATGTGATAACAATAGCTACAAAAATTTACAACAAGACATCATAGTATTATAAAAGATACCACAATGTACCACAACGTACAACAAGTCTACCTTCGTTTTTTATCCATTGGTTGATAAAACTTCTTGCTTTTGCGTTTCGGTTTATTTTGGTCATCATTGTCATCACCATCATCATCGTCCCTTGTTTGCCAATTTTGATACCAAGTCTTAAACTTTTTGCAACCACAAGGACATGTGTAATATAATGCCAACCCAAGTGCGGTGATAACAATGACTGCAATAAGAAAGACGATAAGGAAAAAGTCCACTGCAAAGTAGAAGAACCAAGACATTTCCGACGCTGGCAACTTGAGTTTCTCGTAGATTTTTGGGAACCTGGTGGCACGTTCTACTGCTTCGTAGATACGTTGCTTAGGGCTGATGCCAGATAAGAGGTCTTTGAGATCTTTCGAGTTTTGGCGGATTCTGAAATAATAAAAAGTTTAAAATTTTCTCAAAAGACCCCCGTTCAACATTTTTTTAAATTAAAAAGCTCCCACCTCCAAATAAAGTAAAGTAAGGTAGGGTAAGACAGAACAAAGTAGAGTACTTCCTTTCCCAATAATCAATTTTATAGCTTACGTTTCATTGTACAAGACCTTCTTCAACGCATCCTTCAGAATAATGTCGTAGATGTGAAATTTATCCAAATAAACGCCAATCTCCTTTTGAACCACAATATAATTGTTATGGGTTTGATCACTAAACAATGGAATCGACACCATTGGCACACCAGCAAATGCTGCTTCATTTAGACTGTTCAGACCGCAATGAGTGATAAAGGCTTTGGTTTTTGGATGATCTAGAAAGTTACTATGAGGTAATGAGAAGAAAAATTTAAAAGCTACAAGATTTCCAGATAAGACTTTCAGCAATCAAAAAAAATTTAAAAAACGAAAGAATTAACGGATCCAAAAAAGCAAAATTTTCAAAAATTCCAAAACGAAAAGAATTAATGAATCCACATATCATAACTCCCAAACCACCAAAAACCCAGAAAAACCTCTAAGCTTACTCAAAATGGCATTCTGATCAACCCAAGCAAAGGTATGAAGATTCGGTGCATCGTGGTCGATTTTAGCCGAAAACGACCAAATAAATTCATAATCAGGAAGCAATTTAACAGTCTTGACAACGTTATCAGCCACTTCCTTTGGCATCTTGGTGTAGTCTGTCACCGTTCCAAAAGAAAAGTAGATGACGCCTTTTTTGGAAGCATTGAAGATCTTTTCAATTTTCTGAAATTTTTTAAAATTAAAAAACTAATTTAAAATTAAAAAAAAGTTTAGCAAAAAATCCAAAAAATTGAAAATCCTCATTTCCAATGCAAAACCTAAGCTTTTTAAAAACCCCCACCTTTTCCAGCTTGATCTCCAGTGGATTATGTCCCAAACCTCCCACATTGACCTGTTTCGCACCGAAGACTTTTGGATAATCAACATATTCATTACTGTTCACTAGGATCAAAGGAGCTCTACGATGGAGTGTGTCCGTTGTTGGGATGTGATCGCCGTAAAATCGTTTAAATTTAAAGTGAACATATAACGTTGCGACATGGTACAAGAAAATGTTCGTTAAACGGTCATAAAAGCTTTCGATTCCGTTTGGTGGAGCTAATCTGGTGACTGAAATAATATTAATTTAGGTATCAAATGAGAATAGAAAAAATCGAAATTTAAGCTTTTGAATTTCGAGAAACTCCAAAATTTTCAAAAAAATGTGAGAAACAAAACCTTAACTTACGTGGTAAAACACTAGGATTATAAGGAATTCCTAAAGAATAAGCCAAAGTTTCGGAGAATGGCATAGCTGACATGATGAACAACGACACATTGTAGATGTCTGAGAGTGCCACTGCACATGTATCAATGCTTTCCACGAAAAGACCATCATACTTGTTCTCTTCAAACATCCGCTTCAAGGTTTTATTGGCCAGAAGGTCTGAAAACCTAAATTTTAATAAAAAAATTGAACTTTCAACTTTTAAAAAAATTTAAATTTTTTCAATAAAAGACTTATATTCCTAATATTAAAAAAAAAAAAAAATAAAAATCTTAAAGCCAAACCAAAAGAATCATCAACAACCCTATATGAACCTATAAACAACTGCTCACCTTCACAATACGTCATGAACATGCTGATAATAGGGCCCAGTTGCCTGTCCGCCAAAGATTGGTTAGTGAAAGCAAAGTCGTACAGATTAGACCCCAGAAACAACTCCGTAGTCTCATTAAGCCTTGGCATTTCCAATTTCGTGACATTCAAAACGCTGGACGTGAAGGTGGTAAAGTTGTTAGTCGGGGCAAAAACAAAGTCCTAAAACAACAAAAATTTGACAAAAAATTGAGTTTTTAGAAAAATTAAAAGTTTTAGGCACGTAAAAATAGTTATAAATCGCAACAAGAACTACCATAAATTTATAAACAATGTTCAGTTCAAAATCATTAAAAAAAACCACCAAATTTTACCAAAAAAATATATTGACCATAACAAAAGTAATCTATGCACATAAAAACAAATCAAAATACAAACTAATATTTAAACCTCAACATATTTTATCCAAATTCCTTCAATAAACTTCTATAAACATTACAATAAGAATCTAAACTGCCACAAACACAAAAAACCTTCAAACTCATATGTAACCCATAACAAAACAGATCAGTACCTCAAAATTCATATAACTTATCTTGTTACTTTTAAATAACCTTTATAAGTCAAAAATACTAGCTTCAACACCAGTAACAAACAAAAAATATCAAAAACCGTTAAATTTTTGCAAAATTTTATGTTATCCATGATGAAACTGACTCAAACCGCACAAATTCAATCTTAAACTTGTTTTTATGCCTTAAAATTAAAGTAACCTAAAAAAATTGGCTTTCGCAACATCACAGTAGATAAAGTCCATAAAGAGTTGCCTAAACCATCAAGAACAAACAAAAACACTTACAATCCGATGTTTCCTCTCATGAAGCACATTCGCGATCCTCTCAATGTAAGCCACATGACTCCGTCCAACGTTGGTCGCCACAAAAATATAATTGTAACATTCGGCACACGTGATTAGTAGCAAAAATATATACATCAGCTTCATTTTCGGTTCAACGTTAGTAATTTTCAGTGTTACACAATAAATTAGTCAACAACAGCGTTTTAGTTCAAAGAGAACATCGAAAATTTCGAAAAAACGGTAGAATTTTTTAGAAAATGTGATCAAGTGTAAAAGTGCAAAGCCGGAAGCAGAATTGGCTGAAGAATTACCGGATTTTCGATGAAATTGCAAGTTGTCGATGGGTTTTAACCATTGATTGCTTATTTTCATAATTCTTTGACACTTCGTTTGTTTTGCAAGTTTTTACTGTTTCGGCCGAAAAATTATGAATAGTTGAAGTTAACTTATGATAATAAGTGTCTTTTGTGGGTAATCTTAATGTTTTATGTATTATATTGCTTTATGTTTCTTTTATTTTAATTTTTGAAATGCTTCAGATGAGTAATGTTGATGTTCATCAACTAATCGGTTCATTTTCGTTGAGGTTTTCGAAAGGAATGCACATTATTTGATGTCCTGAAGATTAATTTGCTTTTATCTTTTGGATTTTATGGACATGATCAAAGGTGTGTTGTGTTTTGATTGGTTTTTCTTGGTTTAGGTTCCCTTTGAAGCCCATTGAGGTTGTCAGCTAATTTTTAATTGAAATACGAAAAACATGAAGTATAAAGTTTGGCCAATGATCTGAAGATATTATTTAAGGTTTTTTTAAGTAAAAATACGAAATCGTTTCGATAAAAGATGCCGATTTCAAAGAAAATTGTAATTGTAGCTACAATAATATAAGTTATAACCGGAAAAATATTGAATTTTGGACAACAAGAAGGTTGTTTTTGGATAAACAATGTTTTTTATAGATAGTTTGAAAAAAACTAACAAAATTTAGGTATAAAAGACCTTAGGCTTGAAATAAAAGTTGGTATTTTAGGTATTAAAAGTTAAAAAAATTGATTTCTGTTGATATAATTTGATCTGCTTGGTCAAAGATCTTATATCTTTGGGTTTTTCATTTTCAAACCGTTTTCTTCGGCAAAAATTTGAATACACCTGATTGATCAGTGAACTTTATCGACGTCATCTGATCGCGGTCTGGGTTCATTATGCTCGCGTTCGTGTGGCATTGAGCCGTATATAAGATAAATCTCTGGGTAAATCAGTCATTCCTTTGAGTGCATCGACAGACGTTAGCTGCTCTGCTTAATTTTGTGTTATCTATTTGTTTTTATCGACTTTAAGGTGAGTTTTTATGGAAGTTATAGTTTATGAAGGTAATATTTAGAAGTTATTCTTAATGAAGCCTTGTTTTTGAAGCTTTGTTTTGAAGCTGCTGGTTTTCAAATTTATTAGCGTCGGTTCGAACGTTTATTGCTTTACCACAGCTCTGGGCAATTCAAAATACCATCTATTAACGTTGTATACCTACAATAAGTTATTTCCAAAAAATTACAGATCAATCAGCTAAAACCAATAATAATGTCCAAGTTCATCACCTTGATCATCTTCGCTTTGATCTTCGCTTCAGTATCAGCTCAATTCATCGACCCTTACCTTGGCAGACCTTATGGTGGTTTGGGTGGTATGGGAATGGGAAGACCAGTAGTGGCTCCAGTCATTGTTGAACCAGTTGTAGCACCATATGGAGGCATGGGTATGGGATATGGAGGACTTGGCTATGGTGGTCGCATGGGCAGACTTCTTTAAGGATTTTGGTTTGAATTGTTTAAAGAACTTGATTTCTGAATTTTGAGAATCTTTAAAGAACGTGATTTTTGAAATCTGAATTTTTAAAGAATCTTATTTTTGAAAGCCCGCAACAGCATTTTGGTAATTTTGATGTAAAATATTGTTTTTGTTATAGTTTGCTACCAATAAATTGCTGACTTTATTGAGGATTTGGTATCTAAAGATCAAAGAAGTTGGTTGTTTTTATCTGCCTTGAGAATTAGTATATAAAGATGGCACATGCAACTATATAGTGCATGTAATCGAAGAATTAAAAAACGTTTTTTAAGCTTATGGGTTTACAGTTTTTTTAAAACTTGGGTTGCAGATGTTTAGCTTATAATATTTTGGCAGCTACTGTGTTTGGAACATGACTGTTTTAAACTATAGTGTTCTTTTACACTTTGGCATGTAACTTAATATTCAAATCTTAATTTGCAATTTAATTTTAAAATCATTGCGGGACATAAACCCAAACCACATGTATATATAACATAATTGAATATGTACATATAACTTAATTATTATATAAGTATAATTTTAGGTTAGTCAAACACCATAAAATAATATACAGTCTTTCTAAAACAGAATAAGCAGAATTGGGTTATAATTTGGCGTTTAATGTAACACCTTTTGACAGAGTTAAATCATTCGCAGAAGGTTACACTACTAACTATAATGAATTTGATTGTTGTGTACGACAACAATATATTATACAGGTTTTATTGTGAACTACAAAAGAAATGATGAGTTTGTGTATTTGGAAACGTGGGTTATTGTAGGAATAGCACACTGTTCAGGGTTTACAATACTACGTTTAACATAGCTGGGCTTTTTTATGTTAAACGTAGTATTCAGGGACGTCGCTACGGTTTTTCTCGGGGGGTGGAGAGGTCGAAAATTTTTTTTGGTTCACAGGTCCCCCCCCCCTACCTGTGGACCGATTTTTCAAAAATTTTTTTTTTCGTTTTTCCGCGTACAGGTACTGTACCTCTACCTGTGGAATTTTTTTTCGGATCGGCTCTGGGAGGGGGGGTACCCCCCCTCTTCCCCAAGCGACGTCCCTGTTAGTATTGTTAACTAATTTAAATGTACTTACATAGAAAAGGGTTCTTGTACTACGTCAATCGTAAAATAAATGAAATTTACTGTCATAAATAAAAAATATTTTACTATTGTAAATCGTTTTTAATATACTGACAGTAAATTACCTCAAGTGTAGTATTATTGAAGAAAAAGTCAGTCAGGTTAAGGATATAAGTTATACTTGTTGTGTAATAGTGTGTAACGTGTGTATTATGTATTATTATTTTATAACAATAGTAATAAATTTTCGAAATTGTATTTTTAAATTGGTTGACACATTAAATTAAAAGTTGTAGTAGATTTACAACTTGTTTTAAGGACACTTGGACTGAATACATGTTAAATAAAAGTTCATTTAACATGTTTCACATTACTGTTGAGTTTACTGAGGATAAACATGAAAATGTTTTTTACTATAGATGGAGTTACCATGTTATATATAATATAATAGTCCGTTTTTTCAAATTTATATGTAACTTCTAGATATGGGGACGTATTCTGGTTCTTATAACGAGAGAGAGAGATTTAAAGTCTAGATTAACTAGAGAGTGAGGGTTGATATTAGGCTTGAATTTGCGTGTAAGAAAAATGAAGTTAAAATTAAAGGCAAGGTAACATATGATACCAGAAAATGAAAAATCTGACTTTTTAAAAAGTTGTAAATTTAATTTATTTGCGTAGTGATAATTTTGTTACGTAGTTTAAGTACATAGTTAGCATTTTTTACGAGTACAAGAAGTACACTATTAGAAAATTTTATACTTACTTAGCCTTTTAAGTAGTACTCTAATATTCTGTGAACTTTTAAGTTTTTAAAAATAAATTTTGATATCAAAAGAAGGGGGTTGTCAAGGATGAGATAACAGCTTCTAAAAGATTCTTGACATAAATAGAAGAACATGTATTCTGTGAATTACTCGCCTTACTAGTTAGTAAATGTTACCGTATAAAATCAAACGAAACTAATTTTTTCATATTGTTTTTACATTAACATATTAATAATTTGAATAATGGAAGTGCATGTTTTTAAATTTTTTAAAAGTCACAGCTGTTCAATTAGTTCCAAACACATAATAATTGAAATAATTGTATAAATTGTCTACGTTTTCTTTCCTTTACTTAACTCTATCAGTGCGAACACACTTGTGCGCACACATGTCACATTACTTTTAAGTTACGGTATCTTTTGTCGAAGTTATGGAATTTTGTAATTAAGGTATCTTGTGTCGAACTTATAATATATTATTTTGAAATTATAGTCATTATTGTTTATCGTCACGAAATTTGTATCTTTATTAAAAAACGTATTGAAATTCTTTGAATTATTGTAGCATAATGTTATAGTACTTCGTGGGATTGAAGTTTTAACAAAGCGTTACATTTCAATAATTAGATTAGAAACAGTGACTTATCATCATGTAGGCATTACACATCACTTTTACTGTAATACATTATTACTTTAAAGACAGTAAGTATCAGTTTCAAATTACTACTGGTAGGTGTGTATGGTCTGGTCGTATTTGGTGTTTCTAGCATAGTGGTTGTCAGGTATGATCTACAACTGTTTGCTAACACTTACAAGTATAATATCCGTCACTTTATCGTTAATGGTAATCTATGTTGGTGTGTTCCGGACGGTAAAGGAAATGAAAACGTATACTGCTTATATTGTCAACTTTACGGTATGTTGGCAAAAATTTTTAAATTAAAAAATTTTTTTTGAGTGGCGTGGGGTTTAAAAATGATTTAGAAAAGCGTAGAACGTGGTTTCCGTTGATGGGTTTAGTAAAGAAACTTTGGGAAAATGTTTTAATGGGCAAAAAATATATTACCTTTTTCAGCCTAAGAATTAGGTATTGAACAAGAAACGTTAAACTGAAAAGATTGTATCTTCCAGATTTGCGACCTATGTTTGTCATTAACAATGGGTGTGTTAGTACGACCAGAGCCAATTTTTCCACTTGATGGAGCCAAAGTAACTGGTTTCTTACAATACTTTGGAAGTTATGCTGGTTACATTTCGGTATGTTAAACGTACAGTCGTTATTAGTGAATGTTGAGGGGTATTTAGGGTAATATATGAAACTTTAAGGTTTGGTCTAGACCTTTAAAGGGGTCTTGTTAAAATTTTTTTCCACTTTTGTGGGTTCTAAGCTGGGCCTTGGGGCTTTGTTTTGGGCTTTGGCAATTTGGACTCACGTATACCGGGTGGCCTTTTTTAAATTTACTACTTGTCAGTCTGGTTCGGCGCTGTTTTTAGCTGAGCTCTTTTCAGGCCTAGTCTTTTTGAACCGTGACACAGTACGCAGGTATTATAATTTTTGATTGTCAAGAAGCTGTCGGTATAAATAGGGTGTCACGATGTCGAGAGGCATACTAAAGAGTTTTCCCTGTACTTTAATTTAGAGTAGTAAGGCTTAACTATGAGGCTATTGATTATAATTGATACCTTACTAAGTTCAATTTTGGAAAAAATAAAGTTTTAAAAATTTCAGATAGTACTAATAGTCGTGTTTCTCAGCTTATGTTTGTCAGCTCAATGCCATTGTATAATTTATCGAATGCTGGTGTTGATGGAGAACCGCTTCTATTTCAATAGTTTTAAAACGATTTACATGTGGATATTTGCATACTTTTGCAATGCTGTTTGTATTTTTGGTATTTGTTACGTCGTCTCTAACATGTTATGCAGGCCTGAGGTAAGCACTTTTTTATTATTAAATTAAAATTTCGTGAAAAAAAGTTTGATTTTAAAAGTTTTGGGAATAGCTAAAGGAACTTTTTTAGGTGGTACCTACAATAATAACTCAAGCAATAACAGCTAAACGATTACAAATTGACATTGGTGACATATCGTTCTCAAAATACATTTACTTTAACCGTAGTAGTCCATACACGGTCGGTTTTGCTATAGTAGCAGTTGTATCGTATGTTGTGGTAGAAGTGATATCATTTGGATGTATTTTCTCGATTTTCAAAACTTTGCAAGTAAAGCGACAAAACTATTCTAAAGTCACATATCGAATGCATATTCAGCTGGCTATGGCATTGGGAGCCTAGGTGAGTAGTTTATATTGTTTGACATTTTCAGATATTCATATTTTGGAAGTTTATGAATAGTTTTGGGTAATACTAGGCTTTCGTAACTTTGGAGCCGCTACAGTTGGATTGGGTTTTGAGTCTAGTGTATTAAACTTTGAAACTGGCAGTACGGGCTTCGAGGTTACTACAGTAGGCTATGATCTACCATAATATACTTTGAGTTTGCTAATGCATATACCGGCTGTAGTGAAATTTAAGTATATTATTAATACACAATAGTAATAATAGGAACAATAATAATACGTATTTTACTTCAGGTCTTAGTACCAATACTATTTGTAATCCTACCAGTACTTTACTTAGTCTGGTCAGGTATGAAAGATGGTGAGATTGGCTATGTACAAGGCATGTTGTGTATAATATCTGTCGACATTTATGGTGGTGTCAGCTCTTTATTAACTTTGTACTTTATCAAACCATATCGACAGTTTTACATTATGAGTTTTATTGATATTTTACATATGTTTACTAGTCGAAGGTTCAACACACAGAGGTTAACATGGGCTAATAGAATCAGTACTATTACTACGTGATAGGTACTGTAATGTTGTTGAGATTTGTAAAGATTTTGTTGTAAGAAGTTGTTATATAGAATGTTACGAATAATATTACTGTTTTAAATTGTAACATACGATAAGTACTAAAAAAATAAAATAAAATGCTGTACTATAGCACTTCTTTTCACTTTTATTGCATCTTACATTATGTTATCCGTGTTTCTTACAATATATTATTTGATATTCAACTTTTCGCACATTCGTTTTACTCTGTACAATTCCGTACCACCGAACGGTACGGCAGGTACGCCGATTTTGTCAGCGATTTGTTTTTGTATTCGGGCTGCAAATTGTTCACCGTCTTCGGTTGGTTGACGTTGTTGCTTGGGAAGATAATATACATCATAGTTGATACACCATGAAGCCATTACTCGAAAGATATAGGGCAAAAAGGTCGGCTCGTTCCAGAAGGAGTCACCTAGGCTGAAAAGGTATAGGTTTATGTGATGTGATAAAACTATTATCTGTAACCCTATCCTTGAACCTACCCCTGCCCTTATCATACCCTACAATTACCTTTACTTTACTCTTTTTGCTATCCCATATAAAAGTAAATCCTTGACTGACAATAAGTTGTATGTTGTGTAAAATAGCTTACATAGCATGCTGTTTGATAGCAATCGGATAGACATTGATACCCTCTTCAAAGGCAGCTTTTCTCATCTGCATAACACCCGTATTGTTACTACAATATCCTTCTGGAAAGAGCAAAACTGGGTCTAATTTGCCTGTTCGTGCTGCTTCTACCACGTTTTTCTAAAAGAAAAAGTTAGACAATGTACCTATGATAATATTTTTAGAAAATAATTTTTTCCTTTTCCTTCTTTCTCTATTAAAAAAGTTGAAAGAGGTCCTATTGAGGTTAGAAAAAAATTTTAAGGCATGGCCAAAAGGTCTTCAGCTCCCTTCGGGTACTGCTCTCGAAAACTCGCGAAGCCCTGATCATAACATACCTGAAAGTTCTTCCTCTCTTCAGGTTTACTTCTGTCCAAAAAGTAAATTGGAGCAATCCTGGCCGACATTTTTATGATGTAGCCAATGATTCCTTTGTGTAATTGACCCGTAACAGTATAGCCTTGAGGTTCCTCTACATTCAAGTGTAAATCAGCAAACATGTATTGGATATCGTTGGCTGTTAGGTGATTCGCCATGGCCACGCCTTAAAATATAGTTTTTTAGTTTAGCAGGTTATAGTTTGATACCTTTGGGGCTTGTAAATAATAATATTAAGGGTTTTTCTAGGGTAGGGTAAGGTAAGGTAGAGTAAATTAGAGTTGAGTAAAGTAGGGCAGGGTCCGAAAATTTTTTTGAGTTTATCAGGGGAGGGGAGTTAATTTTTTGAATAAAATTTCGTTGGCTGTGAAAGGCTAAAAAATTAAAATAAGTTTTGCTATCGGCTTACCTGGTGCTCTAGGCACGTTTTCTCTATTATGATACGTAGCCACAAGACCCATAGAAGCGCTGAACGACCGAGCATAAACAGAACAACAGTACAATCGTTGTCGCTGAGTATATGGTTTGATATAGGACACTATTCCAGCTAGGCCAATAAAGGCAGAAGCAAATATTAGAAGTTGCAGTCTAATTGGAAATAAAATGCCGTACCTGAAAATATTTTTTTTTTGATTTTTATAGCTTTAGCCTATACTGTAGCCGTAACCAGGGCCGGGCGGGGACTTTTAGTCTGGGGGCGGGGGTCCAAAAATCGACACAGGTCCACATTAAACTTTTTTTCAAAAATTTTTTTTCTGGGGGGGTACCCTCCCTCGTCACCCCCCCCTCCCCCCCCTCCCCTTCGCGCCCGGCCCTGGCCGTAGCTTTAGCCGAAAACTTAACCCGGGCTTAGCTCTGTCCCATCCTTACCTATAGCCTTAGTCATCTAGATTTAACTTTAGCACTAGCTATAACAATAGCTGTAGTCATAGCCATACCTTTAGCTCTATATTTAGCCCTAGTCTTTGCACTAGCCCTAGCTCTAGTTCTATCTTAACGTAGGTCCTAGTCCTAGCCCTGGCCCTAGCCGCGGCTTTAGTCTTAGCTATTTACCAAACCAAACCTAGTCATTGCTAAAAACATACCTTATGAAGCAAGATAAAGCATACACAGCCAAATCAGTAGCACTTTCTGTGCCCGGAAAGATGCTGAAGTTCCAATACTCATTTTTGACCAAACTAAATAACTCTTGAGAGTATGGTACCTAAAATAAAAATAGCCTAGAAAAAGATGTTTTATTTTTTTTAAAATTATTAAAATTTGAAAAAAATAAAAAATAAATTTATTTGAAGTTTTCCAATTTTTAATATTTTTAAGACAGCCGAACGCTGAATCTCGAATTTTATAAAAAATGTTATATTTTTTTGAATTTGATGACTAACTCCTCCGAGTTTAATATTTTTTCAATCGAACAAGTTTTGATAGAAAAAAATAACTCGTTCGTCATTTTTATGACAATCAAATGACGCATTTGTGGAATTCGCAGATTCCACAAATTCCAATCCGCGGTTGCTTTTGTTCAATCAGTAGTTGAGTAGACAATTAACACGTTTCTTGCTTTTTATTTTTGTTTTTGTAAATTTGATTTTTTTAAAATGTTTACAGTAAACGCTTTTAAGGATAGGTCAAGCCAGCTTGGGTCAAGGGCAGTATCGAGTAGGTCCACTTTCATATCTAGTAAGGTGGAGAAAAGCTAGGACTAAGATCAGTGTTATATTGAATTGTCCGGTCTAGACCGGACCGAAAAAAAAATTTCTGGGCCGGTCAGAACCGGGGTAGGGTAAGACCGGATCTCAAACGTAGCCGGGCCGGACTTGCAAAAAAATTGCCCGGACCGTTTAGGCAAAACTGGCTACGATAAGGTTCAGGTAGAACTGGGCCAAGTCTGCGGCAGGGTGGGTAGGGTAAGGTTGAGTAGGGTATTTACATAAAACTTTTTATCTTATCACGCTCGTCGGTTCGGAACTTTCTCCCCAAACCAAAATGTTTTGATTTTGAGATTTTGTTTCGTTTTTCTCACTTTCTTATCACATTTTCCCCCACCAATTCGTTGCGAAAAGGCGGCGACCTTAAAACATTGATGTAAAATCGGAAAGAAAGTTTTGTCGAAAAACGTCGGATCCAACGTCGTGAGTTCTGAATAGTGGGTTAAGTGTGGATGTATTTACACAGGGATGAGGTATCTTACTATTCTTTACGTTAGATGGGGAAGATCTTAAGATTTTGATATTCTTCGCGTTATTGTAACCTAGTTCTTGTCATAGCTATAGTCTTGGCCTTAGCCTTAAGCTTACACCCAGCCTCAGTTTTAGCCTTATCTTGAGCCAGACCTTGAGTCTAAACCTGAGTCGTTACTTTAACCTTGGAGTCCGAGTTTGTCGTAGCCTAAACTTTAGTCTAAGTCTGAGCCTGAAATTTAACCTTAGCTTGAGCTTGTTAGCGATAGCCTTAAGCTTAGACCCAGCCTCACTTTTAGCCTTATCTTGAGCCAAAGCTTGAGCGTAAACTTGAGCCTGGGGCTTAGTCTTACCCTTAGACTTAGCCCTAGCCTCAGGATCAACCATAGCCTTAGCTCTTGTCTTAGCCGTAGATTTAGCCTTAGCCTTATCTTTAGCCTTAGCCTCAACCTCAGCCTTTATACTTATCCTTAGTCTTAGTCCTTGCATTGGTCCTAGCTCTAGCCTTATTCTTAACACTAGCTAAATTTTAAAAACTTTTCTTCTCGCCCGCTACTTTTTGACTCATTAACTGCCTCCCTTTTACCTGTTAACTGCCATGTTTTATTCAAAACAAAGCCCTACCGATGTGTGTAATTCATCGTGATTGATTCATTCGATGGAACAAACGAATAGAATTAAAACAGAGGGAATTCGCTTTTGGACGCATTCCATTTTGCGCAACGGATTCTTAAGCCTCTAATTTAGTGCAGTTTAAGCTAATTGATATTCCCGCAGGTGGAAACAGCACCCGCGACTGATTTTGTCGGTTTTTGCGGTTGATTTTGTGATTTTTTGAAATTTTCGAATAAATAATTGGCCTAAAAATTTTTTGTAAAAACTAAAATTTGGGTTTGGATGAGTTTTCTTGGGGCATATCCGAGAGAAGATATGGGACAAGATAGGGTACATTATGGTAAGGTAAGATAAAGTAAGGTATGGTAAGGTAAGGTAAGGTAAGGTAAGGTAAGGTAAGGTAAGGTAAGGTAAGGTAAGGTAAGGTAAGGTAAGGTAAGGTAAGGTAAGGTAAGGTAAGGTAAGGTAAGGTAAGGTAAGGTAAGGTAAGGTAAGGTAAGGTAAGGTAAGGTAAGGTAAGGTAAGGTAAGGTAAGGTAAGGTAAGGTAAGGTAAGGTAAGGTAAGGTAAGGTAAGGTAAGGTAAGGTAAGGTAAGGTAAGGTAAGGTAAGGTAAGGTAAGGTAAGGTAAGGTAAGGTAAGGTAAGGTAAGGTACGGTAAGGTAAAGTAAAGTAGCAAAAAAATGTGGAAAAAAATTGGAGGAGAGAGGAAGGAGAGGATCTTTACACTAAAAACAAAAAAAATAATTTATATAAGGCTTATTTGTTTAAATTTCACGCTTTTTCTTTAAAAAAGTGACAAAGTTTTATTGTCCTACTTTCAGCTGTTTACAACCGGTTTAGTTACAGCTTTTTTTATTACTAGCTTACCAAGGTCATTCAGACGTTATTTCTTTTCCGCATTAAAAAAGCCAAATATTAGGTTGTTAGGTAAGTCGTGGGCCCCTTTTCAACACAAATGTTTGAAAAATCAGGAAAAAATTAATATATATCGCAAATTGAAAAGTTTGATGTCCTTTTATAGTTTAAAACCTATATTTTTAGAATACGTAAGTTTCAAACCTCTTTTAATTTTTTGTTTTGTTGTTTTAGTGGCCAGAACATTATAGGGCAAATGACGACTTTGGGTAGTGATGTAAAAGAGTACAAAACAAGTCGTAACGTTAAAGCTACGGCCGGATTCATAAATAAGACACATGGACAAAGTATTGTGAGCTACACAACAGCAAAAATTTGGTTCCAAAAGCTTCCTTCTGGAGATAAGACGCTTGAAGAAAAGTGGAGGTCCTGTAGAGTAGTTCTCTATAATTCCTTGAAACTTGGCCAAACCATAACTGTTAGTACGTATTCTATTAATATTGACCAAATGCGCCACTATCTACCTTCAAAGTTGAGAAACAGAAGGTCAATTATTGTTCATGACAGTGTCCGCCCCCACTTGGCAACGATGACCGCAGAAAAACAACGGGTTTGGATACAAAGTTTTTGACCATCATTTGTATTTACTCGACATGATAGCTACATATTACCATATTTTCAAATCTTCGACAGCATTTATGTGTCAGCGACAATCCACTGAAGATGACGATTTCATGGAAGCCATCAAAATTTTCTTAGGCTCTAGAAATTCTGAATCCTATGCTACTGGGATAAAAATGCTTAAAAACGTTGGACACATTGTGTTAATGTTGATGATAACTATTTTGATTAATAATTCGTTCTTGTTGTAACGCAAAAAATTTTTTTCTGATACACGGTTAGGGGGGCCCACGACTTACCTAACAACCTAATATAATCAAATTGTTTGTATCAAATGTATATTGTTCGTTAACAATTTAAAACGTATTAGAATTTTAAAAATTTTTGTGGGTTTGTGAAGCTACTGAGCTATGAAACTATAATATGTATTGTACGTTTGTTTATCGGCTTTTAAATTTTAGCTAGTTTTTAAAATTTTTTATAATTTAGGTTGAAATGCAGCCAATGGCAAACTACGTGAGCTTGGGGTCATATAAACCAGCGGACCGTTTCAACGTGACCCCACGACGAGCTTATCGTCAGAAGGGAGGTTATGCCGTCACTAATAAACTTGAAAATCTACTCACTCCTAACCCGTAAGTATTTTTATTTTACCTACCTTACTTTACCCTACTTTAGTTTTCTTTATGCCACCCTACCGTACCCTATCCTACACTACCCTTCCTTACCCTACCTACCCTACTTTACCTTTCCCTACTCTAACTTCCATAATATTTTTCAAATTCAATTTCTCAAAATTTAAAATTCAATTTAAAATACCTACCGCCTTCAGTTCTTCCACAGTAAACCCATTTTCCTCCACCTTAAAACCATTCGTTACAGTACCTCCACCATTACCGGAAGCGTGCTTTCCTCGCGGGCACCGTCGACCGTAACTCTGAATCAGTCGTCGAACCAGAGCAGCGTACCATCCGGGCCAGTGTCCCCAGCCACGGCACGTCAGTATGAGCCCCACCGTCACGCACACTACGACTTCAATCAACACTACCCATCCGAAGACAATCTGGCCAAGCATCGCTTAAGCGCGGCCGAAGTGGGGCTGCCCAAGTTGCGGGTGTTTCGATCGGGCTACGAGGAAGGGAATGGCACTGAAATTGGGGGACGGTAAGCAAATTTGTGAAAATGTTTTAATTAAAAAGGTATAGGCAACTGTAGCTATAAAAAATGTAAATTGTTGTATTAAAGGTGGGGTTAGGATGGGAGGAAAGTAAAAGTAAACTGAAGATAGACTTAGGGTCCAGTCGTGCTAAAAGCATATATCGGTAGATAAAGGAGATAAAAATGTAAGCCTGGAAACGGGCAAAGGTAGGGCAAGACAAATACGTTAAGATAGAAATTGAAGTATTCATAAAATATGGCATGCAGGGCCGGGCGCGAGGGGGGGGACGGGGGGGGAACCCCACCTCTCCAGAAAAAAAAATTTTGAAAAAAGTTGAACGTGGTCCCCCCTGCGGATTTTCGGAAAAAAAAATTCGCAGAAAATCGGCACAGGAGCTACCTGTGCCGATTTTTTGGACCCCCGCACCCAGACCAAAAGCCCCCGCCCGGCCCTGATGGCATGGGTTAGATTAGGCTAGTTAAACTTAATTTAGGACTATAGAAGAGCTGTTAGGACTGGGTTCGGGTTAGGAAATCGTTGAGGAAGAGCTATTGCAAGGCTGGTTACAGAGCTAGGCTATAATGGGCAAAGGATGAAGCTATGGCTAACCCTGTTTAAGGCTATAGTAGGGTCTGGGTAAGGATAGCAAAGATCCAGTGTAAGACTGAAGAAGATTTAGGGCAGGACTAAGGCTGCTTGAGCTCAGGCTACTGTTAGGGTTATGACAATGGCTAGGGATATGGCTAGGACTAAGAATAGGGCTAGAGCCTTTTCTATGGCTCTGGGCTAGGGCTCTGAGCTAGGGCTCTGGGTTAGGGCTCTGGGCTAGGGTTCTGGACTAGGGCTTCGGACGAGGGCTTTTGGGCTAGGCGGAAAATTAAAATCTCAGCCGAAAAAACTTTTCAAGGTAAAATACGGTGTTTTCTCCCTTATTCCGCTAAGTTATTGCAACAAAACAATAATCACTCTCTCAAATATGACACAGTAATAAAAAATGTCACGCGATTCGAAAAACTGATAATTGACGTTGTGAATATTTGGGTATATAAAAATCACCAAATCTATGAACGTTCGTTCACCAAACGCACTTTCATTTTTTGGCTGATAAGAAAGGTGAAAAAAGTCTATGAAAATGGCCGCCGGGCACAAATTTGATTACAGAAGTTGTAAGCGCCTTGTAAATGGTCACGTTGTACTCTAAAAAACTTGCAAAATTTTGATTTTTATTTAGTGAAAGATCAGAAAAATGAATTTTTTAAAATTTTTTTTAGCTTGGCAGAACTGGAGGGGTAATTTTGGCTTAGAGACAATAAAAAAATGAGGAAGAGGTAGGGGGGGGTGGTTATAAAAGTAAGAAAAGTATTTTTTTCGGGATTGGCTGTGCTGGAGGGCAGTTTTAGTTTAAGGGTAGCAAGAAATGGTAGGGGCGGGGTAGGGTGGTTATAAAATTAATACACTCTTTCTTGGGCATGGCTGTACTAAAGAAGTATTAGGTGTTTACAAAAGTTTTTCCACGATTTGTGTTTTTACCTACAGTACAGGCAGGGACGATTCCCCCCCCAGAGCCGATCCGAAAGAATTTACCTATCAAAAAGTTGATGTAAATGCTTTACCTTTTTTGTATTTTTATTGAAAATGCCAAACTTATGTCAGAAAAGGGCAATATTTTTAAAAATACCTGTAATGGTCAAATTAAAACTCAATTAGATTTTGTTTACGGGCAGGTAAATAAATATTATAGTACACCAATAGGTACGTTTTTATGGTAAACATATACTTTAAGGTACTTTAAACTCACTTTTAAATTTAAAATCAAAATAAAAAAACAGATTTTTCTAACTTGCAACAGATGGAGCAATGTTAGTTATAAAGCTAAGGTGGACTGAAGGAGAATGATAGAGCTAGCGCTGCGGTAGGGCTAAAGTAGGGCCTTGTTGTTGGGTAGAGGAGGGTCAGGGTAGGATTGTGGACGAAAGTTAAGACAGGGTTAAGAATAAGGTTTAAGGTGGGACTAGGGCCATGTCTAGTGCTAGGACTAATGGTAGAGTTAAGGCTTAAGTTTGGGCGTGGGCTAGTTATCATCCGAGTAATCATTCCAATGTCATCCTGCCCTGCTCCGCCTTACCCACCCCCCCCTTCCCCCAAAAAATTTTTCTAAAAATACCCCCTTTCCCACCTCCCCCCAAATCGTTCTTATTAAACTCAAAAAATATCGGCTCTTACCAAATATATATTTATCACAAAAATCTCAAAAACCATGCCCAACAGAATCTACTAATATCATTATTTTCTAACATGTCAAAGACACCTAACCACCTGTCTTCAATCAGCTCTTTACACCTAAAAACATTTTTCTTTTATCTGTAAATTATCATCCGAACGCTTAATTGAAAAATGAACCCTGCTGGCTAGTCGGGCAAAGTACAAATGTTAGTAAACAATGTTCGAAAAGCAAATTTATACAGTAATCTGTTATTGATAGGGTTAGGGCAAGGTCATTTTTGTAAATTATTGGGTTTTAATTGGGTTGAAAATCAAAAAATTGAATAACACTACGCTACCCTACCCTATTTTATCCCACCCTAACTTATCCTACCCTACCTTACCCTACCCTACCCTACCCTACCCTACCCTACCCTACCCTACCCTACCCTACCCTACCCTACCCCCTACCCTACCCTACCTTACCCTACTTTGCCCTAACTTCCTCTATCTGGCCCTACTTTACTCTATCGTACCTTACCTTACCCTACCTTTGCAGAAACCTTACCTAAGTCTTCCTGTAGCCCAACGTTAAATGTACTGTTTCCTAAATTATATTTCCTCTTCTTACTTTACTTGCGTTAACATTCTCTACAGTAGTCTACCCTACCCTACCTTCCCCTACCCTACCCTGCTTAACTTTGTCTTACTATACTCTACCTCACCCTCTGCCGCCCCTTTGCTACACTGTTTTTCCATCCCTAACCCCACACTCACGCCTCTTCTATGATTTCTATTAGAGAAGACTGTCCAAGCTCTAAAAGCCTAAAATCAAGTTCAAAAAGTTGTATTTTAGCCCCTATTTTGCATCCAAAGCCCTCAAGTTAAAAAATAAAATTTGTTTTTGATTAAAAGTAGCCATCTCCCCAAACCGTGTGGTCAATTCTGTTTCTTCCGCTCCTCCGACACAAACACAGCGATTTGTAAAAGCAGTGGATAAACAAGTAAATATTTCTCGTTTCCAGTCGTAAACAAACGCATTAGTCTTGTACACTGACCAGCAGCTTGTTGATACAGACTTGGGGTTTTATTATACTATATTTTTAACTTTCCCATGCCCATTTTCTGTCTCCAGCAATTCTTTTTTTTTAAAGTTTTACTTGGTCTATTGATTTTTTAAAATCTAAAAAAAAATTTTTTGGAAAAAGGATGAACATGGTACCCCCTGTTGATTTTCGAAAAAAATTTCAAAAAAAATTTTTTTTTATTTTTCCCCTTTCTTCTAAACAGAAATTGCATATTTTTGTAGCCAACATACTACCCATGCCCATTCAAAATTAAAAACGGTCGATAAAGCGCACAAAGTTCTACCACTTCCGTTGACTTTCATTCCCATCTGACAGTTTTTCATTTTTGTCGCTGATTTTTAACTTGAATGATTAGTGTCATCTTACGATGACTTTTCCGTTCGACCAGACTTTTTTCTACAAAAACAAAGATTTTAAAAAAATAATAATCCAAAGATCTTTATCTTGACATAACTCATAACCTAAAACAATAACTTTTGACCATGAAAGCGAAAACGTAATCCTTCTAGAATAGTATTCGGTTCCGGATCATGCACGTAGTTTACCATAATAAATTAAAGCACAGTAAAGTAAGACAAAAAAAGGTAGGGTAAGGTACGATAGAATAGGATAGAGCTAGGCAACGCAGAGTAAGGTCCGGTATGGTAGACTACGGTAGAGGATGATAGAGTAGAGTGTGGTAGGGTAAAATAGGGTAGCCTGAAGTCCGGTAGGGTAGATTAAAGGAGAGTAAGGTAGGTTAATGTTAAAGAAGGCTAGGGAGACAAATTAAAAAACGTTAAACGATTTTTCAAAACTTTCATGATTTTAATTCATTTCAGCTACAGTACCCAATCCGACAAACCAGTACTAGCATGTGAGCTCCAGCGGCCCAAACCGCCCACTGGGTTGATTGATTTGGACAAAGAATTCCAACGAGTTTACAACGAATTCAGAAGCATGCATGGTAGTTTTGGCAAGCCTGGACTGTAGACTTTTGGTCAGTCTGGACTGTAAACTTAGTGGCCTACTGATTTTCATAAGGTTTCTTCTGTCAGAACGTCCAAAAAGTCCTGGTCATCAACATTTTTATTATATTTACTACTCAAGTTTAGTTTACCTCCATGTTTATGTGTACATACGCCCTCATATTGATCATATTGTTATTATCCGAATAAAAATAAAAATTTGAATTCAGAAAGTTTAAAAAACTATTTTTAATGAAATTTTAAATTTAAAAAGTCGAAAATAAAAAAATTTTTAAAAATCAAACTTAAAAACCAAAAAACGTGTTTTAAAACCTCAAAAATAAGTTTATTAATACTTTATCCGTATGCCAAGCAAGAATACCATGAAAAGTGATAGGTACAGTAATATTATAGTCAAAGGAGAAATATTATAGTAACAAACTAAGATTGAGCAGTATATTAAGGTAAGTATTTATAAATAAATGTAGTAGAATAAATACAATACACCTACAAAAAGAATTGTAAAGCCTTATAGACAATAGTAAAAGCACTTTCAAACTTTAAAAACATTTTATATACATAAGTTTAGGCACAAAAGTCAGACTTATTGCAATTTATAATACAAAAAACTGTACCGCAGGCTGCACAGCAGTGGAATAATGAAGGTTGAGCGTGAGCTTTGCTGCGTTTTCCTGCAAATAATACTTATAATAATATATATTATCCATGAAGCAAAGTGGTACTGCATCAGTATTAGCCTCAGTCGACTAGTACTGTTTTAGCACCTGAACAGAACTGATACTGTATTAGTACTCTATATCACATCCATTTTTCAAAACTCACCATTATCATCCTTCTTTATCATATTATCAATGTCCATAAATGTTGATAGAAGACGTATTGACACTGCCAGTGATATTCCGATTCGGCCCTTTAGCCAAAGGCAAGAGTTTTCGGATTTCATCAGCTCGGGGGTGTTTTGGCACTTCAAACTCTTTTAAATTACTGACTTTGTACTCTGCGTCCGCCACATTTAAATGGGATCCCAGGATGGATAGTATGTAGTTGTTTATTGTTTGTTGGCGTCGGATTCGGTCGACCATCGCTGATAGGGTCTGAAATGGAATTTTTCAAAAAAAGATACAATTTCTCTAAACAAACTTCAAAAAAATTTTAAATCACCTGAAATCCCTTAATTCTTTCGCAATTCAAATTTTCTAACAAAAATCTAAAAAAACTCAGCAAAAGTTAAAAACTTACCACACCCTCGTCCTTATTGTTCTGAATTTGGATTGATCCCTCCACTTTGGATACCCGTAACAAATGGTATGAAAAGTCCATAACATCGAATCGTTTGTGTTGATTCAATGTTCGGATTATTGCCATTGCTGCCCAGTGAAGAGAGTCTCCGTAGATTTCACTAAAAATATAGGTACCTATCATTAGAGTTGAAAGCCTCAAAGGCATTCAAAACCTATGGAAAGAGTAGGGTAATATAGGGTAAGGTACGAAACGTTTAAGTTAGAGATAAGATTCAGGGTGGGAAAAAAGATAGAAGTAAGGTTAGAAGTAGCGATAGGAGAAAAATAAAAGTATTGTTAAAGGTACAGGTAAAGTAGACGTAAAAGTAGGGGTGGAGTAGAAATATAGGTATGAATACGAGTAGAAGTAAAGATAAGAGCAAAAGCAGAAGTAAGAGTAAGGGTAGAAGGTCGATGTAGGGGTACGGGTAGGGTTATGGGTAAGAGTATGAGCAGACGTAGTGCCAAAGGTAGAAGTAAGAGAAGAAGATAAGGCTAACTTTTCTAACACCCATGACAGCCCCCCCCCCTCCCCCCAAAAAAACTCCTTCTAAACCCAAAAAAGACCTACTCAATCGTCAACACATCCTTATTCTTCTCAGCTGCATTCTGAATTTGCAGTACATGAAGAGCGATTTGAACATTCGACCATAACCTATGGAATTCCGCCATTTCATCCACGTACATTACCCCATTCTGTGGTGTTTTAGGTCCCACAAATAGTTCGTCGTTCAATAGATCTCGGACTTTCGTTAGAACACGTTCAAAAATGTTCATTCCACCACAAAGTCTTTCTTTTGTCAGCAACTCTGTCTCTGGTACCAGTTCCTTTTGGACTGTATTACCATTTACTTCTACTGCTGAAGCAATGTTCAGGCGATTGGCTTGTTCGGAGAGTTGAAGGAGGCGGAACTTTAGGTCGTCTTCGGCTAAAAGTTTAAAAATTTAGAAGTGTGTTATTAGCTAATAAGTTATTGATCGGAAAGTAGAGTACAGTAGAGTAACGAAGAATAGAATAGAGGCGCTTATTTAGATCAGCCCCCCGCTTTGTGAAGTATAGCCCAACCATTATAGATACTTTAGCCCCCATAATGAAAAATGAAAATAAATTATTTTGTGTTTTGAAGTTGTTACTGCCGGGTTGTTTTTATTTTGGGGGGCTGATGTTAACAGTTGGGAGGCTAATGTTATGGGGGGGCTGATGTTAACAGTTGCGGGGCTGATGTTAACAGTTGGGAGGCTAATGTTATGGGGGGGGCTGATGTTAACAGTTGGGGGGCTGATGTTAACAGTTGGGGGGCTGATGTTAACAGTTGGGAGGCTAATGTTATGAGGGGGTTGATGTTAACAGTTGGGGGGCTAATGTTAACAGTTGGGGGGCTGATGTTAACAGTTGGGGGGTTGATGTTAACAGTTGGGTAGTTGTTGTAAATAGAAAATAAAATTAAAAGTGCACTTTTTTAGTTGTAATTTATGCAAATTTCACTTTTTGTGAACTTTCAATTTCTCACGCATGCGAAACCTATAAAAGCCGGTTGATTTTGCCAAAACCTTCATTCTGCCCCGCCATGCAACGCAGGTCGCGTTCCGCCTCCTATAATAGGTCCGGCCGCGCGACCCTGCCACCGATTCCAGCCACTTCGTCAGAATTCGACCTTTTGGACGTTGCATAAGACCGTTTAGGCCAGCTACCCGTTTGGGGGGCTGTTCTAAACACTGGGGGGGGTTGAAGTATCGTGGGGGGGGCTGAACTACATTAGCCCCGAGAAAGCAATTTATGACAAAAATAGGATATAGTAACTTAGAGTAAGATACATACCCAAGGCTATAAAAAATACAAAATAAACCCCAATACTTACATTTACATGGTGGTTTCGGGATGTTACTAGTAAAAGGTGCGCTCATAAACAAGTCGAACATGTCTTCCCTGCCCAGTCCACTCTCCAATTGATTACAAAAGGCCAACAAGTTGCCAAACTCTCTTAACCCTTGACCAAACTCTTTTTTCAATGGTTCGTAGCTAACCAGTGGCCTGGCCGGCTGAAGATAGTACTGTAGTACGGCTTCTGCACCATAGTCGTATCTGGGTAGTTTATGCGACTTTGGGCTTAGACTGTACAACACTCTGACATGAGGTTTAATTTGTTCGTCCAGAATCTTTCGCGCCACATGGAGAAGTTCATCGATTACCGTGGCTATGCCTTGGTATCCCATGAGTTTGGCCATGGTGGTGAAGTGGAGTTGACCAATGTAATCTTTATGCATTGCACAGTTATTGGCAAATGCTGCGTTTAGAGATTTGGAACCGAATTCGAAGACAGGCGGTACTGCCGGGGCTCTGTCACGACGAGGCTCGTTTTTGAAGATGATTTGCTGAAAAAGAGCTTATTTTTTTATAAAACATACCCTACCCTGCCCTACCTCAAAAATTTCTAAAACCCAACCTACTCTAACAAAACACAATACTGTAACTTAACCTGCCTTATCAAAAAAGCGCTATAATCAACCCTAACCATATAATATTAGAACTTACCCTCCCCTTAACAAACCGCTGAGTGAAAGCATTGTAAGTAAAATTAGGTATCAAATCTCCAGTCAATTCATTAAAAATATGCAAAGTCGTTCTTCCATTCGTTGAATTGACTTGATGATTAGCCTCCGTTAACATATCTTCAAATGCGTTCAGAGAATGTAGATGTTCACTGAGTAATCGATGACATAGTCGGTTGGTTTCGATCATCGCATCCAGTGCCACAATGTACCATAGTCCTTCGGATTCGAATCTCGATATTGAAACGTCCAAGCTTCTGGCTATGGCAACATTGATTCGCTGTGAAATAAGGCGATTCAGGTCGATTGAACGACCCAGTAGTTGTACATGACGTTGCTTTAAAAGAGTTTCGTATCGAGCTGTCAATGGAGTTCGAACGGCAATGCCTAGTCTGGTGCAGTCGGATTTGAAGCCTTTGTCTAGTAGCATACTGAAATGGCAATTTAAAGAAAAAGAAATATGCTCAAAGAGTGTTATAGATAGGTATAAGAGTAAAAATGAAGGTAAAAGTAAGAGTCAAAGTAAGAATAAAGGTACAGATGAGGATGAAAGAGAAGGATAAGGGTAGGTAAGAGCAACTGAAGACATCTTCTTAACACTTACGTCGCAGCCAACTGTTTGTAATGTTGAAACACCGCCTCGGACAACTTGAACACGAACTGATCAAAGCACAAGTTGACTTCTGCTTCCACTTCATCGTACAAATGTTGTTTTCTAAACATCTTCAACGAGTAATTAGCAGCATCGTTGTACAAATCCAATTGATATAGTAGACATTCCATCAACGATGGGTCTTGTGTCGTTAAGATATGGTCAGTCAAGATCCATGGGATCGACATTTCAATTGGGAACTGGATTTGTTCACCCATTGACATTTCCAAATAGAACTCGCGGAACCAGAACTGACTCATATCACAACACTTCTCCATTGTAGCCGAATACTCGAGTAGAGCCGACCAGTAGTAGGATTGGCGAAGGAATTGAAGCATCTTCTCCACGTGTTTATTGTCAATGTCCTTTCGAAGCTTTCGGCCGCCTGATTTTTCGGATACTAGGCTTTCTAGCATTGTTCTTGTGAGGTAGAGCTAAAACAAATTTATCAAAAAAACATTTTTTTTTATTTTCAGCAATTTTCAAAAAAAAATTTTTAATTTTTTTCAACCCCCCCCTTAATATTTGGAAAAAAAATTACCCCGCCCTCAGAAAAAATTTTTTTTTGGAAAAGTACCAAAAAGCAGTAGCTTTCGTTAAATTTCTATTTTTTCACAAAAAAATGTAGCCCCCCCCCCAACCTAAAAGTAACCCACCTGTGTACTACTCGGAGGCACCTCCCGTCTCCTTTTCGTGCTCAAATCGATCGTGCTTTGACTTTGTTCCTTTTTGGTTTTCTTTTTTCCGAATTCCATTGACTTTGACATAGTCAAGTTTGAGGCATCACCACATGTGTCAATGATGGAATTGATTATTGTGGCTACCATGTCCTTCTTATGCTTCACAGCTTTGTGTAGCGGCTCTCGCAGCGTGACTTGAACAAAGTCTTGTAGCTCGGCGTAAATGTGCTTTCGGATTGAGGTTGAGGCGGCCGATTCTAGGCGTCCTAACTGCATTTGAACGCCTATAACAATATAATTTAAATTTAAAAAAAACTTTAAAACCAAAATAAAGTCTTGCCGTTTTTCACCACAATAATCCCTTAATAAAACAACTCCAAGACTTTTTTAACCCAAACTACAAATTCGGTATCTAGTAATACACATACCCTTTATCATGGCAATCATCTCCACCACAGCCGCCTTCTCTTCCAGCGAGTAATTGTAGGTTGTAGCTTTGGCGTAGCTCGCCGCTTCCGGAGGACAATTTTCATTAGTTTCTGGTTTGGCTGGATTGTCAAGTTTCCATGACACTACTTCGATTACCGTTGATGTCCAATCACACAGTAGCCTAAGGCCGTTGAGACAAAGATCAGTGATTTCCTTGTTTCCTTCGTCTGTTCTTGGCTGGTCTGGATCTACTATAGTCAACTAAAACAATATTATATTATGATTTTGTTTCTATTTATATTTTTACTGCGCTAGTCATAAGAAAGATTTTGTTGCCTAAAATACTAAAAAAACATCACATCAAACTCAAAAAACAGCGCCAAATAAAATTCAAAAAACCTCCTGAAAACCTAAAATACAGCCCAACGCCAATTTTTGTTAGCTAAATTTTCAAAAAAGCCTCAAAAACCCTGCCCCATTTCAAAAAAAAAACTCACATCATTTTTGATTTTGGCCAAATGAGTCATGAATTCATCGTGATGTTTCCTAGTAGTTTTTACCTTCTCCAGTAAGTTTACGTGGCATGCACTTGATAAGGTGTTACACAACGGCCATTTCGAAGCGTTGTAGAACTGGGACCGTTTCACAAAAGAAAAGGGTTGAATTTGCATATCTCCAAACAATGGCACAACTTCCAGGGTCTGAAACAAGGTTCTTAACGTAAAAAAATCAAAATTTAAAATTTTTTAATTTCAAAAAAATCCCAAAATACAGTACCTTCAGTAACTTATCCAGCTTCTGAATACTAATTCGTTTGGCATGATCCAACTTCTTCACATTGTCCCCAGCGCCGTCGATCAAAAACAAGCTTATGGCAATGACTTTGACAAACATGTGCTTCTCATCAGGTACAACAAAGATTTGGTGTTCGAAAAAGAACGAACAGATATTCACTACATCAGCCAGCACTTCTTCGTAGCCCTCAATCTGAAAAGAAAATTAAAATTTGCTTCTGTTATGGTACAAATGTCCTGTCGTTTTTTCCGTACAAACGCATGTAAATTGACGACAAAACTTTTAGCTTTCTCATATTACACCAAATTTAATGAGTAGTCATGCCAAACCAATCAAAAATAAAGAACTTTCAAAATCTATCACCAAATATCAAAAAACCATACCTGAACCAGTCGTTCCTTCAAGCTCTCCTTAATCCGATGCTGCATGGCCAAGAACAAACTCAAATCGTGCACTTTTTGGTATGACATCATCTCCATCCCTTGTAACGCTTGTGTTGCTCGTTTAAATGTGCTCATGTCATTCTTTATTGACGCCTTCATATTCTTCAATTCGTCCAGCACCACCAACATGTTGAGGAATTTTCCCAGGGTTAAGAGGTATGATTCCGAGACAAAATCTTTTCGCTTTTCTGGATGACAAAGACGAGCAATTTCGTTGCAAAATAGCTCAATAGCTTTGTTCTGTAAAATACGGAGTAAAATAAATAACAGTAAAGAGATTTCACTATAAACCTTTTAAAATTTACAAACATTCACAGCTATTTGATACCTAAATCTTAATGTAACGTAATATCTAATAGCTTAACACCCCCAAGACATTGTCGAAACCAGCAAAATAAGTTTCTTTATAATTGTTATTATCCCAACCTTCTAAATTTTTAAAATTAAATAAAATTTTCTCTTATTCCCGGCATCAACTTACAGCAAATTCCATAAATTCAAATAGTCGGTCGATTTGAGGCCCTAACACCTGACAAACTCGTTGATTGATAGGATTCCGATCTGGATCATCATTGGATTGAACTGAAGGTACTGCTCTTGAAATGCACCTCCAAGTGTACAAGTTTCCCGCGTGTCTGAAGCCTTCAGCCAACATGTTGTTCTATAATAATGTAAAGTTCGTATTCATATCCTTTTTGAATAACCTTTTCTATATTCTGAAGCTAAAAAAGTATTAAAAGAATTTTTAAAATACGCAAGTATCACGGCGGTCCCATAAAACACAAATCAAAGGTTTGTTCAAGATGCTGTTACCTAAAAATAGAAAAAATGTTCACTCTTACAAAGTCTCCATGACGTGTTGCTTCCTCAATATACTTTGATACACCAGTCACAAATGCTTCCCGATCTTGAAAATTAGTATCAAATCGAGCTTGCACATGTACTTGTGCAGAATTCGCCTCGATTGTGGGCTGATCGTCATAAACTGGCGTGTCGTCCAATGCCTAAACCATTACTTCAGTATTAAACTGAATTTTGTATTTCAATTCTTTAAACATCAAACAACCCCAAAAAAACATAATTTACAAGGTTTTCTTTATCTAAAAAACCCTTTCCTTTCAAATAAAACAAAAACAATAACAAGATTCACAAAAACATACCTGAACAACTTCAAACGCTTCATTTAACGTGATCTTATCCATTTTCAAGACAACTTCATGTAGATGAATCACTTCACGCTTCAAACTATGATAAATTACCAGAATCCAAGCGTTTGCGGCCAAATTTTGGTTAATTTTGCGGAATGCCAAGCAAAAAGCGAAATGCAACGCTAATTATCGGAAAAGCAAACGAAGTGTCCATCATTTATTGGGTTTTTATTATTATTTTCTGGTTTATTTCGGTAACAAATTGATAATTAGCTTTAAATATTCTTCTATTTTGTATTTTCTACTGTAAAAATTAATCGAGCAACGGGTTTAAAGTTGTTTTCTACTTGCAGGTAAGCAATATTGTCTAATGTTGTTTATGTTTTAGATTGTTTCTGCAGGTAGACGCAGCTAATTTCTCAATGTCTCGGCCAAAAATATTGGTAACGGATAGTACAGTGAATGTTGACAAGTTGAAGGAAATGTAAGGTATATTTTTGCTATTTTTTATCTGCTTTTAGGCTATTTACATGAATATAATATAGATTTTAGTGGAGAGGTTGAACAATACAATGGAGAAGGTCAGATGCCTCGGCAAAAGCTTTTAGAAGCTGCCAAAGACGTTGATGGACTTTTTTGTTTATTGCGAGATAAGATTGACAAAGAATTTTTGGAAAAATGTAAGTTTCGACTAATTCTTGTGGTATTTACAACAATATCTTTAGGTAACAAACTTAAAGTTATTGGGACAATGTCTGTTGGATATGAACATCTGGACATTGAGGAATGTAAGAAAAGGTAATTGAAGTTTTATTTGTTTGATTTTAATTTTTAGGTTGATTAAAGTCGGGTATACGCCTGGAGTTTTGACTGAAGCGACTGCTGAGCTCGGTATTTCATTGTTACTGGCTGTTAGTCGCCGGATTGTTGAAGCTGTTGATTCTGCTAAAAGGTGAGACTGTTTTGATGATTTAAGGTTTCGCTTTTATATTGTTTTTGGTCTGTTATTACTATGTTTATATAAAATATGGGTTAGATAATGGTTAATGTACTTTTTGGTTAGTTTTTGATGTGTCTTGTTGTAAATTCTTATCTTGTTTGTATATAAAATGTAATAAAGGATTAGCTAAATATTTACAGTGGTGGCTGGACAACTTGGACACCTTATTATATGTGTGGCAAAGCAATAGCTAATCAAACTATTGGATTTTATGGTTTGGGAGAGATTGGGAAGAACATGGCGGAGAAGTTGGAGCCGTTTAAGCCCGACAGGATTATATATCACAATAGAAAGGAGAGAAAAGATGGTAAGGTTTTCGATTGATATATTGTTTCAGGAAAGGGTTATGTTATTTGAATTTTTAAACCTTGAAAAGGATGGACTTCAGTAAATTTTGTTTTTCAAAGGTTTTGCGGTTTAAATTAGTGCTGTTTTAGTACCATCCTACACGTATGTTGACTTTGACACTTTGCTAAAAGAAAGTGACTTCCTAATATGCACAGTAGCCGCTACAGCTGAAAACAAAGGTATCTTCAACACAGAAGCCTTTAAGAAAATGAAAAACGATGCTATTTTCATCAACGTTAGTCGAGGTATCTTGGTGAAGATGGATGATTTGAATTCAGCCTTAGAAACTGGGGAAATCTGCGCTGCTGGCTTAGACGTGACCGATCCGGAACCATTACCGTTGGACCATCCTTTGTTCCAAAGAAAAAACTGTACCATTTTGCCTCATATTGGATCGGCTACAGTGGCTACACGAAACCTGATGGCTTCAACGACCGTCGATAATATTTACAACGCTTTTAGTGGTCAAAAAATGGTTGCTAGCGTTGTGGAATAGGTAGAAATAGGAAAATTTTAATGTTATTCATGATGAAGGAGTAAATATTTAAAGTTTTGATTAGTTTTGAAAATTATATTTATAAGAATCAGGCTAGGATAGGCTAGAGTCGAGCATGTTTAGCATTTTCTATTAGTGTATGGCTTGAAAATTTGCATTTTTGAATATACTTTTATTTCTTTAAATACATATGTACTTAAAAATAAGCAAAAAGCATGGTTTTTAGTCTCGCTGTCAAAAAAATCTATCATTGAAATCATCTGCGCGGTTTCTTGACCCTTAATTTTACAATGACACCGCGATATAAGACTGTTATTGTAGTAAAGTAATAGTGAGTTATAGATGTGCCAAGACGTGCAATACTATAAGGTTTTGTTCATAATACTTACGGACGTGGTCTATGATACTATAAAGGATAATATATATACATATAAGTGGTAATATAAAGTATTATATTCTAAAGTATGGTTCGGTAAATGATATAGTATGATACTGTGTGATAGCATCATACTATATCATAGTTAGATTTTTGGCAAGAACATGCTATAAAATCTTTCGAAAGGTTTTTAAAAGATATTTTGGGGCAATTTTAAGATTTCAAAGTAAAGGGAAACACGCATTAGAAGTCGTAAAATGAGAAAATTTGACGAAAACACATAAATAAAGTTTCTAAACTTTGGTCCTAAGTCAGCTTTTATGAAGTTTTGACGCGTCAAGAACAGTAAACTCATTTTAAACATACGATTATCTATAAGATAGTTCTGAATGACATCAAGGTTAACTAAAATGTTGTTGTTAATGACATCAAGTTTACTTTTTTAGCTTTCAAAACGTTTTTAAATTACACTGTAAACTTGAACATGCTTTCACAACAAATTTACGACTTTACAAAGTAATTTTTAAGTTTAAAGACAAAGGTCAAAAATGGTGTTTTGAACTTGAAATTTTATGGATTTGAGAAAGAAAATGTTACGAAAGGTACGATAGTTTTGGTTGTAAAATTTTGCAATTTTATGTTAGACTGGAAAATGTAACTGAAAAAAATAAACGCTGTAAAATACGGAATTTTAAATATAGCCTTCACACAGGGACGTCGTTTGGGTGGGGGGGTGAATCGGGGTGACTCCCCCCCCAGAGCCGATCCGAAAAAAAAATCCACAGGTACCTGTACGTAAAAAAACGAAAAAAAAATTTCGAAAAATCGGTCCACAGGTAGCTATCAACCATAATATATAAATTTACAATAATACAACTTAAAAATCAACCCAAATATATACATAAACTTGATTCTTGTTCATATCAAATGAAAACAAACCTTAATTCGATGACAAAATAAGAGTAAAGAACGGTCACTTCTGGTCACACAGCAGGACGTTCGATTATAGTAGACATTTTCCAACGATCTATAATCGAATGTACATAGTAACAGGTGTATACTCTAGTAAAATAAGGAAGGGTAGAGTAGAGTAAGGCAGAGTAGGGTCGAGTATAGTGAATATGTTAGAGCATAACAGGAAAACCAATGCTATATTATAGTAGAGTAGGTGATGTATGGTAGGTATGATAGTGCAAGATAGGGTTGAGTAGGGTAGGATAAGGTAGCGTAGGATGGGTTAAGGTAGGGTAGAGTAGAGAAGGTAGGGCTGGGTAGGGTAGATAAGAGTAAAGTAGGGTAAGTTAGGGTCTTGTAGGATAAAGTAATGTATTTTATTGTAAGGGAAGGTAAGGCAAAGCAAGAAAAATCAAGTAAAAAGTCACGTTTTAGATGTTTTTTACTGTTATGTTTGTCTAGTTTAGAAAACACGCACGAGGCTGAGATCAAAGTTAAAGTCGTAAAAGTATCAAACGATAGTCATAGCACTTCTGAAATCAGATGGCTTACAAAATTGATCATAACTTTTGATTGGTCAATATTTGGTTTTTTTGAAAAATATACCTTTTTCTTTACACCAATAAATAAGTTTATTCTAGACAACTAGAATAAACTTATTTTGTAAAAATATCAAAAAATTTGATTTTGGCTCAAAGAACGGTGAGTTCAGTAGCATTTTACCAGGCAGAATAAAGCACATCAAATAATACTAGTAATATTGACCCAACTGGTCACTAAATCACAATAAACTTATGACGATTTGATGATTAAACCCTTTAGTAAACAAAACCGGAAATGAAATATGAACAGTCTGGTCAACAACAATGTCGCAATAACTAGAAAAATTTTCCCAGAAGACGCACCTTAAGGTTTCAGAATCATGAGAAACCGCGTCACAATCCAGCAAACCGTTATGGTAATAAAATTTACGACCAACGGAACTACGTTCATTGCAGTATAGTCACATAAATTTTGTGGTTTAAATTATTACACAGTGGCAATTGATCAGTCGGTTAGTTTACTGCAGTTGAGAGCTCAGGGTCAAAAAGTTTTGGACGTTGTATTGTGATTATAATGAAATATACGGTAGTAATGGGAAGCAAGGTTGGTGCATGATACTGTACAGGTATAGTGGTATACGGGGTGGGGGAGGGTATTGAAGGGTAGGGTAGGATGGAGTAGGGTAAGTTTAGCCATGAGAAACTGGCCGGGCCCATTTTTCAGGCCCGGCCTGATCGTAATTTTGCTCAGGGCCGGCCTGTTTCTCATGTCTAGGTAGGTTAGGGCAGAGTAGTTTATTTTAAAAGTTAGGGCCGTAGGGCAGGGTAAGATAGTTTAGAGCAAGTTAAAATAGTATTTGTATAGGAGGTCGATCTTAGGTCTTCTATTTTTTTTTATTTTCCAAATTTATTCGTAAAGTCTTATACCACTATACTAAAATAGCCTTTCTTAACGATGGTACACGAATAAAAAAACAAAAAAGATAAAAAAAATTGTCACGCTTTGAAAAAAAATTTTAAAATTTCATTTTTTGAAAGTACAATTCAGCACGTCGGGTAAAAAGGGCAAATTAAAAAAAACTAAAAAAACTTTGTGAATTAAAGAAGATGACTTTTGATCTTTGCTTATTATTTTTTTTGCACAGTTTAAATTTGAAACGTCAGAAGTTTTTTTTTCATTAAACCTTATTGCAAAAGAAAAAGTAAAAGAAACTTTGCGAGGCGTTTTTTTTTAGAAAATTTGGTTTTTTATCATCTGCAAGCCAGCGTAACAATATGCGTCGAGTATAGGGTAGAGTTGTGTGGAGTAAAGTATTGTAGGGTAGGTTAGGGCAAAGGAAAACAAAAAAGGGGAGCACAGGGCAGGGTAGAATACTTTTTTTTGATTTTTATATAGGGTGGCACAGTCGAAGGCTTAAGTGATTGGCTAATTTAGCTTTCAGATTTTATTGGTAAGCTGTGTCTTTTAATTCTTTTTATGGTTGTTTTGGGCTGCATTTTTTGGTGTTTTTTGTCATTTTCTTATTCTACGCTTAAAAATGTCAAAGGTATTTAGCCAGACATTATATAATATTATAGTACGTTTTGTAACATTATTTATTTCATACTGTCGTTCAAACCATAGAATAATAAACCTTGTTAAAAAAATGTTTGTCTTTCATTACGTTGTAATGTGGAAATCTACAAACATACGGTAGAGGTGTTTTTGCAAAACCTACATTGACGGAACGTTACGCACATTGACCAAAAATTGAGAAGTCAAGTTGGGGTTTTCGATGTGACGAAACCCTTTTTATTGCGGAAACGGGGAGGGCCCATCGAAGTGTTAGTAGCAGCTGGGGGCTTACCGGTTGCCTTACTATATAAACGGGTCGGGTTGAAGTTGTGGGCATAGTTAAGTAGACAATAGACTACTTACATCAACAGTAGAAAGGGCTACTGCTATAGCTACATCATTAAAAGGCTACTACTATAGCTACAGTAAAACTTACTGTTAGAGATTATCTATTGAAGAAAGGCAACTGCTTGAGCCTATACCTTCAAAGCAAGAGCTACTGTTTGAACTGATACTACACTACTAAATTTGAAACATCTTTTCTGCCGATTGTGCTACAGTAAAAGCCCTTAGAATCTACTGTTTCTACTATAAGTATATATACTCCAGAGAACTTTGCTACAGAAACTACAAATATGATGTTCAAAGTGCTGATTTTTTTGGCTTGTTTGGCCGTTTTTACTTGTAAGTTTAACATTTTAAAGCATTTTTAGGTATATTTTAAGCTGTAGAATTAATATGAACTGTAAGATTAAAGTCTTAAAATTAAGTTTTTAATCTTTTTTCAACAAATTTTGCCAATTTTTGGGACTGTTCTAGGCTTTTTTCAACAAATTTTAACCACCCTCATTTTCAGCTGCCAGCCCAGCTATTGTCCGCCAATTCAAGAAAATCGTCAACTCTGATGTCTGTCTCAAACAATGCATGGAACGTCTTCAAGAAAACGATGTTGAGCTCTCCCTGACCAAGCGAACCAACATCTCTGACCATCTTCTGAACCTCGATACCGTGTGTGAAATGATCGGAGCGGCCAGAACTTGTCTCGAGAATTGCCAAGCCAAGTCCAATCCTTTTGCTCTTCGCTCGGTCAATGCTTTGTGTGATAGTCAGACCAAAAAGATTGTCAATGAGCTGCAGCCTTGCTTGATGAACAATGGCAAACAGATTAACGACCAGTGCATTGAAGAGTGCGGTGACTACGAAACCTTCCATGAACAAGCCAATGCTCTTTCGGCTAGACTGGCCTCTGACCCTAACCACGACCAAGAAGCCCACAACACTCTGGCTCGTATGTCAAATGACGCTTGTCGTATGTTCAAGTGCTCTCAACGCTGCACCGTTCTCAAGACTTCAGCTACATGCCCACGATTGGCCGATGGAAATGATGCCGGAGGCGCGATTCGCTATCTCATCGACCTAACTCTCCACACCCACCGTGCCGACCTGGACAGCATGAGATTGACCAACGTTTTGGCCGCTCAAGTCGAGCCAGAATGCAACTATCTCTACGCTCCAGAAGTCATGTGGGATGTGCAACGTGACCATCTGATGGTGTTGTCACTTCACGCTCAGTTGAAGAGGATTAACGCTGACATTTTGGCTGGACGTAAACCAACCTTCACTACTCCACCACCTCACATTGATGAACAGTTCGTGGCTGAAGCTGAAAAGGTTGAGAAGGAACTCCACGAGATCTTGCACACTTTTGAACATCCAAAACACATCTAGATTGTAATGTCACCTCACATAGCAATGATCTCACAAGAACACGGAGTATAGTTTGTATTTATTATTTGTAAAATAAAATCAAATATTTATAAATTGGGTTGTTTTTGAAGTTTAGAAAGTTTGATAAGATTTTTAAATTTAAAAAAAGGTTAAAAACTTATTTTTCAATTAGTTAAGGGTGTTGAAGTTCATTAATTGTTTTAAAATTAGTTACCGTTAATGCTGGGTTTTCTTTGAATAAAAATAGGTTATTTAGTTTTTGATGTTTGTTTGATAATGAATGTAATGTAAATGTTTAGTTTTTCTTTTTAAATTAAAAGGATTTAAACTAATTTGAAGAACAGAAAGTCACATTGAAGAACAACAACATCAAGTTCATAAAAACAAATGTTTATTTAAACTTACAATTGTTATTTTAACTTTCTTATTCTAAAAAGTTACTTCATACCCTACCTTACCGCATATATTTGGTATAAACGGGCCAAGAGGAGGAAGGATAAGCTAAAATATAATACATATAAATAGTTAGCTGGAGTAGAGCATGTTTGCGGTTGAATTGGCAGGAGGGGGGGGAGGAACGTAAGTTAGGACAGAGTGAAGCGGAATACAGTAAAATAAAGTAGGGTGCAAGGTGAAGTAAGAAAAAGTTGGGCAAGATAATGTAAGGCAGGATAGGATAGAGTAGGATGGGGCAGGATAGGGCAGAAGAAGATAGGATAGGGGCTATAAGGTGGGATAAGGTGCGGTGGATGCATTCCTAACCCTAATTCAACTACCAATTTGAAACTACAGTAACCTTCAATTTTAAAAACAAATTAAAAATTGTCTTGCAATGTTGAAAATGCTCTTTACAGCGTACTTTAGTTCTTCCAAACAATTTTTAATTATACTTACGATATTGTAAAAGGCTCAGGTTATTGTTTGACCGCTCAAACCCCAACCATTTTAAACTACAAATTAAACTAACTTTAAAAGTAATTTGTTAAAACTGTTCAGACGCACAGTGTAATATTATACTCGAGTAAATCTTTATTTGACCTACAATAGCTGAAATTACAAATTGTGCAAAATTTAAAATTAAAAAATCGCAAAAACTAGTTTTAATATTACCATTACAAGTATAATATTACGAGTACAAGTACAATATAGTAGCAAAAGAATAATACAGATAAATGTTCACTATGTTAGTCCTTCATAAATACCGCTTTTTCATGGGTAAAGGTATCAAAGCCATACTTTCCATGATAACGACCGGTTCCACTACCTCCTATACCTCCAAATGGTAGGCCTTCAACTGAAAAGTACAAATGCGTTAATGTAAAATGACATACCCTATTCTGTCCTACCTTTCCCTACCATGCCCTACTTCTACTTTTCCCTATCCCATCCCAACCCTGTCAAGGAGTCAGGCTGAATTTTCCGGCCCGGCTCCTTTCAAAGTTGCTTCGAGATGGACCGGTCTGAGTGGCTCCCTTTAAGTTTAACCTTCCCTATCTTGCACTACCACACCTACCTTACATTTCTCTACTCAGCTGTGGTATACATTGCGCTGCTTTGTTAAGCTCTAACATATTCACCTACCCCGACCGGTACAAAGAATGACCTTTCAAGACCCAAACCCTACCTACTCTTCCTCTCTCCCTTCCCATCCCCTCCCCCTTCGTCCTCTTTTCAACCATGCCATGATTGCTATAGCTCACAACATAAAAAGCTTTCCTTCTTACCTTGAGCATGATCCGAAATCCCATTGATACAAACGCCTCCACTTGAAGTACGATGAATAAACATGTCAGCATTAGCCTGTTTCTTGGTAAACACATATAATGCCATTGGCTTCTCATTGGAGTTTATATATTCAACAGCTTCATGTTCATTCTCAAACTTGACGACAAGCAAGATTGGTCCAAACACTTCATCTTCCATCAAAATGTCGTCATTTTTGACTTCGATTACATGGGGACCAATGAAGTTGTCATCCGCGTCTTCTGGGTCAGGCGATTGGTAGAGGAATTCACCGTTCGTTTTCCATAACAAGTCTGATACTCTGCTGAAAATTAATTTTTTTTGAAAAGTTTTTGATTTTTAATTTTTTAAAATTTTAATGATTCAGGGGTCAAAAAAAGCCTTGTCGTCGATTTGTATTGCTTTCAACGTGAAAAAAACGACAAAACTTTTTCGACACATACTTAGATAAAGATTTGATAACTCAAAGACCTAATGGTTCAAAATGGCACAAAGTGGTCCTCTTCTACAAAAACTCACTTAAAATTCTCTTTGTTGATCAACCGACTGTACAAGGGCGATTCCTTCGGTCTTCGACCGAAATGATGTTCAATATGTCTCTTCAATGCATGTCTCAACTTTTCCTTTGTTTCATTGTCAAAGATCACAATGTAATCGGCATGGAGGGAATGTTGTCCACAATTCAACCACTTTCCTCTGATCAGTTGCTCGGCCAAACTGTCTATATCAGCGTCTGGATAAACGATCACTGGACTGAAAGTGATGGAATATTAAAGTAAAATACGTTTCATGATAGATTGTTTAAAAAATTTCAAATATAAAAAAGAAGTGTTGAAAGGCCAATATATTATCGAATAAACATTAATTTTTAAGTTTGGCCTAAAATTGTTCAAGAAACTAATAAAAATTAAAAAAAACCGCGGGAAAAAACACGTTCAAATTTTCGTTTTTTCGATCGAGTTTTTTGAGAAGCTCTTTGTTTTTTTGATGTATATTGTAGTACATCTGTCAATATTATTTAATTTTGTAATAGAATTGATATGTTTTTACATTCTTCAAACATTCGTTTTGTTATTCAAGCAAAAAATTGGTTTTGAAGTGGTAAAAATCATGCCTTTTTCAACTGTTCGAGCTAATCTACCTACAATATTTAATTCAAAACGTCAACAAGCTTCTAATCTATTGAAAAAGATTTTAAAACGACGTTAAAATGATTGAATGTGATTTTTGGAGCATGGTTTTACAGAAATTTGATGAAGATTTGGCATTTGAAAGGACTGTTTTGGTTTAGAAGAAGATTGATCTCGATTTCAATGGAATTTGGTAAGTATTTTATTATTTTGTTGAATGTTTAGGTTTGTTCAAGGTTGGTATGAAAAGACTGAGAGCATAGCTGAGTAGGATAAAATGATTATGAAACCTTTAGAAGAGTTTAACGACGTTTTTATTAGGATTTTCTTGTGATTTTAGGTAACATTGATATCTATTAATCGTAACTTTAGTTGTAAAAGACGGGTAAAATTACATTTTTCAAATTAAAAAACTTATGCTAATATTAACATTGTAAACTTACTTTTTACCTCCAAGCTCCAGAGTAACTGGTGTTAGGTAGTAGGAAGCTTCGCGCATAACAAGCCTTCCAATGCGTGGCGATCCAGCATAGTAAATGTGGTCAAATCTCTCGGATAAGAGTCGCATTGTAACATCAAATCCACCAGTAACTGTGGTTAGGTGGTGCTAAAAATTGAAAAATTGGTTGTTTTATGTTGTATTAGATATTGTAGGGTTAGATATAGTAGGCTTTGGCTTAGTAGGCGTTGGCTTAGTAGGCATTGGATTATAAATTTTAGAATTAGCGGGCTTAATCTAGTAGGTTCAATTTTAGGCTGACCGCTTTAGACTTACTAGGGTAAGGCATGGGCAAACTAAACTTAAATTTATAACCAAAAAAGCCTACCTCATTACAATTTCGTTTGACAACTTCATCTAGGGCTTGGGCGGAAAACGGAGCCAATTCCGAAGGCTTTATGACTACTGTATTACCAGCAGCTATAGCCGCGACAGCTGGAAGTAAATTCAAGGCTAATGGGTAGTTGTAGGGACCTATAATATAGACCACTCCAAGGGGATCTTTGTACAAAAATGGACGTCCTTGAGGGGTTGTGGAGAGCTGAAATGTTATATATTGGTATCATATGACTATGTTATGTAGAATTTTTTTAAATTTTTAAAATAAAAAATTTAGATTTTTTTTCATTAACTTATATTACCTTTTGTGGCTGAGCCCATTCCTCAATCTTATTCACAAAATTTGTTATTTCATGAGAGACCGGAGCCAATTCATGCTTTTCGGTCAGCTTGGGGCTCCGCTTCAAATCCTCGTAGACGGCTTCTGTCAAACTGTCCAAACTTTTTTGAATGCCACTTTGTAGGGCTTTTAATAGGTCTTTTCTACATTCAATTGATTTGGTTTTGTGGGTTAGAAAGTATTGGCGCTGGAGGTTTACTAGCTGAAAGGTGGGATGTTAGAGTAGGCATAAAAAAATAGCTGAAAATCTACTCAAAATGCCATTTTTTATCAGTAAAAATAAACATAACGTTAAATTTGTAATACCTACCAATTTTAAGTTCATTTTCCGTTAACTTATAAGCTGGTTTATAAACCAAGACGAAGGCGAAAATTAATAAACAAAAAGAATAAAGTCATTATAACTTTTTTCTTCGGTAAATCTTATCAATAAAGAGCAAAGACCCCACAAACTTTTACGAGAAAGGTTTTACGTTTCTTCATCAATGTAAAATGATTTTAGACCAGACCAACGGGGGCCCAAAGGGCCCTTATGTAAAATGATTTTAGATAGCAGGTCTAATATGTAACAAAAATAATTAAAAGTAGCGTCAGGCGGGTGTTTTTAGCACCCATGCCCTAGATTATTTGCTTAGCCCATGCCCTAGCCCACACTCTAGCTCATGTCCAGCGCGGATGTTAGTCCTATTCTATGTTCTAGCCATGTCCTACCTCATGCCCTAGTCCATGCCCTGTCCCATGCCCTAGCCCGTGTCATAGTGCTAGTTCTAGCTGTAGTCCTAGTCTATGTCCTGGCCCATGCCGTATCTCATTCTATATACTATGCTTTAGTTTATGCCTTAACCCATGTTCTAGCCTATGCTCTATCCCATGTTCTAGATCATGTCCTAGAATATGCCCTATATTATGCCCTAGATCATGTCTTAGCCCATACCCTAGCCCATGCTCTCTAGCTCCTGCCCCAGCCTGTACTCTAGCCTGCGCCCTAGATTATGCCGTAGCCCATGCTCTAGCTCATGCTTTAGCTCACGCCTTAGCCCATGCTATAGCCCGTGCTCTAGTCCATGCCTTAGTCTATGCCCTAGCTCATAACCTGGCTTCTGCGTTAACTCAATGCTCAGCCCATGCCCTAGTTGTACAGTTACCCTACTATATTTGCCTTATCGCTATCCTATCACACCGCAAAACTACAAAAGTACAATTTTGCATCACCTCAGTTCAAAAACCGTAATTCAACGTCATGTTGACACACACAGTCAACTTTGTACTTCCCTTCGCCCACTTATTTTATCCTTTGCATAAAATACATTCATGTTACGATCTTCTCCCAAAAGGCAAATGTTTCGCTTTTTTAATTAAACCGCCATTAATGTTTGGCTAGGATTTGGAAATGGGTTTGTAGCGGCTTTTGTCCTGGTTTATTATTGGGTTTGCGGCGGAGTGATACTTTTGACGTAGATGGGTTTTTAAGTCCATTTTCTATTAGGTTTTCAATTAATGTTGTACCCTCTTTCAAAGCAAGTTTTTGGGGTTAGAGAGCTCAGAATTATGTAAAAGAACTAATATAATAGTTTCGAAGAAAATTTTAAAAACTGTGTTATATTTGTTTTGACAATACGGTCTTGTTCAAAGTAGACCTGTAAAGGAGCCTTAGTTTGGGTGGGCCTTCTGTCACGTCTAGTTTACAGTTTTATGAATATATTAGGTGAAAGATTGAGTTTAGCGACCAGTTCTAGCCTTGAGAGTTTGATTTTGGCTTTGAAGGGTATGTCATACTGCTGGTAGACTGAAAAATGGTATAGGGTTTGCTTTTGAGCCGATTGTTTTAGTTTATGTTGAAGTTTTATTCAAAAAGCCTTATGACTAACACTATGAGAATGATTCAAGTTTTTAATTAGTTTTCTAGTTCAAGCCTGAACTACTGAAACAACTTTTGTACATATTTTTTCCGATTTTGACTTTTAAATTTAAATTGTTTTTTTTTAGAAAACTTTTTTATAATCTTTACATTATTATGTCCTAATAATATAAAGATTATAGCACAAATGTATCAAGTTAAAAACTAACTCATGATCCTACAAAAAAGAGCACTTAAGCTGAAATAGTTAAGCGTTTGCTTAACACATTTATAACAGCTTTATTTCTTTTCTGATAACGGTGGTATTTTCTCAAGAATACGTTTAGATTTTTATATTTTTTGCTTTTTATTAGTTTTGGGATCAAAATTCAACAACTTTTCTTTTATTATCTCTAAAACATTTCTGTTTTTATTATAGTTTCAAAAATCTCTTGACATTATGTAGACTTAGATTTGAAAGAGGGTCCACTAGGCCCCTTTACAGGTATACTTGACTTTATTTTATATTTATTGTGCGTTTTATTAATCGTTGGTTGTTTAGTATAATACGTACGTTGTAGACTTTGGTAATGAGGTTTTTTTAACTGTGAAGTGCAATTTTTAATTTTAAGTTAAAATTTTAAGTCCAAGGTGCATAGGAACTTATATACTCGGGTATTTGAAAATTGTTAGTAATGAAGAAGTTTTGGTATATAGGGGATGGGAGTTTCAAAAGCACTGTGTACTGTGTGTTAGCCGTGGACTATAAAATCTGTTTGTTATAGAGTATTTTCGTTAAACAGGAGTTCGTTATACAGAAGCCTTACGATGGTTTTAAAATTTTGGATCTGACTTTAAATTGTAGGATCAAGGACTCAATTTGTATGTTTCGAAACTAATTTTTAGGCCTACTAGTAAATTTTAAGCTTAAAGATCGATTTTAAAGATTTTGGCTACCGAAGTAAGACCTAGCTTTAGCCCTAGCTAATTAAAGCCTATAAAGCTTTGTTTAGATTTATTTTTAGCTATGATCATATTATAAGCCAATTCCTTTTTAATAATTTCCTTTATTAACAGCAAATTTATACAAACAATGAGCATTGTGACAAAAAATATTGGTTTAAAACTGAAAAAAAGTGAATGAAAATGGCTTTCCGGACAGACAATTCAAACATTTTTTTCAATTTCATGGGTTTTGACGGATTCCAGAAATGTACAAATATAGAGAGATATAGGCTTGTCATATTCAGTGTTAGGTGGGTGATTGTGAGGATAATGGGATTTAAATAACTTCATCCCCGCTAATCACAATCAGTTTTCAAATTTTCTCAATAGCATGGTATTTACGCAGATGTCGAGCTAATAGTCGCGGGCGTAGTAGAAGAAGGAGCAGCTGGCTTCCGGCGTAGTCCCATTGGATTCACGGCCTTAATCAAAGACACTTGTGGGGTACGGTCTCTCTCAACGGTTTGCCCTTCGATCTGAGCCAACTTCTCTTCGGCCGTTTGTCGGCTAATGCGTGGCAGCTCCGTGAGTTGAATGTTGTGTTTGTTGGCACGGCGGCGACGAGTCGAGTTTAGGATAAGACCATCTGGACAGTTGCTGCCACAGTCGCAATCGCAACCACAGCCGCAGTCCGAGTAGACGAAGGCGATGATGCACACTAGGACCAGGGAGAATAAACTGAAAAATTTAGGTTGGTTAGATTTTTTATTGGTAAGGGGTGTGTAAGGAAAAGGTGTTTTTTGTCATTTTAAGGGTAGAGGATTATATGAAAAGAATAATATTTTTTATAGGAGCAGAGAGGAGGGTAGGGGTAAGGATAATAATTTTTTTATGGGGCATATAGGAAGGGAAGGGATGTTAGACTTGAAAGGGGATTTTTTAGGCTCAAGGCGAAGCAAATTTGAAACGGGCATGGCCGGTAAACGTCGTTTCGAGGGCCGTGGCTCAAATAAGAGCTTCAGAGCCCATCTTATGTCCCGCAACAAAATATTTCAATTGCGAAAATTGTAAAACGAACCAGATGTTAAAGAAAGTAACCGGTTCGAAAAATTAGGCCTACCCCTTTACAAGTTTTTTTTTCAAAATGAAGAAATTTGTGACAAAAGAGGAGGGAAGGCTAAAATTGAAATTTTAGGGTATTCTTAATATTAAAATTTCAAAAAAAATTACAATAAAAATTGTAGTCGATTTTTGATATGACAGGACATGATCTTAAAATTGCCAAACTTTTTTTTTACATTTGAGTGCAAGAATAAAAGGAAAAGGGAAGAACGCTTCTGATGTTCTCACGGTGTTTTAATACTATATAAACATACAAGATGTAAGCAAGTTTAAAGTTAGTTTGAAGTTTGATATGAAAGAGATTAAAAGTTAGTTTTTTGCTTATAATATGAATGAAAGTTCTAATTTTAAAAAGTTTTTTGAATTTGGTAGGATAGGTTAGGGCAGGCTAGAGTAGCGTCGGGTAGGGTAAGGATAGAGCTCGGTAAAAAATAAGAGTAGACTAGGCTTTTTGGCTTAGAACGGTAGTTTTTAGAACATTTAAAAATAAAACAAATTACAACTTACACTACTCGTGAGCACATGACGTTCCGTATGAACCAAACCTTTTTTTGATTGTTGAATGAACGTGAGTGTTATTGTTGATTGTTGGTAGCATGTTGAATGGCTTTTATACGCATTGAATTGACCGTACGTGGGTGTTACCATTGTTTGAACTTGACATAGCATAAAAACCATAGCTGTAAATATCATGCGCAAACAGTAAGCGATACGGGGGAGAAAGTGTGTTAATTGAGGAGGAGCATAGAGAGCTGTGGTAATTGGGAGAAGGGCAGAGAGAGTAAGGAGTGATCAAGGCGTGGTAAATGAGGAGAGGTGGGGAAAGTAAAGATCATGGAAAATCAAGAAGCGGTAGACAGTGTAGGGCGTGGTAAATGAGGGTAAAGTAGTGTAGGGCATGGTACGGTAGAGGAAGGGCAGGGCTAGCCTGGGTTAAGCAGGACTGGGCAGGGCAAGGTCTATTACAAGATTAAGGAAAGAGTAAGGCAAGAGTAAGGCAAAGGGCAGGGCAAGGAAAAGGCATGGCAGGGTAGGGTAAGATAGGGTAAGGTAGTCTCATTGTCTTTTCACTACGTTTACTGTAATCTTTCCATTGTGCCTTTACATCTTTTACTGTGATATTTGTACTGCAACTTTACTTTTCTACTGTAATATCTTTACTGTGTTTTTACTTTGTCTACTGTGGTCTTGTTTATCATGATCTTTTTACCATTTTTCAATCTAGTTAACTCATGTTTTAGTTTACTCTACCCTAAATTTGTGTTATCTTTGACTATCATACGATGGTCCTTTCTCTACATTTCTTATTGTGATCTCTCGTCGTTCCTCTATCTCGTCTTCCATGATCTTTCCACTATCTTCACCTGAATTTTGCCTCAAATTTGACGTGCGTATACCACACGTACGTCTCGTATCGTTTTGTGTACATAGTATTGTTATTTACGGCGCTTCAATTATATTTTGGTCGCACGCGTTTATTTGCGCCTCCGGGTTCATGAGACGGGTTGAATTTGTTTGTTTTGTAACCAGTGATTAGAGGGCAATTAACTGGTAGTTTGTTTATCTTTTTTTTCCGGCTCATAGGCTTATGTTTAGGTTAGCCATTGTTATAGGTCATGGCTATATTTGGGTAAAGTAAATATGGAAATTGAATGAGGAAATTGTTAAAAAACATAAGGAATAAAAAATTATATTTTGGTAGAGATACTGTAACAAAAATGATCAGTTAGATAAAATTTTAAATTTTGTTGTGTGCTTTTGCTCTGCTTTTGCCCTGCCTTTGCCCTGTTTTAGGCTTGCTTTTGCCCTGCGTTTGACTTTGTGATGTCCTGTTTTTTCGTCTTACCTTAGTCGATTTTACTTTGTCTTGCCCTACTTTGCCCGTCTCTGTCTTTCTACCTTACACTAACTTACTCTTAAAATTTTTTAACTACGGCACAGGTGCCAATGCTTTATCGTAGTTCCTGTGCTGATTTAGGAGGTTATATCAGAAGCACCCCTCCAGCCCCAAACGCAATTCATGAAAATAAAAAAAATGTCAAATTTTAATACAGTGTCTGGACTCAATTTTTATTTACAAAAATAATCAGAAAACAATAATTAATTACAGAACACAAATAACACTTTAATGTAGCATTCTTGTCTGCTTAATACAGTTGCTTCCTTATTCAAGTCAACTTTAATTGAAAAACAACCGGTTGAAGGGCGTTTAATTTCAGTAAGGACACTAAAAATTAAGCTTTTGTTGACTTGTGCTTACTTTTGTGACTTCTTGAGACGTTACGGCACTGTATTAGGATTCGTCAATTTATTGATTTTTTAAGGTTAAATCATTGACTGGATGGTTGATTTTTATTTGGCTTTCAAACAAGACACTAGAGTAAAAAATTTGGGCATGTGATGTGTATTCAAAAATTTTTAAGGGTAAGGTAAGGTAGGGCAAGGCAAAGTAAGACAGGGGAAAGCAGCGCATAGCATTAAGGCAAGGTAGGGTATGGTGAATTGGGCGAGGGTTAAAATTTTGTGGGCGGTATATGTTCTTCTCCCTTTTTTACCGCCTCGTATTTATTGTTTGTTACAATTATGTTTTGACAGTAAATAGTAATTTTATTCACATGTAAAATTAATCAACCGCATAGTATTTAACATGTATCGAATTTTGCTTTTACACAAACGTAATTTATACCTTTTACTATCATTTTTACTAATTTTCTCTACAATTTGACTTTTTTTGGACAATATCTTAAGATTAGTAACATTTCAAAACTACACATGTACAATTTAATACTTTTTTGTAATATAAAGTTGATGTAGACCAAGAGGTCTTATGATACTGTTTTAATTTTACAAACTATCTTTTGGTCTTGTTTATAACATTGGTCTTGTTGTACTTTTATATGTATATACATAACTTGACGAGAATAATATACGCCATGTTTGTGATATACGTTTATTAATTCTAAATTTTTAAAAAATATATATACTTTTGTGCATGAAACGAAAAAAAAACTTTATGTATTAATATAGAATGAGGGTCTACATATATAATTATAATTGTACCGTTTATATGTATTACATATAACATATAGGTGTGTTATAGTTAATACCGCGTACGTAGACAATTAATTTGGCTTACTTGTTAAATTTATGATGACTAAAAATGAAGTTTCAGATAAAAGTACAAACAAAAAAGTCTATTATAACGCATATCAAACATGCCAGAAGCCTATGAGTACATAGGCTTTGGTTTCGGCGTTTTAACCTTTCCGTTCTACTGTTTTCTACTAGAAATGATAAGAAGATTCAGCAAAGAATCATCAAAAACAAACTCGTTCTACTACATATTGTTGCTACATGGCTACACTGATTTAGGTATGTTTACACTTTTTTGTAAGGTTAAGGCTCTGGCTAGAGCCAAGGATAGAGCTACTGTTAGGACTAGACTAGGACTAAGGTCACGGTAGGGCTAGAGCTAAGACCAGGGCTAGGGTTAAGGTCGCGACTAGGATCTGGACTAGGAATAGGGCAAGGCTAGGATTAGGACCTGAACCAGGGTTAAGGCTAAGTCTTATGACTAGGGCTAAAACTAATTTCAGGACTAAGGTTAAGACATCAACAAGGACTAAAACTAGGGATAGAAGTAGACTAAAAGAAAGACTAGATCATTCCAAAGGCTGGGACAAGGCCTAGGGCTAGAACTACTAATAGGATTAGGACAAGGGTTAGAGCTAAAACTAGGGCAAGCACTAACCTCTGTAATATTAAGGTCATGAACTGGGCCAAGGTTAGAGCTAGAGCTCTAATATTTTTTTTTAATACTTGAAACTTAAAACTTAAATGTGCGTATTTTACATTTATTTAACAAAATTTAAAATGCCATTTTCAGTCTCACTACTGAACAATTTTGTATTTTACACATTGGCACGATGGGGAGTTTGTCAGCACTGGTATATGTGGGCTGGAGAGCCGTTCTTAAGAGCCGGCTTCTTCTTGTCATGGGCTTGTAATATGATGCAAGCACAAGCTACATTACTACTTGGAATCAATCGATTCACGGCTATTGTCTTCTCTCAAATTCATAATAAGGTAGGTTTTTTAACTTTGATCACTTTTTATAAATGTTTTTATATATTTGGATTTAAAATACTTTTTTGCGACGAAATGTCACAAAATGTATTGGTTTTTGAAAGGTCTAACATTTGTAAAGATAATATTTTATTTTTCATTCGTAAAAAATTTAAATTATAGATTAAAGATAATTCAAAACGTAGAAGTTACTTTTTCAGCTAAAAAGTGGTATAAAATGACGAAAAGCCACGAAATTTATTGATTTTTAAAATACGTTGTTTTTTGCTGATAAAACTTAAATTTGAGTATTTTATAATGTTAAAATTTTTATATACAGTGGAACTCCTGTATAACGAATTGCTCGGGGACTTGAAATTTGTTCGTTATATAGGAGTTTCGTTATACAGGAGTTTTAAATGCACTGTGTAGTGGTAGTCGGGGATTAAAAAGTTGTTCGTTATAAAGGATCTTTGTTATGGAAGGGTTCATTATGCAGGAGTTCCACTGTAATATGATAAACTGTTATATCTTCATTAAAAAAATGAAGTATTAACATTTTGACGAAATGTCACAAAATTTCTTAGTTTTCTAAAATACGCTTTTTTAATAAAGCTTTAAACAAATATTAACTTAAAGTTACAGTATTTTCTATAAATTATTATGTTTTTTGCAAAAAGTCATGTTTCAAGAGTTTTTGACGAAATGTCACAAAATTTATTGATTTTACAAAACATCAAAGTTTTATACAAAATGACAATTATAGCTATGGACAAGCTCAAGAGTAGCAATAACGGCTTTTATTTGTATACCTGGCTTGATTATGGGTACTGTTGTTATGTTTACTGATGTTTACTATATGGTGTACAAGTCTACTGGTCTTATACCGAGAATGGTTAGGTATGTGCTTAAAATGGCTAACAGTGTTTTGGAATTCCGTATTTTACACACTTTTTGAATTTTTAAAAATTTTGAGTGCTATTTACAGTATGATTATGTTACAGTGTGTATGTTTACCGTAATTGAACCATAGTTAACGTAAAATGTTGCAGTAAAGCCCTACCACACGTTGGATTTGGAGTATCAGGTCTACTCATGGTAATTTACTGTATTGCTCTCATAATTATGTATATGTACATATGGTATGTAGTACGACAACATCGGTTCAGTACTGTATATGAAAATAATACCAGCTCTCACAGAGTAAATGTGCAGAGACGAAGAGAAAAGAAACTCTTGATAATGTCAGCATTGATTTGTGCTACTCAAGTTGTCGCGACTTCATTCTTGGGCTACAAGTTCTTTCATGGCAGCATCGACCAGGATCTGAGCTTGTACAATTTCTTTAGGTATGGTGGGTAGGGTGGCGCAGGTTAGGGTAGGGTAGAGTATGGTAGGGTCGATGTGGGTAGAGGTAGGGTTTGGGAGGGTTTTAATTTTTTTTAAAGGTTCAAAGAAAAATGAAATTTAAAATCTTTTTTAGCACAATGTACAGTGCAATGAACCCATACTTTGTAATAGCCTTCAGTGAAGTCATTCGACAACGTTGTGTTGAAATATTTTCTTGTGGAAGCCAACCGACTAAAGTGGATCCACAAAGCTCAACGCTGGCCGTTATCACGAGTGGTCGGAAGACACTGACGTTTGGGCAACATTTGTAAAAATATCTTTTTTGTACAGTAATCCTTATTTCCATACTTTTTTGTAGATATTGTAATTTTAGACATCTTAGCTTAAGTACTGTAAGCTCTCTTCTTTCTAACTTAATTAGTGTCATTTTTAGTCATGCTAGCGCAAGTGCTGTAAGTGCAAGTCATGCTAACTGATGTTCTGTAATTTCTACTGATTCTAGCTCAAGTACTGTAAGTTCTAGTCTTGCCAGCTGAAGTACTGTAACTTCTAGTCTTACCAGCTCAAGTACTGTAAGTTTTGGTCTGTTAACCCAATTACTGTAAGTTCTAGGCATGCTAGCTAAATACTGTAAATTTTAGTTATGCTAACTCACGATGTACTGTAAAACGGTAAATTCTAATCATGCTAACCAAATTACTGTACCTTCTAGTCATACTAGCTTAAGTACTGTAATTTCTAGTCTTCCTAGCTCAAGTACTGTAAGTTCTATTCATGGCAGCTTAGATACTGTAACTTCTAGGCATGCTAGTTTATGTACTGTAAGTCCTAGTCATCTTAACTCAAGTACTGTAACTTCTAGTCACAAATTATGTAATTTACTGTGTAATAACCAATACGAGGTAAACGACTCAACAAACTAATGCCATTACAATCTCAGTCAATCTAATTTATTCATTTCCTATCGTAATTTTATTTATTTTCATTTTTTAAACATTTGAAATAAATTTAATTGTAAAAAGCATTACCAAACTAAAGGTTGGGTCTTTTCGAAGTTACTAGAACACTGGCGTTAGATTTGTAGTTCACTACAGTGAAATAAACAATGGTTTGAAAAAGTCGTAGGTGAAAGGCACTACCTTTTTATTATTTTTTGGTACATTTTGTACTTATGGGACACTTCATAGTTTTTTGGTACAATTTATAGTGTTTTAGTACTCTCCAGCGTTTTTTAGTACGTGCCGCATATGTTTTTTATAAATTACGTCACTTTCTTCATTAATACACTACCTTAGTCTTTTATGTTAGCTTTTCAATATTCACACCTGTTTTGAATAATTTTTATGAATGTTTCATGATGTTCATAATTACACGTGTGTGACATATTAGTACAAAGTAATGACTGAGCGTTTTGTGCTGTGTAGACAGAAGAGGAACATTGCCTTTGCATATTGGATTTTGTTTTGATAAAAATTTCAGTAGGTTCTATTAGTTTGATTTCCTAGCCGTCGCCCTAGCTTTATTTGCTTCTCGTGTTGCTTGGGCTAGGCTGGGACAAGGGTATGGCTAAGGTAATGTGTAATTGGGAAGAGCAAGACAAGCCAGGTAAGGGTAGGTTAGGGTACGATAAAAAGAGCCGAGTCAGGCCGGGTCTAGACCTTTTTTAATCTAGCCGGGCTGGCCTGAAGTAGGGTAGGGTAGGGTAGGGTAGGGTAGAGTAGGGTAGGGTAGGGTAGAGTAGGGTAGGGTAGGGTAGGGTAGGGTAGGGTAGGGTAGGGTAGGGTAGGGTAGGGTAGGGTAGGGTAGGGTAGGGTAGAGTAGGGTAGGGTAGGGTAGGGTAGGGTAGGGTAGGCTAGGGTAGAGTAGGGTAAGGGGTAGGGTAGGGTAGAGTAGGGTAAGGGGGTAGGGTAGGGTAGTTTTTTTTGCAATTAAAAAAAAATCAGGTTTATAGCTAATTTTTACTGACGTATTTCTAAATTGTATTATGTGTTTTGTAATTTGATTGTCTTTTACTAACAAACTTACTATTTTACTGTTCATATGATACCCAAAATTGCTTTTTTCAAAATTCTGGTTATGATACGGCGCTACAAATTATTAATTTTGAAACTGCGTGGTTTGCTGTGTTGAATACAACTACTATCTGCTAAATTTTATAAATTATAAAAAACCGTACAAAAGATACAAAACGTATATTGATATTGTAGTAGGTGCTAAAGTGTTTGACATTTTTGGTATTTTGATACACTAAACAGCACATAATAAATTGCTTTGGTTTTTGCCGTGTTTTACTTCCTTTTAAAGAGCTTGTAAGATATTAAGTTTTTCAGATAGTTATGTGCCCTTATCAAAAAAGTTTTAGTGTCCGGGAGTCCAGGCTTATTTGAAAAACCTAATATATCTATTAATATATGTCAATCTATATTAAACTAAACGGTTATCTTAGATGCATAAACCATATGTAAGACAATACTGACAGAGCTAATTAACGTATTTTACCTAATATGTATAGAATCTACGAAATAGTGGGTTTCATATTTGGCCTGACATCATTACCTATTTATATACTAACACTGATGGTAATACGTGAAAGTAACCGAACCAGTGGAAAACATACTCCGTTTTACTTTATTTTACTTCTTCATGGCTACGTTGATATTGGTAAGTGAATATTTTAGTATTAAAATATTAATTTTTTTTATCTTAAGTTTAAAAAAATTTTCAAATTTTAAAATTTGTTTCAGAAATTGAGCTTTTTATATTTGTATGTTACAGTAACCTAAACTTTAAATTAATTTAAAATGTTTAGCTTCGTTATTGAACAATGTCATTTTTTACACATTACCGCGTTGGGGCATCTGTACTAACATTGTAATTCAAATAGAAGAGCCATTCTTAAGATTAGGCTTTTTCTTTTCTTGGGCTTGTAATGTGATGGAGGCACAAGCGACAGTGTTACTAGGTATCAATCGTTTCACTGCATTGGTTTATACACATTATCATAAAGAGGTAAGTATTTTTTTAAAGTCTTTTTTATAGCTAGCCGGAGTCCTAAGCCCTAGCCTAACTTTAAGCCTTGGCTTAAAGTCCTAGCCCAGATGCTAAGCAGAGAGCCCTAGCTTAGAGTCTCTAACCCAAAGTCCTAGCCCAGAGCCCTAGCCTAGAGCCGTAGCCCAGATGCTAAGCCCAGAACCCTAGCCCAGAAGCTTAGCAGAGAGCCTTAGCTCAGAAGCCCTAACCCAATACACCAGTGTCCTAGCCCAGAGCCCCTAGAGGGTCTAACCCATAAGCCCTAACCCAGAGGCCCTAGCCTAGAGGCCCTAGCCCCAAAGCCCCAGCTCCGGCTTTAGCTTTGACTCTAATTGTAAGTCACAGTATTGTATTTTGAATCTTTACTATGAGTTTTATAGTGGTGGGCAAACTCGTCACGTCGTATAATAATCTTTGTTGTTGTACCAGGTGTTATAATGGGTATAGTTGTCAATTTTACTGACGTTTATTTTATGAAAGTTGTTGACAATGGTTTGGTACCTAAAATGGAGAGGTAAGCTTGAATTTAGTGAAAAAACACCACTCTATTCTCTTTCCCCCTCTCCTCGCTCCTCTTAGCTTTACAACATTTTTTTTTCGTTTTACGTGCCAGGAAGGCACAGAATTAAGTGAATGACCTGATGTAGCACTACTTTTTATAAATTTTTATTTCAGTGACCTGCTACCCCACATAGGCTTTGGCATTGCCGGATTCTTTAGTATCTTGTACTGCTTTGTCTTGGTCTTTACTTATATTTATATCTGGTATACAATTCGACAACATCGTCAAGTAAACTTAGTGATTATATCTTCAAATCATCTCGTTGGTCGTGGAGTTATTCAAAAACGACGTGAAATTAAACTATTAGCTTTATCAGCTTTAATATGCGCTACTCAAATTATCGTCACGACTTTTTTGTTATTGAAGTTTGTCTTGAGGAACATTGATAGTGACTTGAGCATCTACAATTGCATAAGGTATGACATTTGCCTTGGGTTGCCTTGCTTTGCCTTACCTTGCTTTGCTTTGCCTTGCCTTGCCTTGCCTTGCCTTGCCTTGCCTTGCCTTGCCTTTATAATTTTGCATAAAATCGTTAATTTAAATATTTTCAGCACCATGTACAGCTCAGTTAATCCGTATTTTATAATTTTGTTCAGCGATGCCATAAGAAAGAACATCTCAAGGTATTTGTTTCAACAAACGCCAAAGAAGATTGTCAGTACGCCACAAAACTCAACTGCTCTTACAGCCAACTTTAAAGGAGGAAACGTTTATTTTGTCAAATTGTGACCAACATATTGTTGTAACCTGGAATTTTTAAAATAATGGACTGCCGTTTTTGCTACAGAATCTGGAGAAGAATGAAGACGAGCATGGAGCACGTCGCCCACAAATTATTGATGAAAAGAAAAGTGAAATACCTAGATATACTCTAGTTTTGGGTAAGGTCGACTGCTAATTGTAAGATAGCTCCATTAGCTTTTATTTGCACGTTTGAGCGTCGGCACACTACTTGACAATCAACGGCATCAAATTAGCAACTGAACTAATCTATATTTTTCAAATTGGTGAATGTGGACGCTTAAAAAAAGAATTTAACAGATTTAGAAAACTGTGTGTCGTGAGATTTGATAAAAATTAACACTCAATAAGACTTCTGAGTTTCAACTTTAACTCTAACTTTTGCAAAACTACACAAGTGAGAAGATGTATCAAATAAATCAGCATATTTTATTGTGTAAAACCAATGTCAAGATTAAATTGAAGGTTTTGAAATAAAGTTTTAAACGTAATTTTGTAGTATTCTTTGTACTTCAAAACAAAAAAAAGAGTTCTTAACGTTGCTAATTTGCAAACGTTGCAAATTTTTAAACGTCTCAAAGCATTTTAAATTAGTAAAGTTTAAAAAAATTTAAAAAGTAAGGTCTTAACATATTAAAACAAGTCAAAAAAGTTTTTAAACTTTTAAATTTGTCAAACCCGTAAAAATGACACTTGGAATTTGACAATAAAAAAACATAAAAAAAATTGGAATTCGAAATGATTAAAGTTCATCGCCGCTTCAAACAGCTTTTCTACCGTATACTGTTTTTATTTTTTTTCTTGCAAATGACATGTTATCAGTTGTTAAGCGGGGTTTTGACAGTTCTCGAGGCCTTGAAGGGTTGTTCAAAGCCGCCGCCGTATCGGAATTTGATCACGAATTTACGTTAAAAAATTTTTTGAAAAAAAGGTCGTAGACTCATTAAGCGGTTTATTTTGTGGTTTAGAGCAAGGTTGTTAGGAGTAAGGGGTTTGATAAGGTACTAAGACTGAAAGTGGTTTTTAATGATTTAGAGGTTATACAAAAGGTAAGGTTTGTGTACTATAGGTTCTTATAGAAATGTAAAGGAGCCGGGTTCCTAGACTGGGCCTGTAAGATATTAATTCCTAAGCTGAACTCTTCGTTTTGAACTCAGCCTTCGGGGCTTACAATTAGTGGACCTCTTTTCAAAACAAACGCTATTGAAAACAAAGTGCTTGACTGGCTTAAGCTTAAGCTCAGCTTTAGACTCAAACTCAGGCTCAGTCTCAAGCTCAGCCATAGGCTCAGGCTCAAGCTCAAGCTCAAGCTCAAGCTCAGGCATAGGCTCAGGCTCAAGCTTAAACTTCAGCTCAAGCTCAGGTTAAGGCTCAGGCTCAGGCAAATATATTTTTAAAGTTTGTCATTTTAAAATTTTTAACACTTTAAGTCCAAAGTTAACTACAGCTTATTATGACCAATTAAATGTTTCAGAATGTAAGCTGATTACGCACCATGAGGATTAGTTCTACAAAATTTTATTTAAAAAATATTACTAAAGAATCATGCCGTTTAATCTAACATTAATGTTAGTTCAATCGGGTTATCTTTTTTTGCAGCAAAAGTTAAAAGTTTCAAGACGGGAACAAAGTATCAGAAACTAGAGTACTCGAGAATTGTTGTCAACAAAAAAAATTCAGATTGAATTTTATAAAAAGATTTTTGTGCCAAGTTTAAAATTTTTACTGTTATTGAAGAGGTGGCTTAGTGCTAGGCTAAGAAGCTATGATTAGAGTAGGACTGGAGGATCAGGCTCATGTTTATGCTTAGGCTCAATCTCAGACTCAAGCTTAGGCTTACTTTTAGGTCAGATTTAAGCCCAAGCTTATGCTTAGCATCAGTATACGTTAAGCTACGGCTGTTGTTAAAACCACAACTACGACTACAACTTTTAAAGTTCTAACGTTGTAATGTCTTTAAAAAAAATATTTTTTATTGCCATTTTCAATTACACAAAACTATTCAAAAAATATTTTTTTTAAAACATTTAATTAAAGGTCACGTTGCACTATAAATAACACGTAATTCACGGTTATTGGGTTGTTAATTACATTAGACTTCCAAATATTTATAGGCTTGTGATTTTAAATTGAAGCGACTGTAAAGATGAAGAGACTAGGTTAATTAATATCATTACTACGCTCGATGTCTTTAAATTTACAATGGTATAGTACGGTAAGAATTTGTCTGTAAGTACTGCAGTTTAAAAAGTCTAAATGGGGTTGTGTATTAGAATTATAGGCCCTAAGGGTAGTGTTAAAACGTGCTGTAGATTTTTACTAGGGTAAGGCTAAGGCTAAGCCTAATTCTTTGTTTTTTAATTGTAGCTTTCTAAATGGCGGTTATAGCACGTTATTTACAGAAATACTGTAGCATACTGTATTTTTCTCCATAATACATCAAAAAATATCTTAAATCATGCCATTTTAGTCTAATTTAAAGCCAAAACATCAATGTTAACCTCAAATTTCAAGCTGTTTTCAAGCGATTTTGGAAAAATAAACAAACTTCCAACTGTTTTATCAATGTGCCTGAACGTGATCGGTGAAAAACAAAGAGCCTCGACTTATCAGTGACCAGATAGCGACGGCTGAAGGGGTTGCCTCGCCAACTATAATGACTGGAGGGGTTGCCTCACGAACTGTAACGGCTGAAGCCTATAACACCTCCCAAGGGTTGCCCTGCTTATTTTCAATGAAAGCGGCGGTGCGAGACGGTCGTTCTCAACGTGCGGCGTTGATTGTTGATGGGTTGGGAAAGTTCACGAAGGTCGTAAACTTTGGGCTTGGTAGCGAATGTTGTGATAGGGAGTTGATCAAGTTAGTGGATTGAAGAGCAAGTTTTGAAACTGATCAACTACAGTTTTTTGTTTATTTCTCGACTGTCTAAGTGATCACAGTTTTTAATAATATATAGTAGAACAAAAGTTAACTTAAGAGCAGAAAAACAGTTAGTTTCAATCTGTTAGGGCTTAGCAAGGCAGGGCAGAGCTTGGCAGAGCTTGACAGGGCTTGGCAAGGCTTGACAAGGCTTTGCAGGGCTTGGCAGACTTTGGTAGGGCTTGACAGGGCTTGGCAGGGCTTGACAAGACGTGGCAGGGCTTGCCAGAACTTGGCAGAGCTTGGCAGACTTTGGTAGGGCTTGGCACAGCTTCGCAGAGCTTCGAAGGGGTTGGCAGAGAAAGGCAATGCTTAGAATGGATTGACACGTCAAGGCATAGCAGAGCACCGCAGGGCTTGACAACGCTTAGAAGGGGTTAGTAGGATTTGACAGGGCTTGGCAAAACGTAGAAGGGCTTGGCAAAGCTTGGCAAGACTTATATATCAAAGCTTGGAAAAGATTGGCAGGGCTTGACAAGGCTTGGAAAGGCTTGACAAAAGTTGGCAGGGCAAAGCAAGGCAGGGCATTTCTTATTGAATCAAAATTTTTTATTTATATTTTTATTTTAATTATGTAATTTTTTTGTAAAATACGGGTATTTCTCTAGCGGACAAACATTAACAACCATAAAAACCGTATAAATATGTTTTTGCTTGCTGTATATGATTGTTGTGTATAATGTTCTATTATAATTGCAATTTAGAATTAATGTTATTGGTGCTCAATCGTTTACATTCTTTTTGTGCTGTATAGTTAATTTTTATTCTTTTTAGATATCTTTTAACAAATTTTTAATACCTGATCAATAAACAAACATGCTTTCAAAACTGAGCTTGTTTTCTGCTTTCTTACTCTGCATTTGTGGAGTGCAGAGCTTCCGGGTACAAGGAGTGGCCGCTAAAGGTCGCCTGAAGTGCAATGGACGACCATTGGTAGAGGCATCGGTTTCGATTTATGACAAAGATAGATGTAAGTTGCGTATTTTAAAAGAGGGTAAAGTAGGGTAGGATAGGGACAAAAATGTTGGCGGGGTAAGTTACATTAGAGAAAAGAGCTAAAGTAGAGGTAGATCAAAAAATTATTATTTTTTTAAATTTTATATTTTTTGTAAAATATCACAACTTTTTTAAATTTTTTGCAAAACAAATTTTATCAATCAATAAACAATTGCTTATCAATTCCTTTCAGTTCCATTTGACAGCGACGAACTCTTGGATCAAGAGCTGACCGACGAAATTGGTGCCTTTTTCCTCGATGGTACCACTCGCGAATTGACAAACATTGAGCCAGAATTGAGGATTGTACACAACTGCACAAATGGCGGTGAACCGGTAAGTTATTTGAATGTTTTTGATATGGAAATTGATTTTTGACGAAATGTCACAAAAATTATTGGATATTCAAAAAATGTTTTTTTTGATTTAAAATTTAAGAACGAGGTTTACAATGCATTATAAAAGTTTATTTAGAAATTTATTGGCTAAAAATGCATTTTTTGAGTTTTTGACGAAATGCCATAAAAATTATCGGATTTTTAAAAAAACTTTATATATTTTTTAAAACTTAACTGAGTGTTAGAAAGTTAAAGAAACATTGTTTTTAAGCATTTTAATTTTTTTTTATTTTTGACGAAATGTCACAAAATTTATTGATTTTTTTTAAATGTAAAATACGTCAGAACAAACAAGGCAAATAAAAATCTATAAATTGTAGAATATTTAGTTAATTTTTAATCATTTTCAGCACTGCCGCCGCTACCTCGTAGTACCAATCGACTCCTATTTCATTCACAGCGGCGATGCTGAAGTTGTCTTTGACTTTGGAGTGCAAGACCTGTCGATAAATGGCGGTGAGATGCGTTGTCGCTCGATACCTAAGTAGATGACAAAATTGCTTCAAAAGTTGCTGATTTTGATGACAAAACAGATATGTGAAGTTTCTGTTGGCAGTCGGCAGAGATCGTCGACATGTAATGGTCTATCAGATTGACAACTTGGCATGGCTTTTTTACAATAAAGTAAAAAAAAATTAGTTTGGAACATGTTTTTATACCCTACCCTACTCTACCCTACCCTACTCTACCCTACCCTACCCTACCCTACCCTACCTTATCCTACCTGCTTTGCCTTGTCCTTTAGTATCCATTACCCATGTCTGCCTTGTTCTACACTCTTGTACAGCTTAGCCAGCCCTGCCTCGCTGTCCTTCTCTTAGTTTACCTAATCTTGCCTTGCGTTGTCTTGCCTTCTAACTTACTAAACATGAAGAACGGGCCCCGCCTAACATTCATTGGGCCGGGCCCGTTCATTATGTCTAAACCTACCCTACCAGTTAAAAAAAAAGTTTTTTAATCAACTTACATTATCTTTAACTGTAATTAAAGACAATGCGGTTAATTACTATACATATAAATATAACAACTTATATCCATACCCAACTTCTAATTTTTAGTTTATTGATATAATATATGTTACAGTATTAGCGTAATATAACATGCCGTGAAGTAAATTCAAAAAAAAACGATAACTTTTAAAGCTAGAAAATCAAGAGTTCTTTGTAAAAAAGATGTCAATAGCTAACGAAAAGTATAACAATCAGTAAAACCTTAAAAATTGCTAACATACTCAAGCTACTGATTATTCAAAATTGTATCATATTTTTGTTACCAAAAGGAGATTTAAGTAAGGCTGTCGAATAGATTACACGTAGATTATAATTGTAATTATGAATGATTGCTTATGACAATGGAATTTGTGGCAATGTCACATTCGAGTCTTGCTCTTGGAAGGGCGGATTTGTGTTGCTCAGCTTGCGGCGGGTCGAGAATCCTCGCCAGACACTCTAAAACAAAAAAATTATTCTAAAAAGCTAGCCTTAGCCTTAGTTTTAGCCTTAGCCTTAGTTTTAGCCTTAGCCTTAGCCTTAGTCTTAGCCTTAGTCTTAGTCTTAGTCTTAGTCTTAGTCTTAGTCTTAGTCTTAGCCTTAGCCTTAGTTTATAGCCCCAGCCGCAGACTGAGACCCAACCTCAGCTCCAGTTTTAGTCTCAAGTCTAGTTTCAGCTTCAGTTCAAGGTCCAGCGTCAGTCCCAAGCCCAGCTCTAACCGCAGCCTCACCTCGAGCCGGATTCAGGTTTTTGATTTTGAACCTTTTAAAACCTATAGTAACCTAGACCTTCCTTAACAAAACCTCACCTGAATCTTCGTGGCAGCTTTCTCCAGATTTGTGTCGTCCAAATTCGCTTCAAAATCCAAATTTCCACCGTTTGAAATGGCATTTTGTTCCATATTCATGTCCATTTTCATCCTTTGGACTCGTTTTTGAGCCAAATACCGACGAATGTAGCTTTGGATTACGGTGGCGGCGTTGTTGAGCCTTTTGTGCATATGGTGTCGATGCGACCGATAGAATCGTTGAATCTTCTTGGCGGCTTCTTCGACTTCTGGAGTCGATTCACGGTCAAAAAGACGATCGTTCTGGGGTTGAGCTTCTTCCGTTGGGGCAGTTATTTGGATTTCAATGTTCTGGAAGTGAAAAGTTAATAAAATTTTCGTAAATTTCAAAAAAATTTAAATTTCAAGAAAAATTTTATAAACTTTTAAAATTTTAAGTTTTCAAAAATTAAAAATTACTAAAATACCTGTTTTGGAGCTTCCAGTCGAGCAGTTTTCATTCGATTATAACGACGAACAGCCAAAAAGCGCCGAATATGGCTCTGAAATCATTTTTTTTATTTATTTGTTACCTAAAATAACCTACTCTTTTTTAAAAAATACGAAAAATAGTTCCAAAATATACATTTTTAAGCTTCACTGTAATTACGACAACTTTTTATTACAACATATTATACATACCTGCAATACAATAGCTGCTTTGTCTAGTTTTTGTTGACGTTGGCTTCGGTAGAATCTCTGTAAGTAAATCAATGTAAATTACAAAAAAGTCTTTTTTGAAGTGTATTTTATACTTTTATAACGCTTTTTAAAGTCTCCTAGCACTTTAATGATTTTATTATGTCAGGAAAAGTTTTGTCGCCAATTTACATTAGCCTGCGTGGTAAAAAACGACAAAAATTTTTATAACATCTTTAAAAAAATTTTTTAAATTTTTCATTGTTATAAGGCTAAGGCTAATAGCTTTAACCCAAAATTTATTTTACGTTTTTCACTAGTTAAAACTTTCGTTGCAAGACCTAATTCAGCACCTGGAACCTTGGTGCGAGCCCCGGCCCCAAGCCCCCATTTTTTCCTTAAAAATTTGCTCTGTCTAAACATGAGGAACGGTCTAGGCATTTTCCAATCTAAATTTTTCTCAGGCCCGGCCCCATCTAAATTTGGGCCAAAGCCGGACGAGCCCGTTCCTCATGTTTTGGCAGGGCCTAGCGGGCCCTCTATCAGCAATGCAAGAGTCTATATGCAATGTTTTTTACTACATTTATATGCACTGTACTATACGTTATACTCTGCCACTGTTATATCAAAAATTATTGTTTTTTCGACCGTGACGTCGGCCGTTAACCTTTGTTCCAAGAATGTCAAAAATTTTGATGTTCACAGTTTTTTTCCGGCGAAACAACTGTTCAACGCAAAAAGCAAAGTATGACGCAAACGAAAGTGATATGTTTATGTATCCATAACGATAAGCAGAACCAGCTCAAAATATCAATTTTGAGCTATTTTTGAGAAACCATTTAAAAAGTAATGGCAAAAAAAGTTTTTTGTCGAAAAAATAAACAAACAAATTGACTTTAGGATATCGACCGCGGTCGGTTTCTAAAAAAAAAGTGAAAATTTTGACCTTTTGATACTATTTTATGTCACTTTTAAAGTGGATTTTAAACTTTTTCAAAGTGTTTTAAAATTTTTTAAAATCGACCAGTTGATAATTTTTTTTCAATTTTTTGACTGGAGAACGCTCAATAACGTCAAGTTCTGTAACCTTATGCCATTTCTAATCTATTACTACTCGTTTTCTGACTATATTTGCCATTTTTGATCTTCCAGTTCCCTTTTTCAAGCTCTAACTGCCATTTCCTACCTGAATTTTCGTAGCAGCACGGTCCTCGCTTCTCTTGTAGATGTTCTGAAGCTTTTGATCACGCTCCGATATGTCAAATTGGCCAGGATTCTCGATGACAGAATGAAGAAGTTCAAAAGCTTCCAGTTGATCAGCTTCAGCGCCTTCTCTCAACTCTTCTTCGTCGATCGGTCGACCAGCACTGTACATACGACGCATACGTTCGTAGCGCCTCATCGCCAGGAAACGGCGAATGTGACTCTGAAAATAAGGGATTTGGAAAAATTAAAGTAAATAGAAGCCTTGTTACTTTACTAGTATAGCTTTGAGTTTTAGCCCTAGCTCACAGGAGAAGTTGGCTCAAAGCTCTACCCACAGCGTTAGCCCTAGCCCAGAGCTCTAGCTCAGAATCCTAGTCCAGAGCCCTAGCCCTGAGACTTAGCCCAGAACCCTAACCCAGAGCCCTAGCCCAGAGCTTAAGCCAAGAACCCTAGCCCAGAGTCCTAGCCAAGAGCCCTAGCCTAGACCTAAAGCCAAGAGCCCTAGCCGTCACTCTGATTATGGCCCTGGATCTATCCCTTGCCTTGGCCCTGGCCTGAGAAGATTTATCTTGAAACCTTAGCCTAGAGCCTTAGCTTATACCTCAAGCCCTAGCGCTTGCCTTGGCTCTGGTCCTAGCTCTAGCTTTTATCTAGCTTTTGCCTATAGACCTATTTTAGAGCCCTGGGCCTAGCCCCTTAAACTAATTTTAAAATTTCAAGGTTTTAAAAATTTTTTTTTAAATTTGAATTTTTTTCTTTAATTTTCACTTTTTGAACTTAAAAAACAAAAAAAAATCAAAAAATAATATTTTTCAATCCAAAACCAAACCAAAATTTCAAACTAAAAATGACTTTTTTTTAAATAAGTTACAACTTACTTGAAGCACAATGGCCGCATGTTCAAGCTTTTGTTGACGGAGGCCCCGTTGAGTACGATAAAACCGCTAAATCGAACAAAAAATGAAAAAAAATCAAAAGTTTTCTTTAAATTATAAAAAAATCTAAGTTAATATAACAGTTGAGGTTAATATAAGGTTATTCAAATAATTTTGTGCCCATCTCATAGTAAATTGTTGGAGTAAGAAGGCTCATAGTTATTTGAACAACCCAATATGACATGTTAAAAAAGAAAAAATAAGGGAAAAAGGGAAAAACGTATTTTACAAAAAAAAATTTTATTTGTATTTTTTATCTTTTTAAAATTAATTTTCTTAAATTTTATTACCCAAAAAAGTCTTGTCGTTTTTTCTTCTAAAAAACGCTGAGCAATGGCGACAAGACTTTTTTTGAACCTTTTTAACTAAAAAAATACAAAATTTGAAATTTTTTATTAAATAAACAAAACTTTTTAAAAAAATTTTTTAAAATTTTTTACCTGAATAACAACAGCGGCCTGCTCTTCTTGCCGTACCCGTCGGTCGTCCAAATGCGTGTGTTCAAGTTCCATCAAGAGCATTTAAAGCGTTTCAACAATGAACAAGTCGAAAAATAGTGTGAAATTTGAACACAACTTGGCAGTTTTTTGATAAATCTACAATTTTAAAAATTTTAAATTTTCAAAAATTAAAAAAAAATTTTTAAATTGTAAAAATTAAACGAAAATCACGAAAAAATAAGTGAAAGTAACCATTAGAAGAAGAGGAATGTGATTCTAAATGGGCATTGTGACTAGAACTGTAAAGGAGCCGTGCCGAGCTCAATTTTTCAGCCAAGCCCACGGGTCGGGTTTTTGTTTTGACAAGGGCTATCAGGCAGACGTGTGTCGGCCGTGCTATGACCTTTCAAAGGTTGCTTTACCCCGTGCCAAATCTAGACCTTAGTTGGCTCCTTTTAAGTCTATTTATACCATTTTATAGAAACCGTATTATGAAAATGTCAAAAAAAATCGCGGCTACTATCTGCACTAAGTTAACGGCATGACTTTTTGAACACTCTTACATAAATTGAAGAAAAACAATTATAAGTTAGCTAAAGGCATCTTCCTTTATATACAAGGACTAAAAGATACGTTTTATTTTTTTAGCCCACAGTTATAACGAGCACTTATTAAACAAGAAACGTTTGAAGAACAAGAGTTTGAAAAATAAACAAATTTAAACTTTTGCAAATAGTTTACAGAATTAACATTTCAAAACGGTAGAAAGAGGTGTTTATAAAATGGTCAAAAGTTTGTCGTACTAGCAGGGCCGGGCGCTAAAAAATTTTTTTCTGTAGTGGACAGAAAAAAAATTTCGAAAAGTTGAACGTGGTCCCCCCTGATTTTCGACCCCCGCCCCCAGACCAAAAGTCCCCGACCGGCACTGCGTACTAGTAGTAGCAAGCCTTGTCAAGTACTGAAAAATTTGGAAAAAAGGGAATCACCATAAATTACCACGCTCAAGCAAAATCGTCTCTACTAAAGGTAAGAAAAAGTAAAAAAAAGTGTAATATAAAATACAAATTTTAGCTTATATACCCCTGAAAACACTAATTCTAACGTGTTTATCTTTGCTATTCTTGTGTTTTTAATAGCTCCAACAAAACACGATCATTAACATTTTCCCAACCTTTTGAGTTGGAATTTATAATCTAAATAACAAGCGATTTCTAATCATATTTGCGTTTTGGTGTTGACGTTTTTCTAAATTTTGTGATTTAAAATTGTCTAAAATACAAAAATTTCATCAAAAAATGCCCTACCCTACCCTACCCTTTATAAAATTTAAACAGTATTCCCCTACCACCCATGTCCAAATCCATCTGGTCAAGTATCACTCGTCAATGTCGCTTATATACCTTGCACATTTTCAGAACTCTGTAAAAGCCTAGCTATTTTTTGAAAAAACCCAGCAAAAGCATAAAATCAGCTTAAGGCGAAAAAAGCGAAACGGCCGAAAGGTCGCGAATTCCTCTCGGTTTTGACGCAATTGACGTCGGAACAGACATTCCCAGGCACAGATTCATTGACAGGTACGCTCGAAACATCAGTTACTGTAATTTGATGCTCTAAAGAGGGGAAATCAAGCAAAACCTTAGGGAAAAGGGGAGTTCAAACTGTCTAGCATAAAGTAAAAAAAAATTTTTTTTAGCAAAAGGAGGGGGGGGAGAGAGGTAGAGAATGAGGAGGTGAAGGAGAAGAGGATTAGGAAGAGCAGAAAGGTTACGTAAATTATATATTTCTAACCTTAATTGTCAAAACCTAACAAAAATTTAAATTTTTTACGCAATCCCCCCCCCCTCTCCTCGTTTTTTCTCCTTTAAAATTTTTTTAAAGAATTAGAAATAATATTGCATGCAAAAAAAAATTTTGTTGACGTCTCCTCAACTTAACTTGTAAAGTTATTTGTTACACATAAACTTCATTATAAAAGAGTACCATTTTCTCAAGTCATCTTCTAATCGAAAGTCCAAAAACCACGTAATTAATGGTCAATGGCTTTTAAAACGTCAGTATCATATGTTTTTTATGCTGCCTTGTACTTTGAGTTGCAATTAGACACTCTAATACTTATAAATACCTAAAGTTTTAAAACTTATCGCAGAATAACGTAAAATGTACTTACAACCTAAAAAACCAAGCCCTTGTTCTTTAATGTCATAATCACTTTATATCCCCAAAAACAATGTTACCTACTTGGCAATTTCTAAACGCTTTAATTATATAAACTTAACCTAAAAATTTTTCGAATTCCAGCCTATTTATTCTCACAAGCTCAAGAGCAACCCAACACTAATGTAAAACTATATGTGTTCTGTTTGTCTCAATTGTTGGCTGCTTTGAACTGCGTCATTAAGTTAAAATCACTCGAAATATCTTAACAAAAAATCTTTCAAATGCGCAGATCAACCTTTCCAATGACGTTAACGTCTTCGAACTGTATTGAATTTCGTTAAAAAATTCAAAAAATTTAGCGTTTTTAGATTTAGAATACAGTGTGAAGGAAAGAAGCCATAAGATAGGATATGTTAGACTACGGTAAGGTGAATTAACGTATAATAAAATGGAGTAGGGTGTAGACAAGCCAGAGATACGACAAAGCTATGGTAAGCATAGAGCAAGTTTAAAGTAAATCTAAGGCAAGGCAAGGCAAGGCAAGGCAAGGCAAGGCAAGGCAAGGCAAGGCAAGGCAAGGCAAGGCAAGGCAAGGCAAGTATATTTCGCCACTTCCAAACACCAAAAACCGCCGGTTCAAAGTAGCAACTTTCGCAAAAACAAGCCTGATCTCTATAAAATCGAAAAAGAACAGATAATCGGAACAATTGCTTTATAGACAAACGTTATTTTTCACTTGACCTTACAGGTGTTGGAGGCACGTCACGTTTATTGCACTTGTTTTATTTCTCCTGAAATTTACTACTGCATTCCAAAGGTTGCGTCAGGTCAGGGTACAGTTCATTTTTTAACCCCCCCCCCCCCCCCCTCAGTCTCAATAGAAAATTCACCCCGCCCACCATACAGAGTCCAAACTAAGCCTTGGTTCTAAAAATAATTGTGTCCAATACCCATTATATACCCATGAAATATTACTGTAGCTCCTATCCTACCGTAGACCAATCTTTCACACTCATCAAATCTTAAAGTACATGTGACTTCCGACGTGCCAAGTATAATATGATGTATTAAATCACTGTCCACTTTATCATTCAATCAACTTCAAGTCACAACTTTATGAAATGAACTGAACGTCATTTTTTTAAATTTAGAGTCTCAAAAAAAAACTTTTGGCAAGCAAATATTATCTATAAAACATGAATTGAAAAAAATTGAACTTTGCCTAACGTTATATTAAAAAATGCAAAAAAGTCTAGCTTATTCCAAAGTGTAGGCAGAGCAAGTCAAGGCAAGCCAAGGCAGAGCAAACAAGACAAGAAAACGCAAGGTAGGGAAAAGCAGAGAAAAGCAAGACAAGACAGGCAAGGTAAAAAAAGACAGGGCAGAGCATTTCTTGCTGCTTTACTACACTTTTTTAATTAAAAATTCCTTTTTTTTATATTACCCTATCCTACCCTGCCTTATCCTACTTATCTTACCTTACCCTACCTTTCTCTTCTCTCCCTTTTACTAAAACAGATAGGGTGAGAAACGAGACGAGTCCACTTTTGTTACCTGTCCCAGAAGCGGGGCTGGACGTTTAGAGCCAGCCCGTTTTAATTTTTTGTCTCGGGCTGGTCCGGTTCGCTCAAAAAAATTTTAGGTCTGGCAAGGCTCAGTCGGTTTCAAAAAACTTGGATAATTTTTTTTGGGTTTAAAACAACTTTTCAAACATGGTACGTTTTAACTTTAGCTCAAAGCCGGCCAAGCACGATTGCAAAGCCAGGCCACGTCGTATCTTACCCCTATCTTAGGCTCACTATTGACCCCTAAGATTATATTATAAACCATAACAATATAACATCATCATCCAAATCAAAAACGTGTAAGGTGTTACAAAAAATGCAACAATCTAATTGAATTTATAAAAATAGCTTTAAAACGCGAATCAGCCCGTCCCTAAAATACGTTTTAAATTTATAAAAATGAATTTCGCACCAATTCTAAAGAATAGCGTCATAAAATCATAAGATTATCACTAATGAAACGACAAAATTTATTTTTCTTTTTTGCCGCATTTCAAAAAAAAGCCGAGAAAAAGCGGCCGACAAACGTTCGCCGAAAGAGCGGCCGAGAGAGGGTGGGGGTGGGGTCGAACAGCCGCTTCGATCAAATGGGGGGTGGCGAACTCCTGACCTGACAAAGCAATCATAGCATAAGATAACAAAAAATACCATAGAGTTGGATAACAAAAAAGAATGTCATATTGAAAAAAAAGTGATTGGGGCGTAAACAATGGTTTTATAACTTTGCAATAGTACTACTACTAGTACTATTATTACTACTACTACTACTACTGTTACTACCACTACTACTAGTACTACTACGGCTGTTACTAATACTACTACTACTGCTACTACTACTACTACTACTACTACTACTAGTACTGAAACTACTATCATTACTACTATCAGCACCGCTAGTACTAGTACTACCACTTCTATTAGTAAAATGACAAAACTTTTTATGAGTTCTTAATAGCAAAAGTATATGTGACTTACGATGCTAATGAAAAAAAAACAATTTGGAAGAGCGATGAGTAATCCGAGCTCAAAAATCCGAATTAAAAATAGCAAAACATCATCAATAAAGGTTAAAAATATAAAGTAAAAGTAAGTTCTAGCGCACTATAACGTTAAAAAGATTAAAATGGGCTTAACCTAGCCATACTCAAACTTTTTCTCAACTCTACTTTAACCCAACACTGACCCTACAATAACTATACCTAAAACTCTTGTAGCATAAAGTTTGCTCTACCTTAGCCACACACTACATAGAACTACTCTAATCTCTCCTTGTCCTAGCCAACTTTAGCCTCATTTTAGCTTAACACTAGCCCTACTTTAACTTTAGTTTTGTCTTAATATAGAGCTTAATCAATGCCCTACACTATTATTACTACTTACCTTAGTCCTTCCGTATACAAAGAAGCTATGTAACTATATATAGCTTCGCTCTAGCCCAGTACTAGAGCTAATATAACCTTACCTAACTACTTCCGTAGCATAAGTTTGACCTAATTGAAAAGCTCTACAGTAGAACTACTATCATGCAATTCCACTCTATCTATATTCCAGCCCTATATTAGTTGAAACAGCCCTACCTTAACCCAACCTTATTTTTTAGTGCTCGATCTAGCTCCTCAGCTCCGTTTAGCCTTTCCAACTCTTCGCTTAAATCTTTTGTCCTATATATTACACTGCTCTTATCACATCTTCACTTTAATGATACCCCTTTCTCCCGTGCTTTTTTGATTTTTTTGCATAGCACAACTATAAACTTCATTCTAATACAATTAAGTAATAACAACTTGAAACAAAATGTAAATTCAACCTTTTTAAATACTTTCGAACCTTCAATAACATGCCAAGAGCTCGTCCAAAACTACAGCTCAAAAACATACTAAACAGAAGACACAAAATTCCTAGTCTAATGTCTAGTCAGGAACACTTAAGAAATGAAAACAAATGACATTTATCTTGTTACTTTGTTTCTCAAAATTTAATGTTTTGGTCAACGACAACTGTTCCATTAAAGACACTAAAGTCATAAAGCGGAAGTTGTGTATAGTATCTTAAGTGAATGGGTATTAATAATACGTAGGAGAACTATTTGTATGATGTTTTTTGTTTTGTGATCATTGAACAGTATTTTCAGTTTTGACATATATTAAATAAATAGAGTTTTTTAAACGTTACAGTATAGGGTGGTTCACAATTAATCAAAAATTTAAAAAATTTTTACATCACCCTAAATTACCTTGCCCAACTTTAACCTAATTTACCTTATATTTTTTAAAACTATTGTTTTAACACCTAATTGTAGATATCAGGGCTGGGCGAAAATTTCGTTTCGTGTTTCGTTTCGCGCGAAAGAGGCACTTTCGTTTCGTTTCGTGTTTCGCGAAACAAATTTTGTTTCGGAAACGAAACAAAAAAAATATTTCTCAACCCGAAAACCAACAAATGTTAAAAATGTTTGGCGTTCTGTTTTATACTGTTGAAAATTGTTTTTATTTTAATTTTAAACATATTTTGGCATAAACAAATGTCGAAAAGGTCGAAATACGATTCCTTTTTTATCGAAGGAGTCTGTATAACATGTAAGGCAAAAGTGCGAAACACAACAAATCATTCCTCAACTAGCTCTTTTCGGTACCATTTAATACAAAACACCCGGACGTATGGAAAGAAATTGAAGCAGACGGTGCACCATTAACAACTGCTGAACCTGAAAGGCTATTTTCGACAGCAAGGACTGTTTTGACTGACTATCTAAGAAGCATGACAAGTGAGATGCTTCAGAACTTGTTATTCCTTAAGGTCAATACCCATTTACGGCATAAAATTTGATTTTTATGAAGATTTTTAAATAAATTCGTAAATTTTGTTTCGTTTCGTGTTTCGTTTCGTTTCGCGCAAAAATAATTTACTTTCGTCGCCCAGCCCTGGTAGATATTATTGTATATTTTCGTTTTTGTTGCTTTAATCCTACCATCTGTTCGCTCAATTGTGAATTGTTCTGTAGCACAATGGCGGCTATTTTTTTCCAATATACAAAACCATATTCTAAGAATGAACGTGTTAATCGTCACTTTCGCCAATTGTAACATCATTTTGGTAGTTTTCTGAAGAAAATGCAAGATATCCCGCTATACAAAACAAAATTTTCTAGCTGCAATTTAGCATAAAAATTTAAAAAACTATGCTTGTGTGGGTTGAGCTACAGTAGAGCTAGAGTTGGCGGATAGGGCTGGAGTTGGGCTTGGGTTTTGAGTGGTACTTTTCAGGGTTAAGACAGAACAGGGGAGGCTTAGGGCCATAGTGACAGTTGTGGTAGACAAGGTTCATACTAGGGTAGGTTTAAGTAAAGTTCAAATAGAACTGTGTTCAGACTCAAAGATGACTAGAATAAGGCTAGGGTAGGCGTAAGGTAAGGCTAAGATTATGCTACGAAATGGCTAAGGCAATTTAGTGTAGGCCTGTTAAAGCTAACACTAAGCTAGTGGTAAAATAAAACTTGGGTAGAGTTAAGTTAAGGATAGAAAATAGCTAGGTTAAAACCAGAGAAAAGATAAGATAAAGCTCAAGACGGACAGAGTTTAGACTATCTTACACTTTATAAAATTTCTTATTTTGGTTTTTTTCTCCTAACCTAATACACTTACTCAAACTGTGAACTCATTTATTGCAGTAAATTCTATTAAACGGTAGACAATGGAAACAAATGATAAAATGTGCAAATTTTCAATACGTTGGTCTAGTCTGTGTTTTGTTCGTTGCAGTGGTAACAACTCAAACGGAGCGAGTGGAGTGGTCGCCGTTGTTGCAGAGGGCGTTGGGGTGGTAGTCTCCGTACTTCTCGTAGTAGTATGACACAACCAATGGTACACAGTAGTTGTTGCTAATGTCATCGGCGGTTGAAGTGGTACCTTGGAAGACGGTCAAGACTTGAGCGTTCAAAATTGCTGGGCTAGCCTCGTCACTGGTGTCTTCAAAGTCGACTGGATCGTTGACAACTTCTTCGCCACCAACGGTGGTTGGGCAACTGAAACCATCACGGGTTGAGGCCAGAGGGTTGTCACAGTTGTTGTAAACTTGTCCGTAGTCAGCCAAACCGCTGGTTTCAGCCGTGTCGGCAGCTGTTGTGGTGGTGGTGGGTGTGGTTGTTGAAGCGATTGTGGTGGTGGAAGCAGTCGTGGAGGTTGAAGTGCCAATGGTTGTGGTTCCGTTCTTGACTGGTGGAATGGGGAACAAAAGGCATGGCCATGGCCAGGGCCAGCTCTTTTGCCAGAAGCTTGGTTTTGTTGCGGTGAAGTCGGGAATGCATTCTGAAAAGGAAGAAGGAGGTTAATGTAAGTGTAATTACAAGCCTACCATCTCCAGTAACGTTTTGGACAAACTTCATATGGAAGAACATGTATACTGGGATTTTAGTGAAGCTGGTGTCGCTAGTCCATGACGAAATTGAGCCATTACACGTTTTGTTGTTCTTGACCCATCCAGGCCATGGGAAGTGGTTGATGGGGGTTGCGGGGATGCTGCCACCGCTGCTGCCGCCTTTACCTCCGCCGCCGCCTGAGCTGTGTCCTGAGCTGCCGCTTGAACCTTTACCGCCGCTGCCGCCGGAGCTGTTTCCTGAGCTGCCGCTTGAGCCTTTGCCTCCGCTGCCTCCCGAGCTGTGGCCTGAACTACCGCCAGAGCTGTGGCCGGAGCTACCGCTTGAGCCTTTACCTCCGCTGCCGCCGGAGTTGTGGCCAGAACTGCCGCTTGATCCTTTGCCTGCGCTACCTCCAGAGCTGTGTCCTGAGTGGCCGCTTGAACCGTGACCTGAGCTGCCGCCTGAGCTGTGTCCTGAGTTGCCGCTGGAACTATGGCCAGAACTGCCGCTTGAACCGTGACCTGAGTTTTCGCTTGAGCTGTGTCCAGAACTTCCTTTGCCTCCCTGACCTTCGCTCTCGTGGCTACTGCTCTTGCCGCCGCTTGGATGCGCTAAATGTAAAATTTTGTGTTTTTTAATGACAGTATCAAATGAGCTACAATACATATTAAACTTAATGATAAAACCTTTACAAATACCTTATTATATAGATTTAAGCATATACATATAACTAAGTATATACACTACAACTTACAGTAAACTAGCACACATGCTAGTATAGCCACAGCTATACAAGCCTTGAACATGTTAGAACGCTCTTACTGGAGCGTTTAAAACTTAATGTTATTACCACAGTTTAACAGCTTTATATACAATACTCACACGGTAGTAACAAAATTTTTTCTAAACGGATCATCTGTTTATAAATCGCTGTAAACTCAATTAAAAGGCTCGTTGAACACCTAGTCGCGGCTTACCTCTTGTATTGGATTATGTAGTTTCAGAATGTGTTCAAATCAACGCTTCACAGTTATCACAAACCATGTGTTATTTCAATATACAGTTAAAATTCAGTGTACCAAATTGTTTAGAAGCCAAATGCTTGATGGTTGTAAGAAAGCTTAGCTCTTCATTTACTAATACAGAGGGTTTATCATGTCTTATTTACAAGCAAAGTAGCCAACCTATCCTATACTGCTTGACTTTAAACTTTTTATATAGAAATATCATTTAAATATAATACTTTCAGAAAGGTACTAAATTGCGTTTTCCAGGAAATTTCGAGAATAGAACCCTTGAATTATATACTTTCCATTTTTATCTTGGACGAAAACTTTAAATTTTTGTCCACAAAAAATCTCTCATAATTTTGTGCGTTCTCTAGTTTTTCTCTAATGCCGTCGGCAATCAGACAAAAATAGGGATCACATAAAACTATGAGATTTTTTTTCGTGTACAAGATTTTTGACTGAAGTAAAAACGAAAAGTATATAATTCAAGGGTTATATCAAGACCAAAAAACTGTGTTTTAAATTTCCCGTCAAGTTGGCGATGTGTTTCAAGCATAAAACTTTGCCATTTTTGGTTTTTTACAACTTTTTCTTTGATATACTAGTAGAATACCTTTAAATGAACCTAAAACTTTAAATTTGTAAGCGTAGCTTAGCTAGAAAGTCGAAAAAAATGGTTGAAACACAATGCCAACCTTGCCAATTTGGCGGAAAACTAAAATAAATCAAATTTAAAACTCAAAAGCGCGAGCTAAAACTTTTCACAGGTACTATTGGTAGTACAAAAAATTCATATAAAAATTCTGAGCTGATTCTAAGTGGTCGATTTTATATTTTACAAACTAAATCAACTTCTAATTAATTTATTTTTTCAAAAAACAATGTTTTGTGCCTTTTCTGAATGTAGTTGGTCCTGTGTTCCATGAATCATACAGGTAGTTGAAGTGGACATCAGGTTCTTCGGCCAAGTTGTTAATTGCAATTTCGATTTTGTTTGACTCACATATAATGCCAAACTTGTAGAAAGTAAATAAAAAGGAAGTCAATGTATAGCACGATAAGAAGAAGTAGTCGGCCTAAATAGGATAGATTTTGTTTATTTATGAACAACATGTGATGGTAGTAGACAGGGCTCGGGATTACAAAGAAAGAAAGGTGAGAGGGTGGAGATATGAGAAAACAGAATGAGGGCGGGGGGGGAAGAAGAGGGGGGGGAGGAGAGGATAAGTAGAATAAAGTAGGGTAGCGTGGGGTAAGGCAAGTTAAGATAAGGTAGTGTACGGTATGGTACGGTAGGGTAAGTTAGGTTACGGTATTATACGGTAGAGTAAGTTAGGTTACGGTAGGGTACGGTAGGGAAGTTAGGTAGGTTATGGTAGGATACGGTAGGGCAGAGTATGCCCCCTTCTCTTAAAATTTTAAGTTTTCCAAACACAAATTCAATTTATTTTACCTTAACAGCAACCTCATACCACTTTTCCAGATATTCATCATAGTTGTTGAATGCCATATAAAATGTCAAAAACGCTGTTGGTGTGCATGCTATACCACAAGCTGCGTAGAGCACAAACAGTGGTCTCAAAATCTTGACTACTTTCTCGGATTGACTAACATGGAAACTCTCCGACAAGCTTTGACTTCTTCGCCGCAATGCTTTAAGGTACTCTTGGGTGTAGCGAAGAAGCTGAAGCATAATATGATAAAGTAATACATGAAATTAAGGTCGGGCGCTAAGGAAGGGGGGGGGGGAGTGAAACCCCTCCCCCCTTCCCAAGAAAAAAGATTTCAAAAAAAGTTGAACGTAGCCCCCCGGCCCCTTGTAAATTTTCCGAAAAATTTTTTTCGGCCCCCGCCCTCAGACCAAAAGTCCCCGCCCGGCACTGCATGACATATTTAGTGTATAAACTTAAAACCTCTTTATAAAGGTTTATTTTGGAATTTTTTGTACTATTAGTTACAGTAATTAGGAGTCCAACGTTTTATTTTGTTTACAAACTCACAACGATCCCAAGGATCACAGATGTACCATATAACGTGTAACCAAAGGCTAAAAATCTGGGTGATTTGGTAAAGGTTATTCCTTTTTCAAAACGCACCATAAGTGGGTCATTGATGTCGTAGATACAAAACATTGTTGTTTTGAATATCAAACCAATCAATATTAACAGTATCTACAAGTGCTTCTTTTTATAGTTTTAGGACAAAGTTGTCGTTAGTCTGAAGTGCGCGTCCTATTTCTAAATTAGTAGTGGAACTACCGGAAAGTAAGAGGAGGGAAGGGGCACACCTACCCTTCCTCGCTGTTTTTAAATTTTTAAAAATTTTTTTTTGATGCCTACCCTACCCTACCCTACTTTACCCTACCCTACCCTACACTACCTACCCTACCCTACCCTACCCTACCCTACCCTACCCTACCCTACCTTACTTTACCTTAACTTAACTTAACTTAACTTACCCTACCTTACTCTACCTTACCCTACCCTTCCGTATCCTATTTTACCATACCTTATCTTACAATACCGGAACAACCTACTCTCCTCTTTCTCTCTTTCCCTGGCCCCTGATTTCCAAAAAAAGCCCGCCCGCTTTATAAACAATAAAAACAGTTTTTTACAGCTAACATTGTTCCACTTACAGCACTGCCAAGAAGCTTAACAGCCAAACTTTTGTTGTCCTCTTCGCCATGCTTTCTTCGCCGCAAAGCAAAAAACCTTTCCAAACCCAATATATGAAACTTGATTTGCAAAAAAACTACAGTAATATGGTCGAGAAAAGACACAATGTCTTTTAAACACGCAATAGCATTGTAGTAATAGGGCTCCTGGTCCAAACAGTAACAAAATGCAACAGTTAGAGGGTGAAAAATAGCCGAAAAACTTAAAATCAAGGTGTAGCCTATCTGAAAAAACGTACAGTTATACCTTTAAACAAAAAAAAATTTACAAATTAGTCATTTACAATTTACAGTTTAAGTTTTGTATAACATAATATAAGGAAATATATAACAAAGCTTCCCTATAACAAACTTGAGTCAAAACCTTACAAACGTGAGCCGTAGGCTTAAGCTGTATGCTTCTTTTTTACAAAATTTACTCAAATAAACGTAGTTCAATATCAGCTGTATTACACAGCATATCACTTCACTAACAACAAACGTATTACCAATTGTTGTCAAAGATGACGATGAAAACATAACTTCTGAAAAAAAACAACTTGAACTAAAGTGGCACTGAATAAACAACTTTTGGATAAATAGTCTTCAGTATAACAGGATCTTTTGTTGCGGGACGTAAGCGAGACCCGGGGGGTGCTTAAGTTGCAGCCCTTTGAGTTATTTTTGTCGGCCCAGTTTAGCCTTTTAGTGATTCGGGCGTAACGGGCTTCTTATTGAGTGTAGTCACGGCAGGTAAGTCTAAGACAGAACAAATTTTAAGATAGGATATGTCTTAAGAAAGACTTAGTAGATTCCTTTTTAAGTTTACATATATCGATATAGAAGACAATTTATAAATCCTCACTCAACAAACAGTACCTTTAAAACTTTTGTTCACACCCCTTTTAACAAAAAATAAAAATCATCAAGCAGTTCGTTGCTCAGAAGTTCTAACCTTACTTTTTAGTCCGTCTGGTCTCAAAACTAATCAGAATACCAAAAATGCGTATACTTCGAAAAGATGTTTATAGTTGTCATTATCGGTATCGTGCGAAAATGCCAACAAAGCAATTAGGTATTTTTGTAGTATTAAACGTTTATTATAATAATTAACACACAAAAATGAGCAATAACCTTTGCCGACAAAGTAACAATTTTCTGGTAATTGATGTAGATGATTAATACACGCAAATAAAAACAACTAATTTGTTGTAGTGTCCTGATGCACGTAAACAAAAGGTTTTGTATCAGGAAAATGATTGTTGCAAACTCAAACTTACATGACCAAGGACGGGCAGGGGCTTTTGGTCTGGGGGCGGAGGCCGAAAAAATCGGCATTTTGATTTTTCCGAAATTTTTTTTTCAAAAATCCACAGGGGGATCACGTTCAACTTTTTTCGAAAATTTTTTTCTTGAGGTGTCCCCCCCCCCGTCTACCCTCCTCTCTCAGAGTTTAAAATACACTTTCTAGTAAGTCGAGGCTTTAAAAGTTGTTTGTGCACAAGGTTTTGTTATAGAAGAGTTTGCAGTAGGAAAGATCGTTGTAGAGAAAATTGTCATAGGAAAAAAGAATTTTACCATAAAGAAGTCTGTTACAGAGAAGTTCGTTATACAAAAGTTTGTTATAGAGGATTTCGTTATAGTAGAGTTCGTTATAGAGAAGTTTGTTACGCTGGAGTTTGATAGAGAGAAGTTGAGTTTTTTGTAGAGGAGTTTGTTATAAATAATCGTATACCAAATTTTCTTATACATGAGTTTATTACAGAAGAGTTTGTTATAGAGGAGTTTGTTATACAGACCTTTTACCGTGGCACAGTGGAATTGTGCACAACGAATTTTTTCGAGGATTTTAAATTTGTTTGTTATACAGTAGTACTCTCTCTCTCTATAAGCAACCCGAGGTGACCGACATTTTGTGTTTACTGTAAGAGATGTTGTCTTTACAGAGAGGTTTTTTAGTGAAATTTGACTTGGCGGGCCAAATTTCTTATTTACTATAAGGAGAGTTGCTTATACAAATGGTTCACTATATAGAGAGACTACTGAGTTTTGTTATATACAGGTGTGTTAACTGCACTTTCTAGTTTTGCTCAAGTATTCAAGCTGTTAGCTATACAAAGTTTTGTTATAAAGCTGTTTGTTATAGTTCGTTATAGAAGATTTTGTTATAGAGAAGTGTGTTATAGAAAAGATTGTTCAAGAGAAGTTTGTTATAAAGAAGTTTTTCATAGAAAGATTCGTTATAGAAGTTTCACTTATTTAAATTATACATCATGATTCAAATTTCATTTTTCTTTTTCAAAACGAAACGGAATGTTTCTCACATCGCGCCATAACGACAAGAAGAATCCTGTATAACATGTTACCGTGCAAACAAATGGCATTGCCGCGCTTCAGCGACCTCACGAACAGCAACATCTCAAACAACAATCGGTTTTCTTCGATAGTATTGCGCCGACGGAAGTGTTGTTATTGTTCGACAGGTCCTGAAAACTACCTTACCGCGGTTTGTAAATGGAAATCGAAGGTCAGGCACTTGAATTTGTGAACCTTAAAATGCGGCGTGGTTATTTTGCGGTTATTAATTGAGTTTTTAAGAGATTGGAAGGTGGCTTGGACAGTTTTTAAAGGTTTTATTGACGAGGAAAGTACTTTACCTGCTTTGCTTACAAGAAAGATACCCTACCTGCCCCGCTCCAAATCAGCTCAAAATTTTTAAATGAATTCCTTATACCATTAATAGTACCCAGTACACTTAAAAACCTTTAGCTCGCGAGTTTGATTTTTAAATTTAAAATATTTGAGATTTCCGTCAGTTTGGCAAATTCGGCATTGTGTCTCTAGAACTAAACGTACTTTTGTATAATATTTACATAATCTTTCTGTATAAAAAGCCTGAATTCAATCAGAGCAAGGCAGTTTGGGCACTTTCCTTGTGTGTTGGATCATGCACGAGTACACCATTTAGGTTCGGCCACGACAACAAACAAAACGTGGCATTCTGCACTACGTACGTTTGCTGTTAGGTCCAATTTTTTGTGTCTAACATAAAAATTTTAATAATTCTTTTCTATTTGAAACGTTATAACACGTTTTATCAAAATTTACATTGCCTAGCCTTTTGTTACCGAGAATTTACGTTGCTGTCCTCATTTGGAAAAAAATTTGTTTAAATTTAATTATCAAAACTTTTCTTAAAGGACCAGTTCGCCCATTCAAATATCATTGGCATTCTGTCGCAAAAAGCGTCGAAAATCAGGCAATTTCAATCAAAATCGTTTTTCTCAAAAAACGTGAGTGGGTCGGTGTCGAAATGAATTTTCCAATTTGGGACCGACCTGCTCAGGTTTTTTGCGAAAAAAATGAATGTCGAATTTTTGCGACAGAATGCCAATGATATTTGAATGGGCGAACTGGTCCTTTAATTTGATAAAAGTAAACGTTATTCAATTTTAAATTCGAGTTTCTTTGTTGCTTAAAAACCGTTGTTAAGTTTATCAAAACTTGAAGAGAAAGCTATGAAAAAGCCGGCGTGAAGCCGCACATCTGCCTGCTTTCGGTCATGTTAACGTTAGTTTTAAGCTTGTTTGATGCTTTTGTTTTTTATGGGTTAGGTTTAGAGTATTGTTTAAGGTAGGGGTATTGGTTAAGATAGGGGTATGGGTTAACCTAGGGGTTAGAAGGAAGGGTAGGGCTTAGGTTTGGGTTGAATATGGGATTATTAAGTACAGGGTGTGCCAAAAGTCCGTTGACTCATTATTTTAGTCATATATTTATTAAAACAATCAATATACTTAAAACAACAACTAACAATAGTAACATATAGTATTAGTTATAACATAGTCAGGTTTCGAAGTGGCCCCCCTTTGCCGCTACGCAGAGGCGTAAATGCTTCACAAAGTTTTCAGCGATGGGCCGCAGGTCCTGAGGCGAAAGTTTGTCCCACTCTTCGATCAATGCTTGTTTCAAAGACTCCAAAGTTTGGTGTCTTCTACAACACACCCTTGCCTCCAATATCAACCAACTACTGTAATTCATTGGGTTGAGATCGGGGGAGTACGGAAGCCATTCAGCTGAGGTGGTAAAGACCGGAAAATGGGTCCGACACCACTCCTGTGTTGTTTTGGCTTTATGGGCTGGAGCAGAATCCTGTTGAAACGTCCATTTGGTGTTCTTGAAGTGTTCTCGGGACCAAGGAAGTACTACGGCTTCCAGAATGTCCTTTTGGTACACTTCTTTATTGATTTTTACTCCTTTATCAACAAAAATCAAGGAAGTTTTGCCCGAGGTGCATACTCCTGCCCAAACCATAATGCCCCGAGGGTGTTGACGGTGTTCGACGATGGCCAAGTCTCTAGGAGGCTCAGTAGAGTAATGCCTGTCATTTTGAGGGTTTGTGTGCCTGTTCCAACGTGAATATCGTCTCATCAGTGAAGAAAATGCGCTCCCAATTTCCGTTAGCGGCCCGGTGTATCGGAGTTTTGCTTCTTTTAAACCGTACTTTTTTGTTTTCATCAGTAAGTTTCTGAACTTTCTTGAGGTTGTCGGCTTCATCTTCAAGTTCTTTCTGACTATACGGCAAAGTGAAGTTTCTTTCAGACCGGCCTCTCGTGCTATTTTACGTACGGAGTCCTTGGGTTACGCATGAATCGCTTCTTGGTCCACTGTCTGTTGGCGCGGGTGTTTACAGTTGCTGGACGGCCACTTCTAGGTCTGTCATCATCATGTCCAAGCTCTACATACCGTCTGACCACTTTGGATACTGTAGCTTTTCCGATATTTAACGATTTCGCAATATCACATTGCCTTCTTCCTTCTTTATGCAGCTTAATGATGGCTCCTCTCATGTTTGGCATCTAAATAAAGACAGACGTTAGACATGAAAAACTCAGTTTTTACTTATTATAACAAAAAACTATGGGGAATAAGACAACATGTAAAAAAATTATATAAATCGCGTACAACATAAAGAAATCGACCGGTAAAGTTAGTCAACGGACTTTTGGCACACCCTGTATAAGTGAAGGCAAGTATGGGTTAGTGTAAGTTATTGGTCAGCATAGGTATGGGTAGGATATGGTTTGGGCTAACTATGGGTTAAAGTGAAGTATGAGTTAGAGTAGCATATGGGTTAAGGTAGGAATAAAGTTCAAGGTAAGATATCGGACAAGGTAGGGCAAGAATAAATTAGGGTAAAGTAGGGTAGGGTAGGGTAGGGTAGGGTAGGGTAGGGTAGGGTAGGGTAAGGTAGGGTAGGGTAGGATAGGGTAGGGTAGGGTAGGGTAGGGTGGGGTGGGGTAGGGTAGGGTAGGGTAGGGTAGGGTAGGGTAGGGTAGGGTAGGGTAGGGTAGGGTAGGGTAGGGTAGGGTAGGGTAGGGTAGGGTAGGGTAGGGTAAGGTAGGGTAGGGTAAGGCCTTTAATTCATTGTTTCATTCCCCTTCCATTCAAGCCGCTTGTATGGCCGAGACTCACCTGAGCGGTCGGCGGCGCCGATCGCCCCCACCCTCAATTCTTTCCATTCTTGGTCATGTTTGTGGTCCGATCGTTTGGCAAGACCATCTCTTTTCTCGCGTCCGATCCCCACATTGTTTTTATGAGTGACCGGTTAGAGGGAGGCTATTGGAGGTTTTGGTTTACCTTCCGATTCCGGTCGTCTTGCGGTCCCGGTAAGACAATATTTTGGAGACAGTTTGAAGTTGGATTAGGCTGAAGTGATTGTTGGAGGAAGTTTTAGGTTGAGCTTGGTTTGAAGGGGTCGGGAAAGGGAAGAGAGGGGTGGGAGGGGGTTGCAAAAAAGGGGGGGGCTTGAATTTTTTGTTGAAATTTGAACTTTTTAAAGCTTGGCGTGGTTTTTTTGTAAATACTTTTAAAAAAAATTTTTTACGATTTCTTTTTTAAAAAATTACCCCGCCCGGCACATATCGCTTTACACCCGCCATTTCAAAGGCACTATATTGCAACTTTAAGCTCTTTTCGTATCTAAAAAATCCGAATATTTTTATTTTTATCGCTCGTATCCGCGACGACTCCTCAAAAACAATGTCGTAATGGTTAGGTATGATTTTCACGTCAAAACATTATTCCAGAGCAATTAGCGACCGTAATAACAAACGCTCCTCGCCATGCCTTTGCCCCGAACTGATCCGTCAACTGCGCAACGTCGTTACAACGTGAATCTACCACTGAATCGAGTGGCTAGTACTACATTGAGTTCGACTGTTGTTGGAAGTGGGAGTCGGCAAGGTGAGAGAATCTGACATGGCTTTATTCTAAGCTTATCATAGCTAATCTATGTTTAACTTAACGTACCGAGCCTTACCCTACCATACCCTACCCTACCCTACCCTACCCTACCCTACCCTTAGCCTAGCTAGCTTTTCTTTACCTTAACTAGCCCTGCCCTCTTTTCTAATTTACCCTACCCATACCACGCTATCTCACATTACATTTCTTTATTCTACCCTATTCTGCGCTTGTTAATCTGTATTTTTTTCAGATTCAGGTACATCATTTCCACCTGGTACTATACTAAACAGGCTGAGCGATGAACAAGCAAATTTGGAGTTTAATGCAAGACAAGCTAAGCTAAACTCATCAACAGCTTCATCAAACTTATCACCAAAGCAAGGACATCATAACTTTGATTCGAAAACAAGCATTAACCTTCAAAACTCTAGCCAAAATCTACTATACCCTAACCAACCCAATGGTCTAAACATTCACCCCCAAAACCACCGCCTATCGGCCGTTCAACTACACCCATCACCATCACTGAACCCGTCGTTAGCTCAATTAAACCAGTCGTCACCTCAGCTAAACACCCAACCGCCTCAGCTACTACATCAACCCCGTCTCCAATACGGTTTGAGTGTGCAGCTACAGAAGCGCGAGGAATCGACCAGCGCCACTCCAACCACGCTCCGGCTGGACAGCGAAGCCACCGACTCCAGCGAGCTGTCACCGAACAGTGACGCAACCCCCCCGACCCACCTCCACCGACATGAGCCGACGCCAGATTCAGATGCAACGTGGGGCGATGCCAATGGGCGTGGGCCAGATTGGCGACAATTGGAATGATGGGTATCGACGGAGGTTTTATGAAGTGGGTTTTGAAATTATGAAAATTTGATTTTAAAAAGTAATGATGCAGGCATGGTGATTTTTTGTTGTTTTTTGATTTTTAAAGGGGGGGGGGGAGTAGGCCTTCTTACTCGTCCGTTCTGCCTCACCTAGCTCTATCTTTGCTTTACTTTTGACTTACCCTACCCTACCCTATTCTACCTCACTTTACTCTATCCTATATTGCTGTATCTATTCTAATTTACCTTGCCTTATCTTACCTATGCCTTGCCACAAATTGCCCTACTCTATCCTATCCTGCTCTATCTAATCTCTTTCTAATTTGCTCTGTTCTACTTTGACCTACCTTACCCGTCTATTACCTCTTCCTTCAGTTTTTCTTCTACCTACCTGCCCTTCTCTTCCTTTCCCAGTTCCTCGCCCTAACCCCAACTGCCTGTACCTATTACTCACTATTCTGCCATTCTTTCTTATTGTTCCGCGAACAACTTCTTGACCTCGAATTTCTCGGCGATTTCAAAAAGGCCAAAAGGTCATCAAGTGTTTGACCTTTCACTTTGTTTTTTGAGCCTAATTAATCCGGGCAAATTATAAATATTAGAAAGCGTGCCGAAACTGAAGATGGGCTTTTAATTACCTGCCCATCCCAGCTTTCCTATTTTTTATTTAGCGCAGTGTTTAATTGGGGACAATACTGGGGTACTCTTGTATAACAAGATTTTCTGTAACGAAATTTTAGTATAACAAACAAATTTTAAATTCCCGAGCGACTTGTTATACAGGAGTTCTATTGCATAGTCATTTTTTTTGTTTACCAATACCGTATTAGCAAGGAAATTGCGTTACCTGCCTCGTTCAGAATCAGCTCAAAATTTTTATATGAATTTCTTGTATCATCAATAGTTCACATAAAAAATTTTAGCTTGCGCTTTTGAGTTTTAAATTTAAATTATTTTGGTTTCCCGCCGATTTGGCAACTTTGGCATTATGTTTCAAGCACTTTTTTGACTTTCCAGACAAGTTACGCTGACAAATTTAAAAATGTAGGTTTACTTAAAGGGTTTCTACTAGTATATCAAGGAAAAATTATTAAAAGTGAAAAAATGGCAAAGTTATAAGCTTGAAACACAATGCCAATTTGGCGGGAAATTCAAAACGTAGTTTTTTAATTTTGATTTTTTTCAAGATTAACTGGACAGCGCGGTTTAGTACTTTGCTGAATATCTTATATTTACATGATCTTTTTACATAAAAAGTTTGAAGTCAATTAGAGCAGGGCAGGTTGGACACTTTCCTTGTTAGAGAGATTGGTTATACAGGAGTTCTACTGCATGGTCATTTTTTGTATTTATTCACGCTGTATTAAGTTTAAAACATTTTTTGATCAACGAAAGCCACATCTGTTAACCAATTTATGACACCATATCAGAGCCGTCGATCAGCCCACCTTTTTTGGTTAATCCCGTTTAACTTTTTCATTTGTCTTTTTTCAAACCGATCGCAAAGCCGAGAGGTCATTCTCGACCGTTTTTTCTTATGCCAAAATAACCTTTTTGTGTTTTTATAACGTCCATTCAACAGTTTTTTATTGTTTTTGTGGATAAAAGGGTAAAGGTTTTTTGAAGTTTGGGCTTTTGTATTTGAATAGTTTTATTGTTTTTGTACCTTTTGTTAAGATTTAGGTGTGTTCGGTTAAGATAGGGTAGCGTAAGGTAGAGTAGGGCAGAATAAGCTAGGGTAGGGTATAATAGATGCGGGGTAGAATAAAATAGGGTAGAGTAAGATAGAATAAACTAGTTTAACATAGAATAAAGTAGGGTAGGGTAGGGTAGGGTAGGGTAGGGTAGGGTAGGGTAGGCTAGGGTAGGGTAGGGTAGGGTAGGGTAAGGTCGAATAAGTTAGGGCAGGGTAAGTTACAGCAGAATAGGGTAGGGTAAATTGTAGGATATACATCTATAGTGACAGGGCTGGTGCTGATGCTTATTTTGACCAAATAGGGGGTAAAGATGAAGAGAACGTGGATTGAAGGGGGTGGGGTGAAATCAAAATATTTTTTGGCCTAAAGTTAGAGAAGGGTCCGTGTATTCGTTTTTCAAAAAATTTTGGTTTTGAAGGAGTGTTCAAACCCACCCCCCATTTCTCCTCCCCCTTAGCTAAGTCTTTGCCGGCAAAAAAAAAGTCAAAGTTTTAACAATTCCCTTTACCAAATTTATCATTACTGACATTTTTCAACCACATCGCAATTTTAACGACGTACATTTTTCAACTAAAGGTTTACACTAATTTAATGATCCGATAATGAAGCGCAAAATTTTTTTTTCGAAATTTTTATTAACCCATGCCGACGAATCAAAGTCTTGTCGTTTTCTTCCTGATCAATTCATTTTCGAATTCATCACGGCATGAAACCGCCGCGTTTACCGTCGCACTTTATTTAGGTGGTTTTACTTGTTTTGTTAATCGCGACAGGGGGGGGAGGGAGTGGAGGAGGGGGGGGAGGTGAGAAATGGGTTGTACAAAGGCGGGGGAATGTGTTAGAACTGAGTGGGAGGGGGGGGAAGAGGTGCGGAACGTGTTGGGGAGAGTGCAAGGGAGGGGGGGGAGGAAGGCATGGAGGAAGGAGGCATGGGGGGGGCGGAAGGGGGTAGGGTTGGGTAATGTTGGATAGGGTAACACCACATTTTCTTTAAACTATTTGACCGCGTATTTACTTTTTTTAAAAACTTTATATTTGAAATTCAGTGTACAGAAATGAAGCCAGAGCCGACTGGTAATAATAATCAGGGTTCGCAACTTTCATCCCGAGCGCCGTCTGTTACTTTTTCACAGGTAAAGCTTCATTTTGGCACTTTGAATTAAAATTTCTTTAATGCTTATGGTCTTTTCTTGCTGTTTTACGACATTGACTTCTATTTTCTAGTCTTTTTTTGATTGTTATTTTTCACTTTTTATTTGTCTCAAAGCATTTTCTAGATATCTTTTGGTCGTTTTTGCTACTTTGCATCTATTTTGTAGCTACTTGTTGTTATTTTTAATGCAGTTTTAGGTTATATTTATGTATTTTATGGTTATTTTTTAACCTTTTTAGTTTTAATGAGTTATTTTAAATTTACTTTCTGCACTTTTTTAGGCCTTTTTTCGTTCTTTTTGAGCAATTCTTGGCTCTTTCTTGGCTATTTTGTCTACTTTTCAGCCAGTTTGTGCTATTTTTTGATGCATTTTCTTAATTTTTTTTAACTTTTGTCTCTTGCTATTTCTTTTTTAATTATAAAAACCCATGGCTACTTTCTTGTTTTTCAAGGTATTTTATGCTATGTTTTAGAAATTTGAATTTTTTTAGCTAATTTTCTTAAATTTTTCATTATTTTTTGGTTTTTAGCCACTTTTAGCCTTTTTTATTTTTTTATTTGTTTCTGAGGCGCTTGTTACCTTTTTCTCTGGTCTTCAACAATTTATAATCAATTTTTTTGCCGTTTCCTCCTTCTTTAATTATGAAAAACCACTTCCCATAACCTTCACTTATTTATAAAAGAAAGTTTAGCAATTAGCCAATTCCTCAATTTCGCAGTGTTTTGTCGCGTCGCTGTGATTGAAAGCAAATTTGACAGCGGCCAAGGTCAAAGCGGCGCGCAACGGAGGTCGAACCTGTACTTTTTTCGCATAAAGAATGTCACATTAGACAGGGTGTTGATGTTTCTTGTGCGCCGTTAGTTGAGGTGTTTTTTCGGGGATCTGCTGCAGTTTTTAACTTACTTTGAAGTGTTTTAGAGTAAATTTAAAGGCTTGTAGATCTATTAACTTTTAAAGACTATTAGTGAATAAAGAAGATAAAAATGTTTGATCTATCTTCTTCACCTAAAGATGTAAGTTTGTACAAGATGTACCAAGCAGTATATCACGGCCTTGCCTTTGACTTTGCCTTTGCGTTTGCCTTTCCTTGCCTGTGCCTTATCCTGTTTTGTTTTGGCATGCCATGCTCTTCTTTAACTTGCCACTCGCTTATCTTGCTCTGGCTTACCTTACTTTACATATTTTGCCTTAACCCGCCTTACTCATCTTAACCTGTTTTACATTACTCTATCTTATCTTGTCATGCCGCTTTTGCTTTTAGTAATATCAATCTGTCTGTTCTTCTTCAGTTCATCCTAAAAGCTTACTTATATTTCTCCAGGATTCACTACACTCCTTCTTCTCTCTCTCTATAACAACAAGAAATTTTTTAATAGAATTCACTCCCCACAATCTCTTCAAAAATTTACCCTATCCTCCAATCAATCCCACCCCAACCTGCTTCTAACTCAAATCTTATTAACCCACTTTTCCACCCAAATCTGACGTAATTATTTGTTCAGAAGAACCAACATATTTCGTACGACGAGCAGAGTCATTCCGACCGCTCGCCCACGTCGGAACGCCAACAAAAGTATGGCCAGTCGTTGAAGCGGTCGCCGAACAGTCAGCCGCGCCACATGGACGTGGGCAGTTTGAATGGAATGGCGGCGCCGAGCTCGCAGTTCAGTCCGTCCGAGCTGTCGGAGAGTGTGGCCGAGAGCCAGAGGCGGTAAGGGGGTTTGATTTTGAATTTTAAAAATTTGAAAAAAATTTTAAATTTCGGATTATTTTGGAGTTTACTCTAAAATTCACTTTAATCTAGACCAGTTAAGGACCGCGCCAAATTTCTCGGCCATCTTACGGCCAGGCTTTAATTTGAACCCCTGCCCTGCCTCCAATTACCGTCCCGGTCCTTTTAAATTTCCTTTGACCCGGTCCAGTTTGGCTTGAAGACCCGGCCAAGGCCGAATATAAGAGGCCCTTTTTCAGTCATAGCTAAAAACTAAAAAATGTTATTTTAGTGGTTCACGCGAATCTCAAAACATTCGCCAAAGCATGTACGATCCCAGCAGTGCAATGGCTGTCTACAATCCTATAGAACATCAACTAATGATGCCACCCCCACCCCACCCAGCTATGTTGAGTCATGCTGGCTCGATGGGGCAGTTATGGTAAGGATTTCGATTTTTTAAACATTTTTTATATTTTTAACATAACTTTGGCATTTTAGGCTTTATTGTAAGCTTAAAATTCAAAAAAAATTTTTTTAAAGCTTTTTTATTTTTTCAATTTTAAAAAACTTAAAAATCAACCCTAAAACCAAAATTTTCAGGTTCCCACCCCCACCACCCCCATTTACCCCCTACTACTACGCTCCAACCCTAAGTACCGCTCCTCTAACAGCTGATAGTAAGACGCTGAAGAAAGCGATGAAAGAAGCTGCCAAATACGAACAGAAGCATCAGATGGCAATGAATGGCTACATGAGGCCACAGTCGTATTGTTGTGATGGAGTGGCACAGGTCTTGTGGGCGGTTATCGTGGTCACATTGCTTGGGCTGGCATTGGCTTTAGTCTTGGCTTTCTTTGTTTTGAATGGGAATTGAGGTGCTTTAATGGGGGGTGGGGGGAGGGTCAGGGTAGACTTAAAAAATTGTTGTGGAGAGGGGGGGGAGATTGGAAGGGCTTGAATTTTTTTTATTTTACCATTAAAGGTTTTTAAGCACACTTTCCTCTCCCAAAGGAATACCCTTCCTTCTGTTCTCCCCCCCCTCAACCTAAAAATCATCCGCTCCCCGCCCAAAAAAACACCCCGCCCCCTTTCTCTTACTTACCCGAAAAACACCCCCTCTTTACTCAAAAATACCCCACTCCCCCCCCCCTCCCCCCCCTCCCCCCCCCCTCCCCCCACCCTCCCTCGCCTCCTTTCTTTGCCGAAAAGTCTCCTTTCCTCCTCCTCCTTCTAAAACGATGGTTTTAAATTAGATTTCACAACTTGATGTCATAATATTGTTAACTCATCATTTTACAACGTTTGCCATAGTTGTAACATGTCCTCATGGTACTATAATCATTGCTCTTTTCCAGCTACGTACATTTTTGTACCTCATTTATTTATTGCCTTGAATAAACTTGATGTAAAACTAATTTATCCAACGGTTTTTGGGTACTACCAGGTGTATACAATGTTTTTACGTACTGTAAGGTCGATACAATGTTATTTAACGTACTACCAGGTCTATACAATGTTATAAACGGCATAGTTTAGAACGTCATAAAAGTCTTGTCGCTTTTTAACCTGCAAAGCAATGTAAATTTGCGACAAGACTTTTTTTATGCTCTAATAGTCAACATTAACTGTCTAGATAGAAGAAAAAAGTATTAATAAATGACAGCTTTGATGCTACATAGTATTAGACGGCCAATACAACACCTTAAAACTTGCTATCGCTCCGTTGCTTGAGATATGCTTGCAGTTCAGGCAGCTCAAACACCTTTTTCATGTGTTCAACCAGCTTCGGATACTTGGACATGACATTTTGATGAACGTTGTAGAAGGTTTTGAACAAGTCGGCAAAGTAAAAGTCTACGTAAGAAACCCCGGATTCATGGAAGAAGCCATTGCTGGTGATATGACCTTCTATAACTGGCAGCTGCTTCTCACATGTTGGTGTGAACAAGTTTGTGAATAGGGTTTCCTAGAATGTTTCATATAAAAATTGATATTACATTAGGCTTGGGTCTTCATTAGCACGTTGTTAGTACAGGCTTTCATAAAACGAAAGCTAACGTTTTAGTAATACTATATTACACTTGATCTAAGCATCCCCTAACAATAAGCCCTAAAAAATCGGTTTTAGATCCATACCTACATTACACTTAATCTAAGGTGGTAAAAAACATCAGTTATATAAGGTACCTGATTAGGAGTGTTCATGAACAGAGCCTTCCTGTATAATCCAAGAGAATCACTAAAGATTCGACAAGTTTCTTCGATTTGACCAATTTGGGCCGCTTCCAAATTGTTTTTGCCTGCCAAGCCAGCTTCAGCAGCCAAATATCTGACTAATGCCATACTTTGAGCAATTGGTACATTGTCAACCAATAGAACTGGGACTTGGCCGTAGGGGAACCCTGGAATATCATTATACGTAAGAAAGATGGTGAGACTACATAGCGGGTTGTTTTACAGTGTATTGCTTTATTTTACCTTTCCCTACTCAAACCCTACCCTACTTTACAATACGCATCATACAGTATCCGACCGTATTGTACCTAACCTTATGCATGCCCTACCATGGGTAGCGCAACCATTCCCTACACTTTCCTTATCAAAGCGATAGCTTTCTTAGACACTGCCCATGCCATACCTCAACAATGCTCTATCAATTCCCTAAATGTATATTGAACAGTGAAATTAGAATAATTATAGAGAACAGAAAAAGTATTAAAAATAAGTCAGCTACTCTAAACGTTCCAGCATCAAATCTTACTTGTCTTATCCCCCTTAATGTTCTCCCATTCTCCTTTAGGTATTCTCACATCTTCAAACGGTATTTTCGCATAATTCAAGATCAATCGTGCACATTCAGCTCGTCCTCTAATATCGAAATACAACAATTTATAGTCCGGCATACTTCAAGGTTAACAAGAATGAATGAGAAGGTTTACCTGATTGGAACGGACCACCTGTTATGCTATGAGCCATTCAAAAAATATAAAAAATATTGTTGTTGTCTTTGAACAAAAGAGAAAATAACATCAGGATTTGACGTATCTTCGGCCGAAAAGCCGTGTATTTCATCACAATCAAGTTGCTTTTTCTGAATTTAAAACTTTTGGCACTAGACTTGTAAAAAAGGCGGACTAAACCTAATTTTTCAGCCAAGCCCAGTGTTTTGGTTTTAGAAGTTAGCCCGAGGTTTACATGAATGGCATGACCTACCGCTTTCATAATTTCTTCGGTCTAGCCTAGTGGCCCCCTCACTTTGTTAGGTAGAATTGAACCGAACGTATTTTACCAACAACATCCCATTATTAATACAATGTCAACCATTAAAAGACATTTCATTTATTCGCAAATTTCATTATTGTGCTTTAACACCCAATGTATAATATAAAATAACTTAATAAGTAAATTCAATCATAACAAGTAATTAACAATGAAACATTAAATTTTATAAAAGACAAAACGTGAGTCAAACTTGAAGATCATGATATGAAAAAACAATGGCAAATACCTAATTTAGTAAAAAAACATGGCAACAAAGAGACGTAATTAAAACTTCATTTTTAAAGTTAAAATCATATTTTAAATTAAATTTGATTGTGAAAAATTAAAAATAAAACAATATTCTTTGGTTAGGGCTTGATTGTAAAATAAATTTAAAATATGTTTTACCCTTCCACTCATAAGCACATAACTGTAGCTTTATCAACTAAATCCAAAGACGTCGCTACAGATTTTTGCTTTTTTTCGAAAAAAAGAGGGGGAGACAAAAAAAATTTTGGTACACATGTAAGTTGCCTGTGCATCCATTTTACGTAAAAAAATTTTTTTTTCAACGTCTCGGTTTAGCTTTGAGAGTGAATCCAGCGCCATTCACCCTCCCCTAGAAATGTCTCTAACTACATCGTATTTATAGTCCTAAAAATAAAATTTTGTTTCAAAACGCATCAACATACTCCTGTTTTTGCCTCAAAGACGATATCAGGTCAGTTAATTAACCCTCAAAAAACCAGCGAAATTAGTTAGTAATCAATCCCAAAACATTTCCCAAATCAGTAATTTTTAATGCTCAATTATCAGACATTGACTGATCCTCACTCTGCGGGTCGAGGTCTTGCATTAGAGGCGGGTCTGGGTCCATGCCTTCGTCCATAATCCTCTCCAATTCCGCATCCAAAACCGCGTCCTCGGCTTCGAACACCAAATCTCCGACCTGTGGCATTGCTTCGGGCTCTTCTTGAAACTCTAGTGGTTGTTGAATGAACTCGAGCGCCACTGATCTGAAGTTGCCTTGTCGTTGTCGTCGTGGGGCGGCTGGGGGTCGAGTTCGTTGGGCTGAGCCTGGTTGTGTTGATACTGGAGTTGTTGTTGTTTGTTCTGCCGATACCCTCGATGGATTTAGTATTTTGGCTGAGGTTGTGGGTTCTTCGGGTTCGACTTTTGTGGTGGGGTATTTCATTTCTACAGTTGCGGTTTCTACTTCGTTACAGAGTTTTTCTTCCAGCATGCCGAGGGTTTCGTGTAGGTCAAGAGTTGGGCAGGCCTGAAAGTGGTCATTTTGTAAATTTTCGAAAATGCAAAATTAGAAAAAACTTTTTTTTTGACTTTTCTGACCAATTTTTGTCACTAATGTTACCTAAAACATCATTTTAAGCTTCCTTTCTAGTTTTTATGCTATTTTTTTATTTTTTAGAACTTTAGAATAAATTTGTGGCATTCATGTTACCTAAAACATCATTTTAAGCTTTAATATTAGACTTTTTTTCAAAACAAGTCCAAGCTAGACTAAAGAGCTCAATGTGTCTTTGAAATTACAGCTAAATACCTCCAAAACCCTATCATAATATTCCGACTAAACACCACTATTACCTACTTATCTACCAAATACCCCACTATTACCTATTTATCTATCAAACCCCCACAATTACCAATTCATCAAGCAAACACCTTATCCTACCTGTATTCCCCTTTTGCAGACCATAATCGCCTTGGGCAGGTCTCCTCGCTCTTCCAACAACGTCGCATAGTCCAGTACGGCAACAAACAAGTACGGTGCTTTGTTCACAACGTCTTCCAATAAATTTTCGTATTCTGGCTTGTAGGGTTTGGTGTTCGTAAAGGTATGAGCGTAAACGTACTTGGCTCTCGGGTTTTCTAGACCCAACTTTTGTTTTATCGACTCGCCTAGGGTTCGGACTTCATTTGATGATTTCTGAAAGTGAAGATGGTTGTATCTTGACCATAATGTGACGTTTACTGTTATAACTTGTTACACACCACGTTTTTTGTTAAAAGACTTATATTACTCTTCACAGCACACCAAAAACACGCCCAAAATTAAGATATAGCTCCATATACTCCCTTTATAGACGTGAAAAGACAGGATAAGACTTACACCTTTTCTTACCCTCATTACTACCAGTCGGGCCAACATTTCCATCGCTTCTACGTTCCGAGGATCGTATGTTAGGACCTGTCTCAGACATTCGTCCGCATATGTTTTCCGTTGTATATCCGTGTGTAAGGTGGCCTTTAATATCAGTGCGTTACATCGATCTGGACCACACATGTATGCTGATAAGGCTTTGCCAACGAAATTCTGAGAAGATTCATCTCGACGGCCTCTGGCTAGATATCCGAAAGTTACATAGGTTTCAGGGGCGTTTTCGTCAACGTGAAGACAATGTAGAAGAAGGGTTTCTAGTCGCTGCTTTTCTTTTTCCTAAAATATGTTTAAAATTAAGCTTAAAACCTCGTAAAATCTTTAAAAAATTAAAAATAAACGTATTTTAAGCCGCAAAAATAGTAAAATATTCAATTTTTAAAGAAAAAACGTCATTTTTAATCAAAAACTTTCAAAAACAAGCCAGATAGTATCATATTATCATAGGCAACATACTTTTTCAAGTTTGTAATAGACCCGGGCAAGAAGATCCATTCCAATTAGTCCATATGGATTCAATGTTAACAACCTTTCCAATTCAAACTTTGATTTGACAAAATCACCAACCATACTGTACAATTCGGCTGATTCTAACACCACGCTGAAAAGTATTATATCATTAAGCATTTATTCATTTTTATTGTTTTTAATCAAAACCAACACAGTTATAACAATATTTTCAACAAAAATAATTTTTAATGAAAAGGTATACCTTTTTAGTTAAAAAATAGGTAAGACACCGCAAAATAAGGTAGAGTTCAAAAGAAAATAAAATTATACATAGTTTTTTTTTAACTTCTAAACAAAGAATATACCTAAAATACTATTAAATCCCGTAAACTTACTAAATATTCTTCTGATTAGTATTCCTCAACACCCTCAATGCCTCCAACGGCACTAACTGTAATCTCAAAGCCTTGGCCTTAAACAATGCCACCGTCGTCTCATGTCCATCATAATTCAGCTCCACACTTGGCGGAGAGCCAAAGAAATACAATTTGCTGATACAATGATATGCACATGGCCTAGTTGTCACTATCGCATCATAATTGGCCACAATTTCACCAACCTCCCTCGCTGATTTTGCCGTATTCTTGCTGTAATTCAATCGCGTACTGTGTAGTTTAGCCAAAGCTAGTCGTGTTTTTGGTATATGATCCGCTTTTGGCACCGCCGCCAACATTTCATAAGCTGCACTGTACTTTTTTAGTCGACAGTAGACTTTATACTTCATAAACTTGATCTCGATCGCTGTAAAGGCCTGAAAACTAAACGATAAGTCAATTAAATCACATATTTTTATTCTTAACTATCATTTTTTTTTCAAATTTTCGCCTTCAAAGCATAAAAGCCGAAAAAAATACTATAGGGTACGACAACCTACTGTAATTTCAAAAAACAAACAAATATAGTAAAATCATATGGCTTAGTTAACACTTTAAACCAGTTATATTCATACAAAGTTTCAAGTTTCCACCTAGTTCCGAAAAAACGTTCTATCAAAAAATACTCCAAGACCAACACAGTTCATGAATAATATAAATAAAAGCTGCCATACCTTTGGATATTTTATCCCGGGTTGTAGATATTCTAATGCCATGTCGTAGTGCTAAAAAAGACAACTATAACACTTGTTTTCATATGATAAATAGTCCAAATTCATCCACAAACGTTCAATGCTATCTAAAATCCAACAAACAATCAAAATAACTTACCCTCAAAGCCGAATTCAACTGTTCCAACTCAAAATATGCATCTCCCATGTATTTAAACAACATTACAACATTCATGTTATCCATTTCACTTTCAATATCCGTGAGATCAAGGCGCATCGTGACATAGTACAATAAATCTTCGTATAATTCATCTTCATATAACTCCTTTATAGAATCAAATTCAGTCATTTTAAATAATAAAATAGTTAGTAAATTACTTTGGCCTATAAACTGGTTAGATTTTGTACAATGTTCGTTGACTGAGTAATAATAACGAAGCGTTCCTCCGAAATGCCGAAACAAAAAAGAAATTTTTCTTTATTTTAATTTGGTCCCACCACGAAAACAAATGTCAGCTAAAAATGTGTGGCTTAGTGTTTTGATAAAGTGTAAGTGAGGGAAAATAATGGCCAAGAAGTTAAAAATGTACTTTAAAAGTAAAAACGGCAAAAAAGTGTTTCATTCTTATTGTTTTTGCTATTTTTTTATTTAGTTTTGTTATTTTTGTCGTATATCGTTATATCTTTGTCATTATCCACCTTGTTTTACAGTTTTTAAAAAAATCTTTTAGAATTTAGGTCAAGGCTTGGCAAAATGCTCATTTTGTGAGATTGCGTTCGACAAGTTTGGTTGTGTTCTTTTTGGTATTGCTTTTGGTCCACGACGTAAGTTTTCAATTTTATGTTCATATTGTAGTAGGGTTCAGTATCTTTAATTTGAGGTTATGTTAAGATAGCTGGGTTTAAAAGTTGTGTCAGATATTTTTTAAATTTTTTAAAATGTATATTTGCTATGATTTGATGTAAAATTTGTGAGTTTGGCTGATTTTTGTTGTGGTAGACACTAATTTATGTATAACAAAGGAAAATGGTTGATTTGAAGTCTGTTATGCATGCTAATTGAAGTCGTTTATTTTTTATTAAAGAGTTATGAAATTGGTTAGATTATAAAGTATATATTTGGCTGGAAAATGTATAATTATGTTGGCAATCAGATCAAATGTGTTATAAAGAACTAGCTGAAAGTGGGTGTGTCTTTTAGTTTTGGTCATAACTTTTGTCGAAGGATAAGTAGAGGCTTGAAATTTTTTGCAAAATGAGGTTGTCAGCGAATCTAGAAGTGAAATTGTTTATTTTTAGGTTTATTTTTATTATACAGTAGGGTGAAGGTGAGATAAATTCAAGAATTTATGAATTTTGAGATGTTTTTGAAAATTGCTATTTTCAATACGACCTAAAAGCTAATAATGCAAAAAGCTGAGTTGTCAGATTTTAGACACCGTAATTACTGTTAGGTTCTAAATATCTTAATCACTCTTAGATTCTACATACCTTAATTACTTTTAGCTTCCACATACCCTAATTACTCTTTATCACAAAATTCATGATAAACAGTTAATGTTGCTCCTTAACAGGTTGCTGAACCGTGACCAACGATTATCATCTTCGCTTTCATCTACAAGCAAATTGTGGAGCAGATTAGAAAGCGAAAATGAAGCGCTACTTTGGGTTTTAAAAGCACCTGCAAAGGTTATATCGTCCATTTTGTGGATTTGGTGCGCGAAAAAAGTTGTTTTCATTTTAATGAAAACTGGATTATATATAGCTTTATAAGCGAACGGGTTGCGATGTTTCTCGGTCGGATTTTCAGGTGAATTCGAGGAGGGAAAGGTTGTGGTTTGGGGGAGGATTTTGAGTTAAAACATGTTGGGTTTGAGGAGAATTAAGGTTTTAAAAAATAATGGCTTCGAGGAGAATTTGAGTTTTAAAAAACATGGCTTAGAGGAGAAGTTTGAATTTAAAATTGTTGGTTTTAAGGCGAATTAAAGTTTTAAAAATCATACCTTTGAGGAGAATTCAAGCAAGAAAAGTTCGTTTTCTACACGATTTGGAGGCGGTTATGAAAGTTTGTTTGTGTAGGGGATATTGAGGCGGAAATGGGCTCGGTTCGAAAGTTGCAGGTTGTTTAAGATCGTGGGGTTTGAGGTTAATTTTTGGTCATTTTGTTCTTCTTATAAAAGTTTTTGATCTTGATGTTCGTTTCTTAAAATTTGTTGATCTTGCCGTTCTGTTCTTTTGGCTTTTTTGTTGGGCATGTAAATTGATTGTGCTTTGAGTTTTTGAGGAATTTTATCATTGATTTGTGGCTTTTGAAGACTCATATCTTTGGTTCTTTGAAGATTTATGAAGAACGTTGGGTGCTAATTCCGCTTAAAAACGTTTGAACTCATTCGATCAAGGAACCTTGTTTTTCTTGGCTTTTGTAAGGTTTTGGTGTCATAACTTTTTTCATGGTGATTTAATTCAAAATCTGTTTCCTGATTCATGCGAGACTTTCTATGAGGCGTGGTTTAATCCGTTTTCTATAAAACTATTGTATAACCAAGGCTGAGCTGGGGTTGGAGAACATATTTTTGTTTTCTAAAGTGTTTACACTAGATTTTACTTGAGGTTGGAATGGTTTTTAGATTAGAAAATCGGTTTTTTGTTTTCAGTACGGTACTGGAAAATTACAATAATATGTTTTTGAGTAGGTTTTTATGTTTCGTGACGAATTCAGAAGGCATTTTTTACTAAAAATTGGCTGCAGGTTTGAGGTAATTTAGCGACACTCTAGACCTGAAAGGCCCGGCTTCTGACCGGCTCCGGGGCTGGGCGGAAGAAAATATGAAAACTGCGAGCCTGGCTTACGTGGGCTTCAAAGCCGGGGCTCAAATCAAGGTCCGGCTGTACCCTTTTAAAGATCTATGAAACTTTTACAAAGGACATTATAGAGCTAAGCTAAAAATTTTTAAAGCTTGCTTATCACCTGCAAATCCAAAAATACGTGACATCCTCAACAACAACCTTGCCGCCCTTTAACCGCAATTATTTTTGCGTAGAGTTTCATCCATCTTGTTGTTGGGGGTTTTTCTGAAAGTGTAAAGGTCACTCTGTTTCCAGCCTCGTAAAGGAGTATTTTTTTGCGGGAGGCTCCATCTGCTTGCCATTTGAGCGTCTTTTGGAGAAATTTGGACAAACTCCAACGAGCATTTTTTTGTCTAGTGCGAGCTGCGATGTGCAGACGGCTGGGTTTTACGAAAAATTGTTATTTATAGGTTTGGTAGTTAGATTTTAAGGTTTAGGAATTTGTGGTTAATACTTTTTTGTGGTTTGTGTCTTTATGGTAGTTGCACTGTACGCGATTCGTTTAGTCTATTCTTTGGTTTAAAAAAAATTTAAATAAAACAGGATATCTTGTAGTATGTGACCTTTTGTGCGTTCTTTGCAATTCTTGGCTAAATTTTATCACGTATTGTAAGCCGACAGTGATAAGACTGGCTATCGTAGTTTGATACAATTAAAGCCTACGTCATTTGGGGGTTTGGTATTCTTGGTTCTTCAGGTCGTTTTTGGTTGGAAAGGGGTAGTATTTGGTAAAGGTAGTATTTGGCTTTGATATTATGAGGTATTTTAATAAGTAAAAGTAGTTCTCTCAATCTTTGGTTGCCAACAGGATCTTTAGACCAAACATGTAGCTTATGCGCTAATGTTGAAACACTCTGGGTTGCTTTGACAACACGCACTTTTTGAGCCAGGATGCGTACCAGAGGATTGAAGGCTTCCTAGAGCACGTTTCTAAGCAAACTACAATGTATTAGGTAGCAAACTACAATGCGTTATCCCTTTATGAAAATTTTGAGGTGGTTTTGAATTATTCAAACCACATTGTTCCGGCTTCTGATGACATTTTGTGCGCTCGGAGGGAGTTTTAAGCTTGTTTTGTAGTCAAAGGGGTTGGTGTTGTGTTAGTCAAGGTAGTACCACGCTTTTGGTATAGGGACTATTAAGGAATTTTTAATACTGTACTTAAAAGTAGTTTTCCTCTTTACAAAACTGGACCTTTGACCTCTTCATACCAAAAAATCATTCAAGCTCAGCCTCTTGTTGATTTTTTTTTGTTTCATGATGTTGCTTATCCTAGCGTATGTTACACTGCCGCGTTCCGCGGCGTCAGAGACAACAGGAAACCCAAGGATCAGAGCTTTTCGAAAAGGAAATGGTTTTGATGAATTATATGGCGCTTAAAGTTCGATTAATGGTCTGGCGAACGAAATAAACTTTTGTTTCTTTTTCGACTTTTTTCTATTAGGGTCATTGTTGAAACATGGTTGGGGAGGAGGTTTTGCCAATTGAAACATGCTTGGAGAGGGTTTGTCAAAAAAAGGTGTACAACCAGCTTTGGTTTGTTGCGCGATGTACAGTTTGGTTAAAATGGGTCGTTGGGTATGATTTTTGTAGGCGAGGTGGTCATTCTTGGTGTCTGTAAGAAGGGGTGATGGTTGAATAGATCATGGTGTAGCTTTTTTTAAATAGAGTGAGGTATGATTTTATGATAGTCAAAGCTAAACTCTAGATATGCTTAACACAAGATGCTTGTCTTTTGATTTTTCTTGTAACAGAAGTTTTTTTAAGTTTAAAAAATGCATTAAAAATGTCGTTTTAATGTCATTTTTTAATAAAACATGTCTCAAAAATGGCATTTTTCACTAAAATATGCTACAAAAAAGTAATTTTAAATAAAAAAATCATAAATTAACTATTACTTTGGTTTAGTTTTATAAATTCTTATTAAAATCTTAACAGTTTGACTCATTTTATGACGTATGTCAAGAGGAACTTTTGTTGAATCTTATCAACGTATTAATAGTTTTGCGAAGTTGAAAGGCTACGACAACGTCCGAAGTGAGGGTGTGGCAACTTTTTAGGGGATTGTTGATCTAATGAATCAGTTTGAGCTTGAATTGCCGGGAACTTTAGGGTTTTTTCGAAAAAATGGTTGATTTTTAAAGATTTTTTTTTGATTTTGGAAGATTTTTAGGCTTTGTGCGATACACATTTTAAAATTTTAAAAAGTCTTGTAGTGGGCAATATTATTATAAGTTTTACCTTTTATATGACATTTTTACTCTATATGAAATTCATACCTACGTGACAATAATTTTGTATTCGAAAATTTATTTTTGAAATTTTTCAGACATCACCTTGGGTTAAAAATGGCACAGTACGACTACTACCCACGTTATGGTCTCGAAAACTACTCTTTCGTACTGCCGATGGAGAAGAAGTTTGATTCTGTGGCGTCCACGTTATGGATGCAGGAGAATTGGCACCATTCTATTGCTTTGTCCACTTTCTACATTATCTCTTTGTATGCTGGTCAGAAAGTAAGTTTTTTGAAAGTCTGTTCTACTTTTTTTTGGCTTGAAATAGAGGGTTTTTGGCATAAAAAGGGCTCTTTAAGTTAAAAATTATTTTTTACTTATGTTTCAGGGTAAAAGCTTCATTTTAGATCACGATCTTAACCTTCACCTTATTTCAGATCATGGAAAGCCGGAAACCCTTTTACCTGGAAGGCCCCCTCTTCTACTGGAACATGTTCTTGGCCGTCTTTTCATTATCAGGTGTAGTCAGAATGACGCCGGAGATGTTCTGGTCAGTAGGATCGAACTCTTTCGAATACTCAATATGTACAGCATCGTTCGCTCAAGGTGTGACCGGCTTCTGGACTGAAATGTTTGCAATGTCAAAAGTGTTCGAGTTTGTGGATACGTGGTTCATCGTACTAAGGAAGAAGCCGCTGATCTTTTTACATTGGTATCATCACGTCACGGTGCTGGTATACACATGGCATGCCTATAAGGATCATACGGCTAGCGGGCGGTGGTTTATTTGGATGAATTATGGGGTAAGGAGGGGGTTTTTGTTGTGGTAGGGGGAAGTTATGATAAATAACTAAAATGGGAAGGGGGGGAGGTGGTAAAAAAAAGTACAGCGGTGGATTTTTTTGTTTTTTTAATCAAAAGGTTTGCTTTGATCAACGAAAAAAAAATTTGGGGATGTCCATCCTTTTACATGTCTGCTCGTACCCTCTAACATATAATAACTTCAGGTACACGCCCTAATGTACTCATACTACGCCCTAAGAGCCGCCCAATTCCGCGTACCACGCTTAATAGCCATGACCGTGACGGTACTACAGATTGCTCAAATGGTAATGGGCGTCTACATTGGGTACCGCGTGTTCAACATCAAATCAGCCGGCCAATCATGCCAACAGACCAATGAAAACCTGTACTTTTCATTTTTGATCTACTTTTCATACTTTTGCTTGTTCTGCCACTTCTTCTACAAGGCTTACTTAAGGCCGAACAACAGGTATGCCAAGAAGGTGGGTCAGAATGGAGATGTAAAGCAAGGAAATGGAGCTTTGAATAAAGAACATGGAGAAGATAAGGCAAACAATGGAGTCTTAAAAGCACAAAATGGCACCAAAAAATTCCAGAATGGCACCACAAAGCTCCAAAACGGATCAATAACGCAAAATGGCACCAAAGGACTAAACACCATCCTAAACGACCAACACGAACCCCTCGGACAGAATGGCATCCACCAAAACGGTACCATTAAGAACCAAAAACCGAACCGTCGACGTGTCGCCAAAATCGAATGAGTCTCATGACAAAACTTTATAGCACTCTTGTAACTAACTTTAACACCCTTTCATACCACATTCATGTTGTTTTGTTGTCTAACCCAGTGTGACGCTTAATCTCAACAAATAAAACATAATACTGACTGTTTGGCATTGATTTTTGAGGTTTTAATGAGTTGATCAACTGATCGTATTTTACATTTGACTTTATTTATGTTTTGCAATTTTTACTTGGGTTACATTGTAAGGTTGATTTATGTTTACTGTGAAGTCATAATTTATGATTTAGTTAATTTAGGCCAGTACTAGGGAGCTAAAAAAAGTCGAGTCGTTGTTTAGCATGAAAGGCAAGGTCATTTGACGATAAAACTTTTTGAATCAGTTTCATATATACGATTTTAAGGGATCACAGTAAAGAAATAACTATTGTAATCTGGTTTTAATACTGATGAAAATTTGTTGTGTCTAGACTTGAAAAGAGGTCCATTAGGCCGTATCGAGACAAGCGACTTTGACTTGACGCTTGCTGGATAGGGGTAAAGTAGGTAAGGTAGAGCAAAATAGGGTAGATTTGAAAGGGGTTTACTAAGCTCGGCACCGGCCGGATCGTGCAGGCATGAGGGCTAGAAATGAGGAACGGGCCGGGCTTGAAAATTGGACCCGGACCGTAAATTATTGGTTGTTTAAGGCACAGTACAATACAATTTTCCCAGTTATGATTTTCATAGGTTTATATAAGGGTTCGTACAGGATGAAGCAAATATGAAAAACGCTGAGAAGAAATGCTGGGTCCGGCTTCTTTACTGTTCTCTTCTATTGTAGAGAGTCCGGGCCGCCACATTTGAGCCTAAGAGCAGGGTCTCAAATCATGGCCTAGCCCGGCCTCTTTACAAGTGTAGTTGTGTCCAAAATGTAATACATTTTTGTTTTTTTATTCAAAATTTTTTTTTCTTTCGCTTTTTTCGATGCGAGAAGACGAGGTTGTTTACGAAAACCAGCGTTCAGAGACCACCAGAATAACATGCAAAAGCCGAGCTTTAAATAAATTGCCTTTTGGAAGGGTGAACAACACACATGGCCACATGATTTCGAAAGCTAATATATAAACGGAGTAAAAGAGCAATTTTACTATAGTAAACGCGATTTTACTATAGCAATGTCAGCTTTACTATTGCAAACTCAATTTCACTCTGGTAAGCCCAATTTTCAATTTGGCTATACTAAGCACAATTTAACGACAGTGAGCCTAGTTTTACTATAGTAAGCCCAATTTGACAATAGTAAGCTCAATGTTACTATAGAAAGCTTACGTTTACTATAGTTATCCTAATTTTACTATTTTTAAATGAAATAAAATTTTAAAATTAAAATTGTTGAGCCCAATACCTACTATAATATACATTTTCTGACACTTTAGCCTACATCAAAATTAAAAACCGAAACATCCGGCAAAATTCGAAAAGCAGTATTTATTTACTGTAAATGCATTTACAGTACAATGCTGTACATGGGTGGGGCTTTACATACATTGAATGCTGAGATTTTCATAGAGTGGCAGTTTACTTTCCCTTCATTTTGTCGGCTGAAAAATGAAAATCATTAGTTTTGAGGGCTTAAAATTTTAGTTTTGGACTAGCCTTTGGAATGAAGTGCTATTTTTTGGCTAGTTTTTGAACTAAAATTCGATTTTTTAAATAAATTTTAAGCCGTTTTTTAAATTCAAAGGCTTAAATCTTTGAGTTGACCGTTTTAAACATAAAAATAAAGTTAATGCTGATAAGAAAAATTAAAATTTTAAACTTTTTTAAAAGTAAAAAGGTCTCCTCAAGCTTTATATCAACCAAAGTTAGCTTTAAACCTCAAAAAAAGTGGTCAAAACTCAAATTGTTATCAACTTACCAGCATTCGAAGCCATGTCGCTGGCCTTCTCCTTGTTCTCGTGAGCCGATCCCACCACCTTTTCCTTGGCCGATTGGGCCGAGTCTTTGATGGAGTCCTTCATGTCTCCCATCTTGTCCTTGGCCTTCTCGAAAGTTGATTTGTCTTCCATTGTAGTAGTTGTCGAACTGAGTTAAAAACCGTGTTCTGAGGAATTTCGAATCTGGCCTCTGCTTTTATACTCAAATTTTGTTTTCGAAATATTGTTTGTTTGTGAGCGCGAGACATGGGCTTGGGCCTAGTTTAGGGAGGGTTCATTTTGCGGGCGGGTGTGTTACGAAAGGGTTTGGGGCCCATTTTAGGGCGAAACGGCCCTAAAAATGGGCGGAACAGTTTAGCGGAGAGGAAACAGGGAATGATCGTGTTGCATTGGAACGTTGGCGCGGGACGTTAGCGATCAATGAGCAAATGGGTCGCGCGATGTTTTTTAACGCGCGTCTTTGAAGTAGATAAGAAGGGAAGGAGAAGGCTAGAAAAATAGAGAGAGACAGACAGAGAGTACCAGAATTAAGGAGGACAGGGTAGAGTAGGGTGGTGTAGGGTAGGGTAGGGTAGGGTAGGGTAGGGTAGGGTAGGGTAGGGTAGGGTAGGGTAGGGTAGGGTAGGGTAGGGTAGGGTGGGGTGGGGTAGGGTAGGGTAGGGTAGGGTAGGGTAGGGTAGGGTAGGGTAGGGTAGAGTAGGGTAGGGTAGGGTAGGGTAGGGTAGGGTAGGGTAGGGTAGGGTAGGGTAGGGTAGGGTAGGGTAGGGTAGGGTAGGGTAGGGTAGGGTAGGGCAGGGTAGAGTAGAGTAGAGTGGAATAGAATAAGAAAGGGAAAACGAGAGGGCAGAGAGACCCATAGAAAAAGAAAAGTGAAGAGAACAAAAAGGAAACTTCGAGATTAATAACAAACAATGATTTCAATGATCAAATATCATTGTAATAATAAGTAGTAATGTTTACTAATGATTATTTTTGAAACGTCTTAGACATAAATAATAAACGTGGTTTGATTGTTTAAAAAAATATGTTTAAAGTGATTTTTGAAATTTTACTAGACCCTGCCTGTCTTTCTTTACCTTATTTCACCCTGCACTACCCAGTCTTACCTTAAGTTCCCTTACCCTACCCTACCTTACCCTAGCCTAGCCCATCCTATCCTAACACTTCCCTTCCCTACCCTTTCTTACCCTTCTCTACCCTACCCTGCGCAATCCTATAGTACCCTGTCTTATTCTACCTTACTATGCCCGGCTCTACACTACCTAGTTCTACCCTATCATATCTTACCTTGCCTTACCCAACTTTTTCTTTCCCTACTTTATCAGACCGTCTTTTATTTTGCTTTACTTTACCCTACCTTTCCCTCTTCACCAACCGGTATTAAAAACAATTTTTTAAGTATTTTTATACAGTTTTTATGCCAAAACAATTATTTTTATTTGTCGATGTAAATGTGAATCAAATTACACGAATTTTTGTGGCTTTTCCAATATCTCCTGTCTCCCTTACTTTTGTTATTTTGCTTACTTTGTTTTGTTTACGCAGTAGAAATACGATAAACAAACCAATCTTTTGTGATGAACATCTTGGGATGAAAAATGGGAAAATATTCCTCAATAACAACTTATAATTGCATTTTTATTAGCTGCCTATTATGATATATGCTTTTAAAATAAATTGAAAGAAGCCAATACAGCTTTAAAAACCTTAAAATTTGGAAAAACGTAATGCTTATAGAACTTTACTATGTTCCAAATAAGGTAGCATTGAGATAAGACCGGGCTGAGCAGGCTAAACTAAGGCTAGAGTAGGATCAGTTAGATTGAAGCGAGGTGGAGTAAGATAGGGTAAAGTAGAGTAAAGAATGGTAGGGTAGGGTCGAATAGAGTAGGGTTAGTCAGGGTGAAGTATGATAAGTTCTGATTGGGGTAGTAAAGGGCATATTTTCGAAGTTTAGTACTATAATATCAGTACTAAAACTAACTTTTTAAAGTTTTTTTGAATTTTAAAATTTTAATTTTTTAAAAAATTTCAAAACTCCGAAATTCTTTCAAATCGATCTTATTTATTGAAATTATTATTAAGCGTTTACAATACAATTAATGCTGTACATAGGTGGTCATTTTCATTACATATAGGAATTAGCACTTTGATCGGTGGCAGTTTATCTTCCTTTCAGTTTGTCGCCTAAAGTGGTGGGAAATTAGATTTTTTATATTTTAAAATACGATTTATGCCCTAGATTGTTATACTTTTTATAGTTTATAGACTAATACTTTTAAAAAACGTGTCAAGATAGCCTTACAAGATCAACAAATTGTTTTCTTTACGATGTTTCAACAATACGTTTAAAAAGGTAGTCATATGTTACTGTAAAATGGCAAAAACTAGGCCGCGTCAAAAAGAATTGGGCTGTTTTCTTATGATTTTATTAAGAAAAGTGTCCAATTCTTTTTTAAGCACTGTGATATGATGAAAACCTTTTGAAAACAAGTGTTTATGGTCAAAAAGTTTATAGAAAGGTATCTTAAACTTTGTTTTATAAGAAAAGACAGCAAATTTTTTAAAAATTTTTTTGAAATTTTAAAAACTTGAAGTTTCTATAAACTTTTTGACCAACAACTAATTTTTTCTAATCTCTATGCCTATCAGTACAAATCTTTATTCAATCATTAACCTACCAGCTTTGTTCAAGGCGTCCTGTGTGTTGTCCTTGGCGTTGGATGCCATGTCGCTAGCCTTCTCCTTGTTCTCGTGAGCCGAGCCCACCACCTTCTCCTTGGCCGATTGGGCGGTGTCCTTGATGGAGTCGGCCATGTCGCCCATCTTGTCCTTGGCCTTTTCGAAAATTCCCTTGTCTTCCATTTTAGGTAGTAGTAGCGATTTGAACTTGAAAATTGGAGTTCTGAAGAGAAGGCAATCTTCGCCCGGCTTTTATACTCGGCGTCTTGTTTACAGGGCCATGCAGGGTGCTTGGCCAAAACATGGAGAATAGAATGGGCTTGGCCAAAACAAGCAGAATGGAATGGCTTGGCGAGGGCTGGCCCCGAGTTATTGATGGGGATTGGCCACGGAATGGGGACTTGGACCTTGTTTTTGATTAGGGTTGGCCCGAAGAATGGGCGGGGTTGTTTACTAGTTTGGACAGCGTTTTTTTGAAGAAAGAGCGGCCAAGTGACCGAACATCACATAATAGGGGCTTTGGGTGAGAGAGCAGGGGAAATGGGAGAGAAAGGTGAGGGATAAGGCAAAATTTGGAGCAAGGGTGACTTTTATTGAAAAATATTGAGAAAAAAGGTAGAGGGTAGGATTTATCGGGAAATTTTTGTTCACAAGGATGAGGGAGGGTCAGGACATAAGATTTTAAAATATTCTAAAAATTCGATAGGGTTGATCAAATGCAACATTAAAAAATTTTTTCCTATTCCTCTTCTACCGCTCAGCCCCAGTCAAACACCTAAAAAATAGCATCCCCCAGAGAAAGAAACAAAAAACAGACCCCTCGAAAACGAAAAAGCCAAAGCCATCTTCAGAAGGCCACACACTAATCTCTGAACCCTTAAAAATGTATAGAAACAGTGCCCACTAAGAGTTCAAACACCTAGTAAAGAGCCGCTGATGGACAACAAGGGACACAACACGTGACCAAAACTAATCTTTCATGTTTTGAATAACATTACCCAGAATAGACGTTGAAATACCACGGTAGAATTTATAAGTATCATAGTTGGGTTTGTGAAACTAAGCTTTGAAGTATTATAGTGGAATTGAGGGGGGGGGGGGTTTAAAAGTATTGAAATTAGGGTAAAAACAAGGGTTGAGCGTTTGCTTTAAGTTGTTTACTATGGTTATTAAAGCTTATATTGATGGTATTTTAAGCAAAATGGGCTGAAGTTTAATTTGAAATTACATTTTTGACATCTATTTTGTACAGCCTTAGTACTATAAGCCTGAAAATTGTAGAAGGCTACTATAATGTATATATTTTCTAATCTTTTATTGGGCTACTAAGTTTTACTATAGTAAGCCTAATCTTAAAAATAAAAAAAAATTAAATTTTTGAGTCTAATACCTACTATAATTTAAATTTTCCTATTTTTAAGCCTATGTCAAAGTTAAAAAAGATCAAAAAAGCCGAGAAAATCCTAAAAATAGTATTTATTTACTGTAAATGCATACATTAAAGAAATACGTTAGGATACAATGCTGTACATGGATGGTGTTTTACATACATTGAGTGATGAGATTTGCGATGGCAGTTTAGTTTCTGTTCAATTTGTCGCCTAAAAATCGAAAAATCGTTAGTTTTGGGGGTTGTAAAGTGAATTTTTTGCGTTTTTATAGGCTTAAAATTTGAATATTTTATAAGAACAGCTATTATATGATATGAAAGGTTAGTGTTTTTGCATTTTAATGGTAAAGATGACTATGAAATTTATAAAAAAATTAAAATTGCTCTAGCTTTTATCTAAAAAAACCTGTTTCATACCTATAAAGTCACTAAAATTAGCCAAAAACCTCAAAGAAACTAGCCAAAACTCAAATATTCATCAACTTACGAGCATTGGATGCCATGTCGTCGGCCTTCTCCTTGCCTTCGTGAGCCTTGCCCACCACCTTTTCCTTTGCTGATTGGGCCGAGTCTCTGATGGAGTCCTTCATGTCTCCCATCTTGTCCTTGGCCTTCTCGAAAGTCGATTTGTCTTCCATTGTAGTAGTTGTCGAACTGAGTTAAAAACTGTGTTCTGAAAAACTCCGGGTTCCTCCCGACCTTATATAGCCCCCGCTTTCGGTGACTAAACAAATATTTTGAAAAATAGCCCGAAATGGATGTGGTAACCCCATATTGGGGTAGACCTTGAAATCGGGTGGGGCCGGCCCTAGAATTGGGCGGGGTTGTTTGGTATTCTTTATGTTGTTTATCGGGAATGTAAAGGACGTTACTTCAACGTTTCATGGGAACTTTCGAAGATCAGAAATCAATAAGAATTGGAGAGAAACAACAGAAATAGCGTTGGAAAAGAGAGAGTACCCGACAAAAAAGGAGATTTTTAAACAGAACGGCTGAACAGAAATTTTCTTGGCGTTAAACAGCAAAGAAAACGAAGGAACATGTGAAAACAAGAGATGTAAGACATTTTGCAAGAGATAACAGAATTCGATGCTTCAAGTAAAGACGAATCGAAAACAAAAACAACGCAAAAAATAGTGAGCCAAGGGACGGCGAAAACAAGAACGATAGGAACGGCCCACTCTCTTTCGAAAAACAGGAAAACAAATGGGCCCGGCTACAAAGAGAAGACCAGCTCAGCTGGGTAAAAAAGCAATTTAATGTGAGGGGATGTCCCTGCAAACACAATAGGGCAGGCCTTGAAAAATGAGTTTGATTAAGGGCTAGCCTTGCAAATAACGGCAAAGCCAAATATTAATAATAGCATTTCAAAAAAAGGCTTAAAAAAGGGTCTGTTTCACAAAAACAATTTTTTTACATAAAAAAGACTTTTATTTTGAAAAAAATAGTTACACAATTGACCATTAGAATAAACAACAGCTGATGACTAATAAATGAGCGTTCAAAATTACTTTTTTTGATTCTTGTGGTCATTGTTTACATTTAAAAGCTTTGTTTGAGGGCTGGAACTAAGGCTATGGCTAAGGCTAAGAGTAAGGTTAACGCTAGAGCTAGGGCTTGATCGAAGGCTAGGGTTAGGTCATAATTTAGGGCTAGTGCTAGGACTAAAGCTAGGACTAGAATTAGGGCTACAGTAAGGGTTAAGACTCTGGGCCATGGCAAAAGTCAGGACTAAGGCGACCGCTACAGCAAGGGCTACGGCTAGAGCTCTGAGCTAGGGCTTTAGGTAGAGCTTTGAGCTATAGCTGTAGACTAGAGCTCTGGTCAAGGGTTCTGAGCTTTGGCTAAATCTAGAATTAGGGCTTCTTCTGGGTGTTGGGTTAGTTGTTTAAAACTTATATTTTGTTAAAGTTTAGTGTTAACCACTCTTGTATTCATTAAAATTTGAGTGTTTTCTGGTGTTTTAAAAATTGCCCTCATTCTCATTTTGTAGCCATAATTCTCCATTACTCAAAAATTCAGTTTCACAACATTGTTTACTGTCCTTGCAATAAACCCGGGCCACAAAGCATGGGCCCGGTCTGTTTCCTTTCGAAAAAACAAATTGTAAACAGCAAGAAAAAAGAACAGAGAATAATTTCAGAGATCGTTGCTGGTGCTTTTCGAAAAAGAGCACGTGCGATGCATAAATAAACTTTTTAGACATTAAAGTTTAAGAACGCACTTTGCGACGATTTCTAAACGGCTGCTTGTTCCACTAAATTGACTGTAAACAAAGTATTTGTTTTCTTAAGGATTCTTGGCATTTTAAATTTTTTTGAAAATTTTTTGAATTTTAAAGCCTTTAAAAGAACTAAAAAGTAAAAAAGTCGTTTTTTAGGTTTAAAAGCTTTCTTTGAAGGTTAGGGCTTGAGATAGACCTAAAGCTAAAGTTAGGGTTAGAGCTAGGGTTAGAGCTAGGGTTAGAGCTAGGGTTAGAGCTAGGGCTAGAGCTAGAGTTAAGGCTAAAGCTAGAGCTAAAGCTAGAACTAAAGCTATAACTAAAGCTAGAACTATAGCTAAAGCTAAAGCTAAAGCTATAGCTAAGCTAAAGCTATAGCTAAAGCTAGAGCTTAGGCTAGGACTTAGGAAGGCTAGAGATAAAGCTAGGGCTAGATCTAGAGCTACAGTTAGAGCAAAAGTGTTACAAAATTTCGAATTTAACATATTAAAATACCTTTTTTTTAGTTTTTTTTGCAAAAAAATCTTTATTTTACAAAAAAAAATATTTTTTGTATTACACTTGCCATCAACTCCAATATTTTTCTTGTTTTTGTAAAATTTTCTCGATTTTGGAAGAAATTTCTTGTTTTTTACAAAACTGTTTTTTTGTAAACCTTAAACAAACATTAAATCAAAAATTTTTAAACCCTTCCGTTTGTGATTGTGATTCTCTTTGTTGTTATCAATCTCAAAACTTTGACCAAATATGAAAAACAAGTTAATCATCTCTTGTCAAAACAAACAGCTTTTTTAAAATTGGATTTTTGAAGGGTTACACGTATGAATGAAGGCATGAAGTATTGTTTTTGAAGGTTTAGACATTGTAAAGGAATATATAAAAACTTATTAAAGTTTAAATTTTTTGTAAAAAGTCTTGTCGTTTTTGAATAGTGTCTTATTTCAACTTTTTTTCTTCCTCATCGCAAAGAAAATTAATAAATTTATTGTCTAACCCTTCTGAATCATCAAAAAGAAACTCTGGCTCCATGTTTGTTAAAATTAATCTCAACCCTTCAATAAGCAACAATAATGGCCTCTTTTTTTGTTTTGCAATGTGATCTCCGAACAGTGTGAGGAGCTGTTTTGATGTTTCGACTGGGAGAAATTTCGTAAACATCAGAGAAAAGAAAAACTTCTTTTTGGAACAACAAGAGGTATCAGCCCAAGTTTTATCAGTAGTTGATCAACGTTTTTTGGTCTTGACAGTTATGAACTGTCTTTGAGGAGTTTATGAGTTACAGATATATGTTTTGAGCATCAATTTATGAAAAATGAAGTGTTTGGCTCAAAATCGCTTAATTGAGTAACTTATAAAATTATTTTTATATATTTAAGCGCTATTTTCAATTATAAACAATTAAGTTTCGCAAAGCATCGACTAGCAGATGTTGTGAACAATGTAGTTTAAAAGTTAGCCCAAATAAAGGCCTTAAAACCCCTGTAAAATCTATATCAAACTCTATATTATGCCATAACGTTAAATACAACCGTTTTCACCTTGTTCAATATCTTATCCGTCTGTCCTTGCCTATTTGAAGCCTAAAAACACAAAAAAGACAGAAAATTAACACACATTTCGCCACTTCCTGTCAATGAATCGGTTTTCTACATCATGTTCATCATATTACCAACGCATTATGGCCTTACGACTTGGCATGTCCTTTTGATTGAAATCCAATCAGATTTTTCGCAAAAATCTCTTCAAAAAGAATTATTTTTATTGGAACGTTCCGGACGACAGATAAAAGGTTCTACAAGCTGCGCGACCTTTTTTTTTTACGAATATCGTTTGTATTTTGTTTTTATGAAGTTTAATGACAAGAGCTATGCTTTAAGTGTAAGATGGAGTTTATATACACACAAACATACAAAATTAAATTACAATTATAAAAATAAACAACATTATGACCTTGAGCTAAGTTATCATTCAGACTTCTGACAATAGCTTGAGTATATTTTTGAGCTTGACCGTAGGGTTCGAAGCTTGCTGATGATAAGCTCTAAGAAACTTTTGCCAAGCCCAGTACTTGTCGACGATACGCAGGCACCAATATCACAGTCATTATTGCTTCAGCACTGCTATCCATGGACAACCTACTCTATTGATGGTGCCGAGGATGACAAAGTCAATATGCATCATAGACGAAACAGAAGTCAAAAATACAGGAATGCCGTTGCCAAAGAAAGGGATTAAGAACTGAAAAGTAACGTGTTTAAAAATTTTGAAAAAAGATTAATCATATAATATTATTAGCCCAAGCCGAAAGCCCTGGCCCAAGTTATGAAAAGTCTTGTCGTCAAGAAAAAATTGTTTTTAATTTTTTAAAAAATTACAGGGTGTTTCAAGAAATTTGTAACTTTTAAAAAATTTACTACTCAACTATGAAAAAAGATAACAAGACAAAATTTGGCACGCGTAATATACAGCCAATGGGTATTTTGATAAAAAATTTTTGAATTTTTAAAGTGCATATGAAGGTCGTTATGAATTTTTGAAAAAATTATTTTCACACAATTACAATTTTTGAAGAAAAAAATGATTTTAAGTGACAAGTTCCTTGAAACAACCTGTATTTTAAAATTTAAAAATTTACCTGTAGCAGTATAACTTTATTGATTTGCAGCTCTAATTGACCAATTTTTGAAAATTTGCTGTTCTTAGCATGTTGAGCTACAGTTTTCCGAATTTGGCCATAAGCCCAAAATATTATTGTGTATACTATTAGAAACATACTCATCACGCCAATTAGGTTAAAGTAGAACATGAATTCGTTCTAAAAGTGTCATAGTTTACCCTACTGTAACTTAGGTTCAGGACGTGTATTTACCTTTTTTGTGTTTTTAAGATTTTAGGTAACAAAAATTGGTTTCAAATTTATATAATTTTGTTCAATTATGCTTTTACTTGTTAAACCAAAAACATTTTAAGAAAACTCATTTATCTTTTTTTAAAGCCGATTAGTATAAATTAAAATGGAGTTTAAAGCGTTAAAAAAGTCTTGTCGTCAATTCATATCCTTTTTCATTATAAAAAACAACAAAAATTTTTTGCCATTTTACTGTTGTCTCATACCTCAAATAAAGAATGCCATTTAATATATACTGGCAAAACCAAAAACTTACTGACGAGCTATAAGTAAAAGAAGGCATATGTTGTTTAAACTGTGGTAACAATTGTAGCTCCGCAACAATAGCTACATCTTGTGATGTAGCATCCGAAGGGCCAAAGTGACCAAAATTGCCGTAAATTGGTACAGCGTGAATGAATGTCAAAGTATATACTACAGCAACAATACATAAAATTCTGGAGGTCGATACGGTTTTTTCCTCTAAACAAAAAAAAATTTTCTTAAGGTTGGCGGTACCTCCCCCTTTTTAAAAATCAAGTGTTGACTTACTTGCACAACGTTTGATACCGGTAATAAAAGTCAATTGGAGTTAAACATAACTCCAACATGATGCTTTGATAAAAGATACAGAATACGAACCATCCGTACGATAAATCGACATTCCGTATAAAACCTGACATAACCAGAATTAAGTTACCAGAGTAGGAAAATGGCTCCTACAATAAACGTTTATGTAAAATACGGAGCTTGACTTCTGCCCTACCCTGCCTTACCCTTACTTACAATAGTAGTAGAAAAAAGTATGACACAATAATAGATGTCATGCACAGAATGTACTGTTAATACTCGTGAATATCCAACTAGTTGAGATGGAGTTTTATAAATAATAAGATAAAGTAAAGTTAAATTAGCTACTAGGGCTACGAAAAATGATAAAACATCATTGATTGTGTAGTAGTCAATCGAAAATTCCATTTCTAAACATTGATTATTTAAATCAAGCAGTGCAAGGAAAGGCAGAGTAGATGAAAGTAAATGGCAAGGCAAAGGTAGGGCGAAGGCAAGGCAAAGGCAGGGCAAAGGCAGCGCAAAGACAGGGCAAAGGCAGGGCAAAGGCAGGGCAAAGGAAGACAAAGGCAGGGCAAAGGCAGTACATAGGGCATAATATAAAACATAATTAAACAAGACATTGAGCGGAACATCAGGCAATGCATAGAGCAGCCAAGTTAGCACATGAAAGTAACACAAAAGTAGAAATGGCTTTCTCGTGGTCAGGCTACAAAATTGATGTTGTAATACTTAAAAATACATCATTTAGCAGTAAAAAAATTAAATAAAGCTGCAACATTGCTTTAGTATTAGCCTACAATTTCAAACTAATTTTGTAAAGACAATTTTATAGTGTTACTAGTATGATCATATGGTTTTTATTGAGGGTCCCAAGAAGTTTCTGCAGGCTGCGCGACCTTTTCATACAAAAATTGTTTGTATTTTGTTTTTATGAATTTTAATAAAAAGAGAACAGAAAAATGGCTCTTAAATGTAAAATAGAGTTTATATACATTTCAATATATAAAAATTACACAACATTATGACTTTGAGCTTGATTACCATTCAGACTCCTAACAGTAACTTGAGTGTTCCTTCGGACTTGACCGTGAGAATGATCGAAGCTTGCTGAAGATGAGTTCCAAGAAACTTTTGCCAAGCCCAGTACTTGTCGACGATATGCAGGCACTAATATCACAGTCATTATTGGTTTTAACGCTGCAATCCACGTACAACATACTCTATTGATGGTGCCGAGGATGACAAAGTCAACATGCATCATGGACGAACCGGAGGTCAGAAATACGGGAATGCCGTTGCCAAGTAGAGGGATTAGGAACTAAAATAAAATGATTTAAAAAAGCGCATTTGAGCCTAGAGCTCTAGCACAGAGTCCTAGCCCTAGCCCGGAGCCCTAGCTCAGAGCCATCTCCCAGAACCCCAGCCCAAAGCCCTAGCAAAGAGCCCTAGCCCAGAGCTCTAGCCCAGAGCCCTAGCCCAGAACCCTAGCCCAGAACCCTAGCCTAGAGCCCTAGCCCAAAACCCTAGTCCAGAGGCCTAGCCCCAAGAAGATTAAAAAAATGTTAACATAATTTTGAAAGATTTACCTGTAGCAGTATAACTTTATTGATTTGCAGCTCTAATTGACCAATTTTTGAAAATTTGTTGTTCTTAGCGTGTTGAGCAACAGTTTGTCGAATTTGGCCATACGCCCATAATATTGTGGTGTATACTATTAGAAACATACTCATCAGGCCAACTAGATTGAAATAGAAAATGAATTCGCCCTGAAAATGTCATATTTTATTAGCTTTGACAAATGTATGTAAGTTAAGAAGCGCGTATTTTACAATTTTTCTTATTTTTTTGAGCTTTTAGGTAATAAAACTTGTTTTCACATTTAAAGTTGCTTTATGTTTTTAGTCTGAAAATCTTATTTATCTTGTTTTAAAACCAAGATGAATAAGTTTAAATGGCATGCAAAGGAGTCACAAAAGTCTTGTCGTCAATCCATATGTCTTTCCATTGTAAAAAAAGACATGACTTCTTTTGCCTTTTAAATATCGTTTCAAGTGTCAAAAATAGAAAGCCGACTCTTAGGTATAAAATACAAAGCTAAAAAACTTACTGACGAGCTATAAGTAAAAGAAGGCATATGTTGTTTGTACCGTGGTAGCATCTGTAGCTCTGCTACAATAGCTACATCTTCTGATGTAGCATTCGAAGGGCCAAAATGAGCAAAACTGCCGTAAATTGGTACAGCGTGAATGAATGTCAAAGTATATACTACAGCAACAATACATAAAATTCTGGAGGTCGATACGGTTTTTCCTCTAAACAAAAAAAAATTTTCTTAAGGTTGGCGGTACCTCCCCCTTTTTTAAAAATGAAGTGTTGACTTACTTGCACAACGTTTGATACCGGTAATAAAAGTCAATTGGAGTTAAACATAACTCCAACATGATACTTTGGTAATAGATACAGAATATGAACCACCCGTACGATAAATCGACATTCCGTACGAAACCTGACATAACCAGAATTAAGTTACCTTGATATGAAAATGGCTCCTGAAATAAAACTTTGTAAAATAAAGATTTGAACTTCTATCTTACCCCCTACTCCACTCTGCCCAACCCACTCTACCCTACGCTGCCATACTCTGCCCTACCTTACCCTTACTTACAATAGTAGTAGAAAAAAGTATGACACAATAATAGATGTCATGCACAGCGTGTACTGTTAATACCCGTGAATATCCAACAAGTTGAGATGGAGTTTTATAAATAATAAGATAAAGTAAAGTTAGATTAGCTACTAGAGCTACGGAAAATGATAAAACATCGTTGATTGTGCAGTAGTCAATCGATAAATCCATTTCTAAACATTGTTTATTTAAATTATGGTTTAGTATCATAGTTGTTAAATAAGTTTTGAAAAATGAGCAATATTGTTCTAGACCAGCGCACTATTCCCCGAATATGTCACGTTTAAATTGATGTGTTTACAATTAAACTCAGTGTTATTAACACAGCGGAACCAAATTAAAAATAAAATTTAATTTTTAATTATGGATTGAGAGATAGAGTGAAGCATAGAGTAGATATCAGGTATGGTATTGGATACAAAATGATAATACGCGTAAGGCATATGTAACACTGGATAGAAAGATTTTGGCAAGAGATTACATAAGATATTGGACAAATCATGAGGCCGGGCATTTAGCCGAATATTAGGCAGCAAATTGCGCAAGACTCAAGAAACGCCAAGGAATCGCTCATGACGTGATAATAGAGCATGGCTAAGGCGACACTACCGTAATAAGAATTTGTGAAAAAAGCTTTGGAATTTCAAAAAACTTCTTGTCTACAACTTTTTCAGAAATTTGAGATCTCTACTAGCGAAAACTTTTTAAACACTTTTAAAAATAAAGAATGTAGCCTAAGGACGTTTCAGTACGTTTTTCTTCACATTTCAGGCAGAAGTACCAAAAAAGCGTAGAATATTTAGCCACGGTTGAGTAAAAATTATTTCCACGGCTGAAAAAGACACTCATCAACGAGACCATATACATAGTAAAGTAAGTATTGTTTATGGTAATATTTTTTGGCTAAAATTCGTAAGTTAACATATTAAAACAGCACATAAAAGTGGCTTTTCTATACCTAAAAATACTGTTCTAGCAGTTAAAATGTAAAGCAAATAACTATGCAACATTACTTTAGTACTAGCCTACAATTTCGCACCAACCTTCAAGGTTAATTGGCAACAAAGAAAGGCCAAGTTTAATGTGTTACCTCTATAATTATATTGTTTTTAACTTGATTTGGACACAGAAAATGACGATTAACTCAAAGTATTTCATGGTAGACGAAATGCCAATTTTTAAAAACAATAAACATGATTTCTGTTACCTAAAAGTATTGTAAATAACATTTCAATTTTGACATTACCATACTTATTAACAGCTCTTTTCTAAGTTATCTAATACAGTAGATCTTCGCTATAACGTATTTTAAGTTTTTTCGTTATGTAGAAATTCAAGTATACATAAATTTTTTAAAAATCATAGCACGTGATATCAATGCCAAAAATTTTTAATAGCCAACTTAAATGTTGCTTAACTTTTTTCTAGGGCTAGGGTCTTTTGCAGGCTTTGTAATCAATGTCAAAAAGTTAATTGACACAAATAAAAACAATGTGAAATTCGTCGTCATTGACTTTGTTTACCATACCTACTTCCTTTCAATATTTATTGACAGTATAATTGCAATACATAATACATACATAGTAGCAAATTAAAAGGGCTCAAAACGTCTGGTTGTAAACAAAAGTACAAGGTTAAGGCTAAAACTAAGGCTAGAACTCTAGGCTAGAGGTTTGGGCTCTGGGCCACGGCTCTAGGCTAAAGACCTCGGCTAGAGATTGGACTAGTGTTGTGGGGTAGGATTGTGGAATAGGGTTAAGGGTAAAACTAAGGCTAGGTTTGCAAATGTACTACCCGTGCTTTTGTCCCCTAAACCAAAATTCTAAATAAATTTCATGTTATGTTAGCATACACCTGCACATCAACCGCCTTGTGACGCATAATCACATTTTTTATAATACAGTATAATTAAATCTTGTATGAGAAAAATCGCTTTTAAAAAGTACCAACATTATAATTAAGTCACGTTTGTACACTTCGCATGCTAGCAACCAAACAGCACGCATAGTACGTTTTTGACAATATTTGAGCGATTACAAGGTCTAAAAGACTTAAGTTTTAGTAACTTAATTACAAGCTGTAATTTTTGTACGCAAACTGGTATTGTTTGCAAAGAGTAGAGTTAAGGTAAATCAAGGGCGAGATTTAGGGATAAAGCGTATACTAAGTTAAAGCAGAGTAGGACTAGGAAAAACTATAATACAGTAAATCTAGAGCAGGGCTGGGCGCAATAAAGTAAGGATAAGTTAAGGCTAGATTAAGTCTTAGGTAGAGCCAGAATAGAGCAGAGCTCGGGCAATGCTAACGTAAGGCAAAGCTAGGCAATGGCCAAGGGTAGGGTAAACAAAGGGCTAGATCTAAGCATAAATCGACTACTAGAAGTAGGGCTAAGGCTGGGTAGAGCAAGGAAATGGCTAGGGTAAGGCTGATTCATAGCTAGAGCAGCGATAATGTAAAGCTACTACAGAGAAAGCTATGTTATAAAACAATGAAATGTATGATAGAATTGCCAAGGCCTGTTTACTTGTAGATGACACGCCGTAAAGCTTAGTAATGCCGTCTTTTATGCATGAGACAACAAATATTTAAATTTAATTAATTTTAAGTTCAGCCGAAAGGCGATATATACACTGTAGGCTCTCTTTAGGATTCTTTAATACCAAAACTGTAAAAAAATTTTAAAAAAGTAAGAAATTTTTATTTTTATTAGCTAAATTTAAAAAAAAACTATTTATTTAAATAAATTAATGCATCTTTTCTTTCAACACCCACGATTTAGTAACAACTTAATGCCTAGACCGACTATAATAAGCCCGACTGTCAAAGTGGCTTGGCTTTCGTACGCTGCCAATGGTCGAGTTTGTAACGGTCGAATTCCCAAATAACTTGTGTCGATATGAGGGTATGAGGCTGATAGTGAATATTGGTTTTAATGCTGTCAACCAAGAACATAAAATACGATTAAAAGCGCCTAAGGCAAAAAAGTCGACTTTTAGCATACATAGTGAGGTAGTTAACATAACTGGCACTCCATTGCCAAATAAAGGAATTAGAAACTGAAAATGATGATGATTTAAAATTAAATTGTCATCCCTTATCTTACCTATCTAATCATTTTTCTCTACTCTACCCTACTCTACCGTAACCCTACAATAAGCTCACCTGCAAAACAATGACTCGGTTGATTTGCTTTTCAATTTTGGCTACACGTGATGATGAAGTCTTTAAAGCAGCGTGTTGATGTATGGTTCTGGAGATTTTGTAATACCAATACAATATTGAAGTGTATGACACCATAAACAAACAAAACAAGCCACCCAAGTTCACGTAGAACAATATGTCTTCCTAAATTATGATCTTTATGTTTTAGGCTACAGTAACATTGCTAATCTGGCTATTTTAGCCCGATTAGAAAAAATTAAAGAAGGGGAAGGCAAAAAAACAAAATATTTTTCAGAAATCAACGGGGGGAGGACTATGTTTCATTTTTTTCAAAAAAAATTTTTTTTGTGTAAAGGTCCTCCCCTGGCCCTAAAAAAGTATAAAAATCAATAATGATAAAAATGACCCAATCCAAGTAGCATACTTACCGTGCTGCTATAAGTAAAACTAGGTATAAAGTACTTATATTCGTCGATTTTTTGAAGATTCATGACAAACTTTTCCTGTGCCACGCTTTCGTCTGGACCATACGAAGCAAACGATGGGTAAAACAAAAAAGCATGCAAAAACGTGCACAAATATACACAGAATACAATAAAATACAGACGTTTGTCTGAGAACATTTTGTTTCTGAAAGCAACAATTTTTTGAATTTTTAAAAATATTTAAAAACAAAAAAGTTCAGTTTTTGCTAAGCTTTGTATATCACCCAATTTTAGCCCAAAAGCCATATACTCTGCTCGGTCATACCCTATTCTACCCTAGCCAAACCAACTCTAAACTAACCTGCAATACCCCATCCTACTCTAAAAAACCTTTACCTACGCTACCCCTGTCATATAAGTTGCAGTGGAAATAATTAGTAATTTACCTGCATAAAGTTGAGTATCGATAGTAGAAATCGATCGGTGTAAGACATAGTTCCACTAAAACACATTGGTACACCAAGGATATAAAGATCCAGTTATAGGGCATACTTATGTTACGTACCAGGCCACAATACACCAATACTAACTTTCCATCAAATGGAAACGGAGCCTGAAATTAGATTTTTAAGTTTCCCTACCTTGTCCTCTCCTTCCAGTGTTTTGCCGGACCGGGTCCGGATTTTCAAAAACTCCAAAATTGGAAACAACTTTTGAGCTTATAATTTGAAGTTTTAAAAAATAAATAACTTTTGTGAAGGTCCGGCTCATACAAGTTCCTCGCTAAACATTTGGACCGGCCGGACCGAATCGGTCTTGCCGGTCCGGGTGGTCCATTTCGGTAATAAATTGATAGCCAAAGGCGGACCTTCACAAAAGTTATTTATTTTTTAAAACTTCAAACCATAAGCTAAAACGTTATTTTCAATTTTGCGATTTTTGAAAATCCGGACCGGACCGGTCCGGCAAAACACTGTCTCCTTCCCTACCCTATTCTAACCCATCTGACCGTACAATACTCTACTTTATTCTACTCCACCCTGCCCTATCCTACCTTCCCCTGACCTACCCAACCCCGCCCTACTTACAGTAGTAACAAAGAACTGAACCATACAATAACATAGGTCTTGGCAAGCATGAAGTAAAAGTATCTTTGAATAGCCTTTCA